ACTACCAGAAGCTAATGTATTTCCATCAGGAGAGAAACTGACTGATATTACAGCTTCATCATGACCATCCATTTAATATTAATCGTTTATTTTTTATTATTACCTATTACATCCAAATAATTAAGCTCCATTTAAATTAATTACATTGATACTCATATTCTTAAATTAAGATTTAGATAAATTGCATTTAGCAAGATTACCCCCAAATAAATTTGCATTTTCAATTCTTATATTTTCAAAATTTTAGTTTTTAGATCCACCTTCATTTCAACCAATATTTTTAAGTGCATTAGATTCAATTATAATAAATTTTTTATCGATTTTGGTAAGAATTTCAAAAATTCAATTAGTTTATCCTCTTGTAATATTTTTAAATGAGATATTATTTAGTTTCAATGTAGATTTTAGTGGAATAATAAACAGAATTAATATCATGCTCTTTTATGGTTTTGATTAAATGAGTAATTGAATTAATAGTCTATTCAAAAGCATCAAATTATTTCTGTTTTTCTGAAAGTGATATGATTCCAATTGAATTATAATTCTAGGAATAACTTTAATTGATATATTTTAGAAACTCTAAGCAATCCTAATTTTGATTCACATCTTTTGACAATATTTCTATTAATATCTATATATCAACATCTTTTGATTGAACTAGCAATTCATATAAATCAGCTGCAATTAAGAACTCTTATATTGATTTATGGGTAAATTGAAAGTAACAAGCGAACAAATTCTTATATCTTTTTATAAGCTCTGCATTAAAAGTCATCATCATTAAAAATAATCGTTTTCGCCATTTTTCATCTTTTTCTTCTTAATATAATAATCCTTATTATTAATATTACACTTAAGCCAGTTTTTGCTAGCTCATTTTTTTGGCAAGGTTGATTGAATATCTTTATAAATCATATAGAAGACGATCAATATTTATAGATTTTCCTAATTTTCTCTATTCTCTATTTATTACTTATTGTGTTAATTTATATACTCATCAGAAAAATCATAACTTGTAAGATTAAAATCTTTTAATACATAAATAACTATTTAAATACAATCTTCATTTTGAATTGCACCTTAATCTAATGATTAATCTAGAAGCACAGAGTTTTGTTCTAATATCTCCAAAAGTCTGATCTTGAAATGAACATTTTCTTCAGAAAATTACAATAAAATGGGAATTGAATTTTCTTCTATTTTATCAAAAAAATTTTATTTCAATTTCTTAATAGTTTGGTTTTTCTAAATTTTCGATATTAAACAATGTAACTTAAATCTTTTCCTCATAATCAACTTTATAAGAGTTTTTATCTCCATAGTTTGATGCCACTAATTTTTTCTAATTTTTTTCATACATATGAATCCAATATTTTCTTTTGTAAAACTCATTAAGCATATTTGGAAAATTCTTTATAAAATTATATTTAAGATTATTAATCCCAATTGTATTAACCATCATTCGAGCAACACTTAAACTATTATTTCCATCATCATATATGGAGTTACTACCAATCGATTCAATTTTATCTACTTCATAAATTTGTTGTACTTTTAAAAGCTCCATAGCTTTTGTAACTAAATACCCAGACTTCTTAAAGCATCATGACTTTTCAAAGCTATGAACTCATCATTCTTCAAAATAAATAAAAAATGGTTTATTTATTTTTAATTCAATAAATTTTCCCCTTTTAACCCTGATATTTCTTTTTTTAGAAATTTTTACAATTGTTCCCAAAAAATTTCAAACTTTTTGATATCAATCACTCCTCTATTTGAAATTTTTGTTTACCATTCATAAATTTTCAAATATCAACATTTTAACACTTTAAAGTGTGAATTTCTCTATATATTATTGCATTTAAGAAGAATCAAACTTGAGAAGTTCGATTTCTTTAAATTTATTCTTATCTTCTGATTCAAATTATAAAGAATAATTACTACAGGTATTAAGATTTCATTACCAATTTTTCATTAGTGTCATGTAATTTCTAAATAAAGTCCTTTATTTTCTTAGCTGCAGTACTTTTGCCTGATCCAGCTACCCCATGGATTAATAATACTGTTACTTTATCTCTAATAAAAAATCATTCACCTCCCCTTCTTTATCATTTAAATTTTCCAAATTCATCAAAATACTCTTTTATTCATTCTATTCCCCTTTCTCTAATTTATGAAATATATCCAATGTTTATTAAGGCACATTTATAAACCCTACATTTTTGTTTGATGCTACTTTCATTACTTTTGATTTTCTAATATCATCAGCTCTTCAACAGATTTTCATCAAAAAAATTTTATGTCATTACCCAATCTGTTTAGTTATTTCTTCATCTCATCTATTTTTCCCTCAACTGTTATCAAACCCCTTCTGATATGATTAACAAAATCGGTTAGCAATGTAAGTTATTATCCCATTTCACTGAAATTTTGAATATATCCATCTAGAGAATTACTGGCTTAATTCATTTCTTAAAATGGAAGAAGAATATTCTTCTTCAATTTATGGCAAAAAATAAATAATTTAATCATTTAGATTAGTAATTAAATTAATCTTATATTTATTTAATTTACAGTTTAGAAGAAAATTTGCGTGGGGCTAAGTTTGGCACTTGTATGTGTTGATCTAAGATTTTTAAGATGGAAAAAAATTAAATGAATAACCAATAGAGAATAAACCTAATCTGATATTTAAATATAACAAATAGGTGCTTAGCATCATTAAAACTAGCAAAGTCTTTGGGTCAGATCCTTTAGTGGTTATTTATGATCTTGAACAGGGAGGCTTATAGCTTGGAGTGATAAAAAACAAGATACTTGAAAATGATGCAATGAATGAGAAAACGTTTCTTTAGAAATTGTAAGAGATTAAAGTTGACATTATGTCTCCTCTCACTGCATTTGCTGTTTTGAAGTTGAAAAAGGTTCCGAGAATGAGGAGGTCTTGAATAATGTTGTAATAGTTAGTGTTCACTTTTGTGCTGTTTTGTAATAATCATATCTTAATATTAAATTTAGATTAGAATAATAGGATAGAGTCTATGCTTCTTTATTTTTTCCAAGTACTATAACATATAAACGATAATGTTAAACATTTGAGATAAAACTGAAATCCTTGTTTTTTTTAAGTATGTGATAGGATACAAAATTTAAAATAACAATTTTAACTTACTATAGTGAGATATCAAATTAATTTGAATACAATAAGAACAACTAAAAGTCTTAGTTTATTATTTGAATTATATAAACCAGCTGCTTCCACAACTTATCCAAATTTATAGAGCTAAAGCAAAAAACCAATCAATATTCTAAAAACTACATTCTTTGATTTGAAAATCCTCAAGGATTTTATTTTAAGGGTTCTTTCACAACTGCCAAAAGATTTTTTAATAAAATAAACCGATGTACTATTGAAAATTAGATGAATTTGATTGAAGCTTTTAAGAATATCATTATGAGTAATGAGAAAAATAACTCTATTAATTAGTTTATATTTGGGATGTATTATTTCAAGTTACATAATAAAAATATTTGTTGAATACTATGAAATTATTTTAAATCAATTTAAAATGATTGTAACTGTAAAACCAACCTTGCAATTTCCTTTTAATGATGTTTAATATTTGAAACAATCTGCAGTTGATGATTGTGGTTCTATTGCAATTCGCTTCCTATCTGAAGGAGTATAAATTTAACAATATTTCATAGAGTCCGATTCAATAAGTAAAGTATATTTACTACTTATCAACTTTATAAAGAGTTTATCCTCATTGTTTTTAAAGCAATTATCGAACTCTTAATTTTTTAAAGAAATTTCTGACAAATTGACATCTTCCCATTACAATTAATCACCAATAGGGATTAAATCTTAGTTAACAACTAACCTTTAAGTTAAATTTGTAATCATAATTACATCATCAATATTTTCAAAATTAAAATAAGGATGATATCCAATTCCATATTCAAGGTCTTGATTATTGGATATATTAAATTCTATTGATATCTAATTATCTTTAATAAATGTGTAAATCTCTTGAAAATGACTTTGTTACTATTCACGGTCCTTTGGTATTAAGCAAATCTAATTTTGATTCTCCTCTAATATTTCTCTCTCAGTATTCACATATAAGCCATGTAAAGGATAACCATTTGAATCATGAAATTTATGTTATACATTTTTATCACTTAATCGATTGACCCAAGGATACATTAAATAACAACCATTCCCTAAAACATCTTCAAATTCCTTCCCTTCAATTATCAAATGGCCAGACATCCATAATTCTAGTATTTTGCCATTCTTCTAAACGATACTATTTTTTTTTTACATTATTTTAATTAACAAAAATGATGATATTTTTTAATTAAATGATATTTTATTGTTTGAAAAGTTATCACTTGTGGATAAATGGTTTCTTTTTCATAATTATTTATTGATATTTCTTTCTATCAATATGACAGTATTATTTCTAAACAAATTAAAGGATTAAAAACTAAAATATCAAAACACAAATAATTTAAATGTATTAAATATCAGATAATTTGTTAGTTAATAGCTAACTTAAAGAAAAATATTAGTGGCTTAATGAATTATAAGATCAAAATATTTCTGACTTCTAAATCAATTTATTTCGAGTTTGGTGTATGGATATAAGCAATGATTTAAGTTTGATGGCAGTTGGTGGTATTAGTAAAGATCATACTGTTTTTATTTATAATCAACATAGTATGGCCTTATGTAATTAAATATATGTGACTTCTCATTAAGTTTACCTGTTATTATTTTCTTAACAAGATAAATATTTATGTGCTGGCTGTTACGGGAAATAAATTCTTTTATGGGAAGTAGATGATATTAAGCAAATATAAAATGCAAAATATAAAAGGGTAATTCAAACAGAATTTGGAGTAATTGCAAGAATATTATTTTTTGATAATGAAAGGAAACTATGTTTTTAGGGATAGTCTCATTTATTTATAATTGATTTGGAGATGAATAGTTAAGCAAAGATTATTAAAATCAATCATAAGCCATAATCCTTTGATATAAATCAATCCAAACTCTTTGAAGTTGGAAAAAGCAGCGTCATATACATAAGGGATATCTGTAAAGATTAAATTATAAGATTTATATGCTGTAATGTTTCTTAGCTCGATGAGATTGTAGTTTCAAAAAAAAACTACTTTCTGGTCGCATCAAGCCACCAAAATATATTCTGTTTTAATACGATAAATGGAAAACTCCTAAGAAAAAGTAGGATATTTGGGAGAGCTTAATCAATAAAGCTATCCGAGGATGATAAATTTTTAACTTTTGTTAGCATGCAGGCTTCAGTATAACTTGACTATATATACATTTTAAATTTGGAGACAGATCAGCTCTTATTAAAGTATGCAACACAACTTTCTCAGCCCACATTTATTAATAAAATGATGCCAAAAAAATTTATTTTTGGTAAAATAAACTCAATTGAAATATGGAACTTAATACTTTGAATAATCTTGATATCAAATTTTTAATATTATAAAAAATCTAAATGATAAATTAATAAGTATGGCAAGTGTATTAAATAAATTATAATTATTTTAATTAGTATAAAATTTCTTTCTTTTTTAAAAAATTCAAAATAAAAATGTCTTTTTCAGTTTTTTTTCTACAATTATGAAAATTCTTCTTAATTTGCATGCTGATACAACTTGAGACTATTATTTGAAATATAACATTTTTCCATCTTTTTAGCTTTGATAACCTAGACATTTAACATTAGTATTCATAAAATCATTTTAATTTATATTTACTACATCCAAATAGATTAATGCGTAATAAAGCTTTTAGTCTTAGGTGTTTGCTATGGTTAAATGATGACATATTTTTAGTTAATTATTTCTATATAAGCAAATTCTCTAGGACCATAATGAGTTAATAAAATATAAAATAAATGTTTATCTAGATACTATTTTTAGTACTTACATTATAAAAATCATAAACCTAAAAGGTTAATGAATAGAACACACAAATTACATTCTTAGAAAATTAAAATTTCAAAAAATAGGATCCATATGAAATCAATTATGAGGAGGAAGAACCATCAGATAGTAATGTCTTTTTTTACTTTCACTAATATGCCAACTTTATTACTTGGGCAATTCTGGTCGATTTAGGCATAATAGCTAATAGATATGGAATACTAATATAATATAAAATTGAAGTGCACGCAATAATTATGACATTAGTGATTATACCCTCGGTCATAGCTGAATTTTTTATGATCTTTGCAGATGGGGAGCCTGAACTTTATGGTTAAGAAAGTTTAGAAGATATACATGGCCTGCTTGGTTTCTTTTTCTTGGGAGTAATAATAGTATAGGTAATTGGAGGCATAGTATTAAAGTTTTGTATATTATCAATAAAGATGTAGAATCATCTAAAAATAAAATCCATTTTGCATATTTATTTAGGATACGCTATATATATCCTTGGCAAAATTTAGTTAGGTTTTGGATATTACTTGTCCTATACGAATGCACCCAATGAAGGGTAAGGCAGTTTAACTTCATTTTGGTGCGTGTACTCTTTGATGTTTTTTTGGAGAATAATATTTGAATTTTTGTATTAAAATGGAAAAATTTACTAATTGTTCAAATAATAGAAGGAGAGGCCAAGATAGCATTCGGGTACTCTTTAGGACTCATTATTAATCTAATATATTGAGTAAAATGGTATGTTCTTCTTTATTATTATTTAGAGCAATCCTAACTTATCAATGAATTTTAAAATAAATTTTGGGTGATTTTCAATAATGAAATTATTGATTTAACTGAGTTTGTACATCCAGGAGGTCAATATATATGGAATAAAGTGAAAGGTAGAGAAATTTCTCGATTTCTTTATGGTAGTTGCGGATTAGAGGATGAATCTGCCAAATAATATTAGCATACTAAAAATGCAATAGTTTTATTGAAAAACAATGTTATTGGAACATTAAATTCAATTGCATTTACAATTCCTATTGGTGAAAGTGCAGAAAATACTTGCACATAATGGAAATTAAATACAATTACAATTTTAAATGATAAAACAAGCTATTTTGGATTCTTGAATCCGCAATTTAGAATAATATCACAATTCACTTCAATTCATTCATTTGGGAAGTATTTTTAACTAAAATCGCTTGAATCTAAAAACATTCCAATTAGATAGTACACATGTGTTTCATCTATGGCTCCAGAAAATGTTGAATATAGAAGGGAACTTGTAAAATATGTTGAGTCTATTGTTAATAATAATTAATAAGCAAAAGCACCACTATAACCTAAATACTTGAATGAGCTTCCAATGATAATTAAATATTATGATTCTTAGAATGGATTCTCAAAATATATTCATAATCATAAGGGTGAGTTTTATGACATCCAGGGACCATATGGACCACCCCATGGTATTCCAAATAGAGGAAAAATTGTGATTATTAGTGGAGGCACTGGAATATTTCCATTTTTGGATCTTTTGGACTTTCTTTTGAAAAGCATTACTTACTCAATCACTTTGAATAAATATGGAAAATAAATTGCTGATAATTTGAATCCTTATGATTGTTAATTTAACACTAATGTCCATGTTACTCTATTTTTTGCAGTGGCTAATAGATCAGAATTAATTGGATCAGATATACTTTTTCCAATAATATAAATATAAAAGCATTTAGAAAAAGAAGTTTTAAGATTAATAATCAAAATCAGAGAAAAAATTGATGGAATTGAAACAATAAATGATAGATATAGCAAAGAAATGTTTGGTAGAGTATTAGGCAATAATTTGGATTATTAAAGATATTTAATTTGTGGACCACCTCAAATGTAAGCTTCTGTTCCGCCAATCCTTCGAGAAATGGGTGTTTAAGACCACCTTATTCATTTCATTTGAGATATTAATATTATAATATGCAACATCTTAAATTATCAATTCCTTCTTTGAACTAATCATTTTTATACTCTGGAAATTTTAAAGAGATGTCCTATTAGCAATTAATAGCATATGCAGAAAGTCGATTAGGTCGAGTTCTACCTCCTGATTTTGAATTTTTCTATGTAAATTCCGAGGGCAATTAATTTGTTGTTGATAGTGATGAATAATTACGTAATTTAAAAGGCTTGAACCAGTAACTAATCAAAATCATTCTTAAAGAAAAAGATAAAGAAAAAATTTCTCATCCAAACACAATTTGCAATCTATGTCATTCTTCTCCAATTATGAATGCTAGGTATAAATGTATAGTTTGTGAAAATTTGGAGTTTTGTGAAAATTGTTTAGATCATGGTTAAGTTCATCCTTTGTTAATCATATATAAACCAGAGTAGGAGTAATTTTTTGATGGTTTTTTTAAAACATCTATGAATAAAGTGAAGAACTTATTCAATTGTTAATATAGTAATACTAAAAAATACTGTTATAGATTTAAAAGAAGCATTGTTGAAGAAGAAGACAGAACTATTTGGTACAAACAAAAAGGATCATTAATTATAATCGATTTAATAGGAAAATATATAATTGTAATAAGAATAAGATGATTAAAAATAAAGTGAAGATGTGCTTAATAAAACATTAAGATTAAGTGAGGTATTCGAAGGCTCTCCAGAAAAATTTGAAAATATTGTCAAATAAAATCAACACTTATCATTTGAAGAATTAGTTGAGCTGATATCAGATTAAATCTAATGAATTCATGTTATTTATTTTAATATTTAATTTAAATGTACAATTGCATAATATGTACTTAGGAAACTGATTTTTCATCAAAATGTGATTGTCACTTTTGTTTATTTTGCTTGCTAAATTGGTTTGATGAGAAAAATAGAGATAAACCTGTAGAAATACTTTAGTGTCCAAATTAAGGTTGTAATTTCACATATAATCGAAATGAAATCTTAAGTTTTTGTTCTCTATAACCTTATGAGAAGATGATTTAAGAAATCTTGCTCAAAGAATATTTAAAAAATTAAGATATCCGTCCTTGTCCAAATGGAAAATGCAAATATTTTGGTTACATAGAATTAGACAATAAATGTGATGACGAACTTGAATGCTTTGAATGCGGAATGAAATGGAGAGACTTTGCTTTGGCTTCATATACATTTTAAACAGAATATATGATAAAAAATATTTTTGGAATAATAAGAGAATTTTGCTATTGCTTTATTACTACTAATGAGTGTCCTAACTGTGGAATTTTAATACAGAGAAATGGTGGTTGTAAACATATAACATGTAAAGCTTGTGCACATCAATTTTGTTGGTATTGTAAATAATAATGGGGAAGGCATAAGGAATCTTAATGTTTTAGTTCAGAAGCAATATCAATAGGCTTGCTTCTAACTTTCCCTATCAATATTTTGCATTAATTTGGAATATTTTCATATTTTCTTTATGTTTTTTATCCTTTGTTATTGTTATTGGAATTGTTAATTATGAATGTATTAGTTATTGGAACCGGTTATGGGACATTCATTTTGGTTAAATCAATTATTGATCTGAAGAATAATCGAAGAGGCTTTTGCTCTAATCTTTTAGCTTTTGGAGGATCAATTTTATTGTTGATTATTGAATATTTTATCTTTTGGTTTTCATCTGTGTTTTTGGATATAACTTTTTAGAAGGCATTCATAGGCATTTTAATTGAACTTTCAATTGCCATTTTATTCATTGGTTACTTAAATAGAGTGAGTTTGAGATGGATTTTAATTCCGTTGCTTGCAATATTTTTATTTTACTTTTTTGGATTTAATGGTTTTATCATGCTTATTTGGTAAATTCCAGTATTAACAGGTTCAAGAAATTTTCTTTCATAAGTCGGATTTAATGCATTAGCTATTGGTCTGCTAATTTTATTCAACATATTTAGTTTATTAGAATTATTTAGCTCAATTCTAATATATTTAATATTGGGTTCTACATATTTTTAATATAAAACAAATTACAACAAAAGTAACTTAGTATTTGTGGGAATTGTAGCATTATCTTACCTTTATGAATTAATATTTGCATGACTTATATTTTTCATCATTATTAAATAAATATTATAAAAATCTACTATTTATGTGAGATCAGCACTTTAGCTAATTGCATTTGAAATTGAAAAACCATCCTCTTTGATAGAACCATATATTTAAAGGTAATTTCACCTATCTTATGTTAGTCTAAAAGAAAATTGGTACGATAAAAAAGACTCAATCACCTAGATGAAATAAGAAAATTTTGATGAATTCAAAATTCCAAAGAGAAAGGTTAATTGTTGATGGAGCATGTTCAAAGACCTTATAAATAGAAGTAGAATTGTCTATTAAATAACATACTAAAATTTCCATCTGCATTAAATTGCTTAAGAAATTTTTGGTTGGAAAAGAGAAGCTGAATTTTTGATAGTTGAATATAAAATAGAACAACAAATTGTGTGGAAGGAAGCTGGAGATGAGTTACTAAATTATACTTCAAAGGAATCAGGATTCAATCCATAAAAGCCAATAATTCACACATCCTCATCAAAAGTATTAATCACATCTGAATTGGCCAAAAATGAAGGCTATCATATTTATTCATTCTCTTAGATGCTTGAATAATTGCATCAGAAAAGATTTGTAATATTTTTAAGTAATCGAAGGAAATTATAAGCTAGCCCATTACTAATAGAGAAGTTAAAGTTTTGATTGGTATAAAATAACAATCACCAGTGCTACAAGGTTAAGATGATTATGAAGAAGTATAAACCTAGAAAGATTGAAAGCTTTTGCAGTTTCTTTAGTAAGTCGTATAAGTAATAAAAATGATTAAATCCTGATTAATCACTGGAAGAATAGTAATTTGCTTCTAAAAGAAAAAAAGAATATGAAGAACTTCTTAGTAAGCCAAAATTCTCTAAAGCAGATATTAGAGTTTAATTTCCTAATAGTTTAATTATTTAGGTCATCTTTGGCTCTTTGGGAACATTAAAAGTTTTATATGATTTGATAATAGATGTGATAAAATTGAATCCTAGATTATAATTAGACATTAGATAATAGCAACCTTGATTTATACTTTTATACATCTCCTCCTCCAATTCGAATGACATAGAAGCATTTTAACCAAAACTGTTGATGACTTAGATTCAGTTCCAAATGGATTATTCTATTTTTGAGATGCAAAGCAAACTTCAAACTACCATTTGAAACAGTTATGGATGAAATGTGCTAGAGAATTATGATTATTTTACAAAAAATCGTTTATATAATTAATAATTTGAAATTCCTAAAGTATTATATTTCATTTTCTTTTTAATATTTAAGCTAAGATAAGCCCACATAATATATTGTTTTTCCCAGGTTTTAATTTTCGTATGCCTTCAAACAATTATGAATAAATTAAAAAGGCTAATAATAGCAATTGATAAATCAGTTGAATTGATTGAAAAAAAACTTCTATTTATTAAATATATTTTTTATGTAATTTATAATTTCAAATATAATGAACTTAGAAGTTTGGAGGTATTGAAAATTGAGAACATACTTAACAAGATAATGTTGAGGAAATATAAAAATTTTATATTTATCAAAAACCTATAATTATCCTGAATGCGATTCCAATAGATTAAAAAACTGAAGTTATTAAAATATGATTTGTAAAACTACTTTTTATTCTAATGTGCAATAAATACTCGTTAAATCAACTATGTATATGCGTATAAACTTTTATTCTTAAATCTTGTTTGGGCTTAGTATTTTTTTATTTTCAACTTGTTTGTGTCAATCTAATTGCTTTGATTTAATTTTTTTAATTAGAATAAAAATCAACCAAATATAATTTATTGAAATCATAATTTAAAGGTATGAAGATGGTCCAATTTGCTCAATGAAATGCACATATTGGTTATTCAATAAATAATTTTTCTGATTTGCTCTAATATTTGAAATGAATTATTAATAGACTTGATAAAATCACACTAAATATAAATATCACTCCTAAGGGTCAGGTCTTAAAAGTCTAGGAATAAATCCTTTTACTAATTCCACTATTGGTATTTTTCTTCCACCCTTGGGTTCATCATCATCATCTGATTCGCTTTCACTTTCTTATAAATCTTCGTCAGCTTTAGTTTCTTTCTTGTTCTTTTATTCATCTAATTCATCATCTTCCTCAAATGCATTATCATTTTTTTTTTTTGCCAAATTTATCCATTCTTAATTTACTTTTTCTAGATCATCAATTTTTGAGATTGTTTCTAATTAAGTTCTGGTTTAATTCTTAAATGTTATAGAGCATATACTTGAATACAGTAAGTTTATCTAATTCTATTGATGATGTTTGTGGATAACCTAATTAACATGAAAATAATAAAATTAATAATAATGCCAATTAAGTTGGTAATAGTTCTGTTATGCCAAATTAAAACCTTAAGTTGAGGAAGCTATGAATTTATTTGCCAGAAGAACTCAAAGTTTGAGAATAGTTCAAATAGATATAAACAATTAATATCAAATAAAATTCCTGATTTCTTTCAAAATATTTAGAAAATAGGAGCAAGAGTTTTCAATTTTAATAATACTGATACATCATAAACCCACATTAACTTTATATTATTTTTATTTAAAACAATAATCTATTGTATAATAAATAAAGATGAAATTTATAAATCGATGTTTATTTAAGTTTTCTGTAAATGTTATTAGAGACTAAATCTATGAATTTGACAAAAGCGCAATTAGTTTAAGTGTTCGAATTAATAGCTTAAAAGATTTCAATGATTTTCAAAAGTTAAGAGACTTAAAAATACACCGAATTATTTATAATCTAAATGATTAAGCAGAACTAATGGATTTTTTGGCTTAGCATAATGATGAGTGCATAAAAAAAATATTTGATCCCTCCTTTTTTATATGTAAGTCTAAGAATATATGGAAAACTTAGTTCGTGGTGTTAGTGTAAATGTTCCTACAATACTGAGAGATGGTAATTTTAGAAAGTTAGAGTAGAAAGCATTATTATAGATTTGTTAACATCTATTTAAATTGAAGACTGATCAAAATAAGACTCAATTCTAAGTTTTTTTGGTATATTGATTTATTTATTATTATGCATTAAAACATGATGGAAACATTAATTAAGAGGAATAGTTTTTGAGTTTAGTGAAAGAAGAGTTAGATGATTTATAAAGTGTAATAGAGAATTCATTCAATTTTGAAGTGAATCATGTACTTAGTTATAATCCAAAATTCACATATGATATATTATTTAAATTGGCAAATCAACAGAAAACTTTGAAAAGTGTAAATTTTAACATTTACAGATACGCAAATCCTTAACAAAGTGAATTGGATTAGAATAGAGAAATATTGGCAACTCTTTATTAACATGTTAATGAGCAATACAATACAATATTTTTGAAAAACTTTCTTTATGAAGATAAATATGTAAAACAATAAAATTTGTCGGAAGGAATTGTTAGTTATTCACATGTAATAATCTAAATTCTAATGCAATTTAGTTGGTAGATATGTTAAAGTTGATGCATTTCAGAGGTTCTTTGGTGTTTGAGTATAATAAAAATTTGGACAGGAATGTGGAATTCATAGACCAATTGTTATAATCCAGCAAATACATATTGTCTGAAAAACATAAATTAGGAGAAGAGCATGAATCTCACATTGTGGATGGAGATACAATGCCACCAATTGATATTTGAGTTATATTTAAATATATATAAATATAATTCATTTATGATTGATTAGAAATCCAACTTAAAACTGTTCTAATAAATAATGTGCATTAACCCATGGATGATTTTACATGAATAAGGCAGTACCATCAGTTCCTACACCTTTCATGAGTTCTTCTTGACCTCCAGGATGTTTATTCAAGTATTTAGTAACATCATACACTTTGGAGTTGATGACAATCCATGCTGAATAAATGGTGTTATGTTTGGCTACCTACTCTCATTCGCAAAGTCATACCTCGTCGATTGTAAATTACTTTAAATCATTTTTCTTGTTGCTATCACTTAATGATTTCCTTTAGATCCAACTGGGGGAGACACTTTCTTTAGGAGATTATCCAAATTTTGGTGATTCAGGTTCATTTTTAAATTGAATTGGCTTCACTTCTTCAATCTTTAAAGAGTTTCGTTTTTTTGGTTGGATAACTAAATCATCGAAAATGCCTATTAAAGTGTCTACGTATTTTTAATTCGCCTTTTTTATTGCAGTTAGTTAGTAATCAACACTCTCCACTTTACGTGCCCCTTTATACTTCTCCAATAGTATACTGTCATTTTTGATTTTGTAAATGTTACGATTTAACCTCACTTCATTCTTAGCTTAGTCCACTTAATACCTTTGCTAAAGTCTTTACATCTTGTCTCTATGGTATTGTAATATATGTGTGAGGTCTTCTGAATTCAACTATCTGTTCAATCTCATAGTATTGATTCTCTTGATCTCTCAAAGAAAGGAGATCTGTTTGAAATTTTTGCTTTATATCATTTATAATGAATGTCACAACTTCATCAAGAGTCTCTATATCGACTTCACCTTCCATCCATTCTAAAGTATCCTATCTGTCTTCAATGTACAAATTGATTACCTCTTTATTATTCATAAATTATTAAAATCTCATGGGATATTCTAATACTAAAATTGAGGAACCTTTTAGCAAAAAATTGAGATCTAAAGCAATTTTTATCTTTAATAAACTAGATATCAAAGGTAATAGAACTATAGATAAAGAAGGAACGGCACACTTTTGGTATTAAACTCTTTTAAATCCTTAGGAAGTCTAACTATGCTTAACTAAATATCGAAGCATTATTTGAAGTTTTGGATTTTGATAAAAGGGGAGATATTACTGAAGATGATTGGATGGCTTTTTGGGATATTGTTAAATAAAATGGTTATTCTGAAGAAATATCAAGTTTTAAGTAATCAATCTATTATTATTTCTTAGTTAGATGAATTAAAGGAAGGTAGGCTTGGGTATAATTTAAAAGAGTTGACATTTATTAAAATTGATGAGTAATAAAGAGGATCAAGAGTTAAATTAAGAAGAAAAGAAGAGGCTTTCAGTATTCTAATTAGCGAGATTACAAAAATGTAAAAAAAATGCATATTGAAGGATAAGAGTTATTTTAAGAGCATGAAAAATAATAATGATAATATCAATACTTATCAGAAGATTTTACTATAAATATTACAGTTTTTATTTTCAAAATTAATTGCAAATTGAAATATATTTATACATTTGTATTCATATTTTAAATCAAAGTTTCAAATATGCTAAACAAAATTTGATCGCTTATCCTATGATTCATGAGTGGGTTAAATTATTTAGAAATTGGTGCAAAATTAAAACTGAATAAATTTTGAAATACTTTAGGATTTTAAAAAAGATATTTCTACATATTAATCGAATAAATTATAATATTATTCTTTAATATGTCCTATTAAAAATTATTTTGATTGAAACAATAAATCTAGTAGGAAGTTTGAATCAACAGAATGTATGGTAAAATATTTTGATAATTAGAATCATATTTATAAGCTGAGGAAAACTATTTTCAGAAATATCAATAATTTAATTCGATCAATTAAGTTAGAATAAAATTCAATTGATAATTTAGAAATTAAATAATCAAGTTAATTAAATCCATAACAGTCTAAATATCATTCTTAAAATCAACAGAAAAGTGCGAGTCTAGTTACAACAACATTCTCAGAGCAATTCAATGTTTAAAATCATCAAAATATTTACATAATAATAAGTTTGAGCCAGTTAATTTTTTTTATATTAATAATCAAAATTATAATCACTCATATTTTGTATGCCATATTTGTTATAATAATTCTTATTTGAAATTACACATCTTTAATAATACAATTGTTTATTTTTTTTATTTTTCATGATAAAATGTATGACATAATCAATTTTTTCATAAAAGAAACCAAAATTGCTAAAAAAACAATTATTTTATATTGATGTCCAATATATTTTTAGTCTTTATCATTATGTCACTATTCCTTTAAACAAACAGTAAAAATCACTCTGAATAATCAAACAAATTTTTACAATCCGAATCTGAGGAAGAATTTGATTTTGTAGCCCTCAAAAATGAATCAGAAGATAAACATACTGCATTTTACTATCACAAATGGACTAATTTCATTGTTTGGGGAGTTTTAGCTGATTTCGGTATTCTAGCAAACAGATATGGATCAATGAGCAAACATAGATTAAATTTACATAGCATCATCATGGGTCTATGCGTATTACCTACTGTAATCGCAGAAATACTCATGATAGCTATTTGGAATCCGCCTGAATTTTATGGTAACTTGAATTTAAGTTCCATTCATGCTCCCATAGGATTTACATATTTGGGTTTGATGATATTGTAGAGTACAGGAGGAGTAATATTAAAATTATGTATTGAATCAAACAATCCACAAAAATATACTAAAATCATGTCCATTGGTCACATCTATCTTGGATATAGCATGTATTTTCTTGGAAAAATTTAGTGTGGATTTGGATTCTATGAAGTTTATAGTAATGTACAAGGTAAAGGCTAAGGTAACCTAATTATGTTTTGGATTGTTTATGGTGTATTATTCTTTTGGAGAATCATTTTTGAATGGCTATATTAGAATGGAAAGCTTTTTGAATATTTTTATTCTGCAACTCAAACTTCTGAAAAAACAGGGAGCATTTAAGATTCCTTATTTGTCTAATATTTAATATAAAATGGTATTATCAATCTTTATATATTGTTTAGATTAACTGAATATTGAAAAAGAATATAATAACAAAATGTGGTTTATTTTTAATAACAGTATTGTTGATTTAACAGGTTTTGTACATCCTGGAGGGCAATATATTTGGGAGAAAACAAAAGGGAGAGAAATATCAAGATTTATATATGGTGGATAAAGTTTAGAAGATGGAAACTCAAGGGCTTATACTCATTCAGATAAAGTAATAACTTTGATTCAAAGATAAACGATAGGTTATTTAAATGGTATTTCTATTGAAGATTCAACTTAATAATATATAAACAAATGGATTTTAATAAATCAATAAACAATTTCTGAAAAAATTAGTCTTTTTGGATTTAAGAATACATCAAAATAGATAGAGTCTTAGTTAACTAGTCTTCATTAATTTGGAAAATATTATTAAATAAAATCTTCAGTAAACAAAAAGATATCTGTAAGACAATATACTTCTGTAGTAAGTATGGCTCCTGAAAATGTTTAATATAGATAGAAATTAATAAATTTGATTTAGGTTTTAAATTAGATCAAATCAGAAGACATAGAATAAATAAATTAATAACCAAGATATTTAAATGAATTACCATTAATTATAAAGAAGTATGAGTCAAATATAGGTTTTTCTTAATATATCCATACTCATAAAGGTGAAGAATATGAAATTGAAGGGCCATATGGACCTTCCTTAGGGTTGCCAAATAAGGGTAGGGTAGCAATAATTTGTGGAGGAACAGGAATATTGCCATTTTTAGATTTATTAGATTTTTAGTTATAATCCTCAATATATCAAATTGTAAAGAAAAAATTAGGTCAAAAAATGGCTGAAAAATTAAATCCATTTGAATGTTAATTCAGCAATGGTTTACATATTACATTAATTATTGCAGTAGCTGATAAATCAGAATTAATTGGGTAAGAAATATTTAAAAGTTTGATTACTTTATAAAATTAATTAGAAGAGCAAAGCTTTAAGATGATTTTGAAAATCAAAGAATAAATTGAAGGCTTTACTTGTGTAAATGAAAGATTTGATCATAGTTTTATGAGATAGTAGTTAGGATAGTTGTCGTAATACGATAAGTTTTATGTGTGTGGACCTCCTGTAATGAATTAGACAGTTCCAATAACATTAATTAATTTAGGAGTTTAAGAGAAGAACATTCATTATGTTTGATTTGAGTGTAATTACTAATTGTTACAAAATATATATATATTATTAATTTAATGTTCCTATTTTTATTATTATATTTGATAGAGAGTAGGCAGATTGAGAGCTGCAAGCAAAACATGGACTCCTTTCAGATAAAAGGTTTGAAAATGCACCTTCATAACTGTAGGGATTCATTTTTGTGTGAGTGACCATCATTAAGCTAAAGAGGCACGTAATTAGGTGTTGTAGGATTCTGTGAGCTAGAATAAAGTTAAAGCAATAGTGCAAGAGATAGAAGGTTTAGATAATCAGAATCCGTTTTGGTATTCAGACCTGGCAATATATTTGAACATAGATGAAATTCATATAACAGGGGGTTTAATTGATCATTCTTAGAATGTATAATAGATTATGTAAAATTTAAGGTTAGTATTGTAAATTAGTAGATAAGAATTACCAAACATGTTTATTTTAAGAATTTGATAAACAAAGAACTTATGATAACAAATATATTCACTTCATCTCCTCTTTTAAAGGTAGAGTTTGAGAAGATAGTTTTACCATCCAATTCAACCACTCAAAAAACTAGAGTTTGCACTATGATTTATGAGTAGCCACTTTCAGAAATTCGATCAAAGACATTTGAAATATGGTTGGCAATAGAGATAGCCTACTTTTTAAGAGTGCCAGTTAAGTTGATTGTGTATGATAAACACTTAATGTGTTAAACAAAGTAATTAGGTCAATGTAGTATCTAAGGATAGCACTCAACAATTGAATTCAATAATCTAGGCATTTATTAATAATACACAAAAATATTCTCGTTTTATAATCCTAATCCAGTCAAAATTGATGTTTCTTATAAATAAAATGAAAGAAAAAAGAATCAAATAAGAGTATTATTGGCTAATCGAAATGATATCAAATCAGCTTCAAAGCGTAAATTTTCATTTGAAATGTAACCTTATACAAGAATTGAATTGAAAGTCATTATTAACACAAATTACTATGAAATATTGGCCAATAGTAAATTAACTTTTAGAACTTAATATGAAATTATTGAAGTTGATGTGACTTATTCAGTTTAAAAAGGATCTGTCAATTACTATCCTTCTGTAATTACATTAGATCCAGGGATGACAACAAAAGTTCAATAGTTTGATATTTTTGTAAGAAGTACTTTCAGTCAAAAAATTTAATTGTTATAAGTTGAAAATCAATAAATAAAGCACTAGAATATATCTTTACTTACAATGGCAACTAGTATTCCAACTAATTCTAGATCTGACATTCTTCATGTGGATTATATGGGTAAATAAAATTTCTATTCTGATTCTAAATACCATAAATAGTAGGCAAAAGAATTATTGAATTCTTTTGGACGAAATAAGATAAAGATTTAAACTGATGTCTTGTAAGATTCTGAAATTCTAATCAATTATAAATCTAATTAAAAATTTAATGAATAAATCTTAAAGAAAATCATTAAATAAGATCCAAAGATATTAATCTCTTAATAAACAGTTGTAATATCAGAATAACCTAATATTTTTTTTATAGTCATCTCAATCCTCAATATGTTATATATAGCTACTTTATTGAGAAACAATGTATAAAAAATAAAAGAATTAAAAATTGTTATTGAAGGTAATTTTTCTTAAGAATAAATTGATTTTCAATCTATTTTTAAGACACAAGAATCTATTTAATTATAAAGTAAATCTGAAACAAATGAAGTTGTATCTGACAAAGCAGATGAGATATAGGATATGATAATAGCTGAAGATATTATGAGTAAGGAGAACATCATTTATACTAATTTGCAATCATAGATTGATGAAAGTTCTTCTCATTTTAGTTAAGGAGAGAGTTTAGATGATGATTAAATTTCTGAATATTAAGAGAAGGTAGTGGAATAGAGAAAAGTTTCAAATCAAAAGAATTTTAATTTATTTTAGAGAGTGGAATTCACTATACCAACCTAAATCACTCTTAATACTCAATCTTCCTAGGAATGTTGGGATACTAAAGATCCAATATTTTTACCATAAGATTCTGATGAAGAAATGTTGGATAAAAATAGTGTTCAGAGATTGGAATCAATGTTGAATTAAATTCAACACAAATTACCTTAATTTGAGCAAAGTACACTTAAATTACCATTAAAATGGAATGAAAATAATTAGATAAATCCATACTTTCCAAAACCCCCTCCAGGAATTTGAATGTAATTATTTTAAATAAAATCAATAAAAAAAATTTCATGAAATTTGTAATCGATGATCTTGAAGTCATTTTCCCATACAAATTTCTATATAAAGAATAATTAGAATATATGTAGGCACTAAAATAAACTCTAGATGAAAAAGGACATGGAATTTTGGAAATGCCTACAGGAACAGGAAAAACAGTATCATTACTTGCATTAATTATTGCTTATTTGGCGCAAAGACCCAACTCAATTAAAAAGTTGATTTATTGTACACGTACAGTAGTAGAAATGGAAAAAACATTAGAAGAAGTAAGATTGGTTTTAAAGGCCAGAAAAGCTGAAGGTCTAAATGATAATTTTACAGCTGTCGGATTGAGTTCAAGAAAAAATCTATGTATTAATCCAGATGTGGTCAATTAAAAAGATAGAGTTGATGCTGAATGCAGAAAAAGAACAGCTGAATGGGTTAAAAAGGAATAAAGTGAAACATGTATATTTTATGAGAACTTTGAAAAATCCGCTAAAGAAACTATTGCTAATCTACCTAATGATGTTTACAGTTTAACTGATTTACGTAAGAATGGAGCTTATTCTATTCAATGTCCTTATTATACTGCAAGAGAAATGGTCAAAAAGGCTAATATTGTTGTTTATAATTATTTATACTTGATTGATCCAACAGTATCTTCATAATTGTCTAAAGACTAAATCAAAGAGAGTGTAGTTGTATTTGATGAGGCTCACAATATTGATGATGTTTGTATTGAAGCCTATACTGTGAGATTGAATAAACCTATATTGGCTGAAGCAATCAATAATCTAAAAGTTGTGGAGACATAAATTTAGAGTGAAACTAATGAGATCTAAAATAGATTAAATGAGGAATATAAGAAATTGATAAATAATTTAGAAAAAAAACCAGAAGGAGAATTGAATTAATTGGTTATTCCTGGGCAAATTAGAAAAGCAAGAAATTTCATTGATTTTATGAAAAGAGTTATTAATTCACTTAGGAAAAAATTAAAAGATAATTCAGAGGCATTAAAGACATCTCATGCTATATTACATAATCCTAAAAGTTTTACTGAAGAAATTTAAAAGGAAGGTAATTTAGATATTGATTCACTTAAATAATGTGGAGAACGATTAAATCTATTATTAAATACTTTACAAATTGCAGAAACTGATAAGTTTAGACCACTTAGTTCAGTTGCGTAATTTGTTATGTATTTAGTATAATATTAAGAAGGATTTAAAGTAATATTTTAATCTAATAACTACGAAGGAACTTTAAATGAAAAATTAATGACTCTGGCTTGTTTTGATAGTTCATTAGCAATGAAAAATATCTTTGCATTATTTTAATCTGTCATACTCACATCAGGTACAATGTCACCAATTGAAATTTATCCTAAAATATTAGACTTTAAACCAGTTGTTGCTAAATCTATTGATATAGAATTGACTCGTAATTCCATTTAACCTATAATTGTAAGTATGTCAGAGGATGGAACTGAATTGACATCAGAATTTACTTTAAGAAATAATGAAGATGTATCTAGAAATTATGGTAATTTTTTACTTGAATTATCTGAAAATGTTCCAGATGGACTTATTGTTTTTATGCCATCTTATAGTAGAATGGAGGAATGGGCAAGGTAATGGTAAAAGGATAAATATTTGGAATAAATATCAAAAAATAAAGTATTATTTATAGAATCTAGAGATGTTAATGAGACATCTACAAAATTATAATAATATCGTAAATGTTGTGATGTAGGTAGAGGAGCAGCATTATTTTCAATTGCAAGAGGTAAGATTGCAGAAGGTATAGATTTTGAAGGTCATTATGGAAGATGTGTTGCTGTTATTGGATTTCCAGCATTAAACAGTAAAGACACATTAATTTTAGAGAGATGTAAATTTTTAGAAGAGAAATTTAAAATAACAAAAAATGATTTTATAGAATTTGATGCAATGAGATAAACATGTTAATGTTTAGGTAGAGTTCTTAGAGGTAAACAAGATTATGGAATAATGATTATGGCTGATAAAAGATTTGCTTAGAAAAGTAAATTACAAAAAATGCCAAGATGGATTTATAAATAATTAGATTAATCTAGATGTTTAAATATTACTAGTGAAACTGCCATCACTGTAGTTCGAGATTTCTTTAGATAGATGGCTTAACCTTTTAAAATTGCTGATAATAGTTATTTTACACAAGACACATTATGATTATATAAATAAAAAAAAATTTAAATTTAATGATTGCGTTAAAAAGGTAACAATTTCGAGCTAAGCAACGATAAATTGTACTCAATAAACTGTTTCAACAAAATAGAATGTCATCTCTTCTAGTTTTTAAATTAGATAAATTAGAACAAATTCTTACTTAATAACACTATGATTCTTTAGAATATTAGGTAATTTCTAGTAATTTGATTTATTTAAGGAATCAATTCAATAAATCATAATGATGAGTCATAATGTCAACTTATCATAATTATATCATTTATTGATAAGGAATTTTATCGATACGATCTAATATTAAATGGATGTAGGCTATTATGTTTTAAGTGTTTAAGTATATTTCATGTGTTATTTTGATTTTAATAGTTTTAATTCATTAGATGGAAATGGCCTAATAGCCTATGCTAGTAAAATTAGTTAAAGATACAGGTATATAACAATTTTTAGCATTCAATGATCCAATGACACTATAATTTCTAGAATTATTTCTAATTTAAATGCCTACATTAGATGATATAGAAATAGATACAATTTACAATGAGCTTTTAAAATGGTCATAATCTATCAATTTAAATTATGTGATTTCTGCACTTAGTTGTCTAAATTTACTCATTAGAGTAAAATAAGAATTATTAACACCTGATCTATCAATTTCTATATTATAATTACTTAATACAGATTATAGTTAATTGGCTTTTGAAATACTTCAATTATCAAATTGGCAACATTTTATAGAAGAATAACTAATACTTGTTTGGGATTAAATTTGTAAATAATTACTGAATCTAAATAATGAAGAATATTGCATAACTATATTAAAATCCATAGGATAATTCCATAGTCCTTATTAATTGAAAGAGATTTGTCAATATTTATAAATAGCCAATGATTATTATAGTATTAAGTTGATAGAGATGTTGTCTGTAACATAAATTAATAGAAATTATGACCAAATAACATCAGAATTGTTAGATTAGATTTGTTATAGAGTGATCAAAAATCACAATCTAATACCACTATTAAAATAATTTCTATTCAAAAATGTAATGATACATATTTTATTTTATTAGAAAATAATTTATGAGTCCTATAACTTTCCCCTGCAAATTGAATATTTATTATAATGAAATTAATATATATCTCATTATTGACTTCTATATTGTGGCATCCAATTTGTTATCTGATTGATTAAATGATAGAGGATTATGATAAATCAACTGAATTAGTGACAGTTAGTCATTTTTTGAAACATGCTATTAGATGGGATAGTTTGTTTTATATTGAAATAATGGAAAATGATTACAGATATTTTAAAAATCATGCATTTGGATATGGAATAGTATTATTAGGTAAAGTCTTTTCAAATTCTTTAATTTGGCTATTGATTTTATAAAAAATATGCAATGCGATTTCAACATAATTAATTTACAAGATTAGTATGCATTATTCAAATAATAATCAAAAATTCTCTTAATTATCAGCTTTATTATTTATTTTTACTCCAGCATCAGTATTTTTTAATTCCCTATATACAGAATCATTTTTTGCATTTTTGGTATTAGTTGCAATATATTTATAAATCAAACAAAAGACTTATCAAAGTTCTATAGTATTTGCATTATCAATTCATTTAAGATCGAATGGTATGTTTTTCATTCTTTATTCTGGATATCCTTATCTAGTAAAAGCCATAATTTAATTGAAAGATAAGAAATTCAAATAAGTTATTGCAACAATTATAGAAGCTATTCCTATTGCTTTAATATATTTGATCAGTATTGGAATAATGTTATATTTACCATATAAGAATTATTGTTAATAAAATGAGATGGAATGGTGTAAAAGCATAATACCATATGCATATGGATATATATAAGTAAATATAATATATAATCATTTAGAAAAACTTTTGGGATGTGAGTTTCTTATCATCATACAAAATAAGGAAATTATTCTTCATTTATTGGGGGATTTAAGGTATATTGATTTAAGGATTTTGGTTATATAAATGGATGACTAAATAATGTACAATTAAGAATAATATTTAAGGAATTTCAATAATATTACCTACAATAATTTTATTCATAATTACAACATTTATTGCTCATATAAATTGTAGTACAAGATTTTTTAGTACTTAAATTCCATTTTATTGGTGTTTAGCTGATCTTTTTTATAAAAAGAATGGTAAAATAAATAAATGGGTATTATTTTATATATTGGAATTTAATTTGGGAGGATTGATTCTTTTTACAAATTATTTATTATGGGCTTGATTTATAGATATATTTTATTAATCTTAATTTATAAATTTATATTAATTAAGTTTAGATTTATGTTTATTTTTAGGAAATTCCTTTTTCTATCTTTAGATAATAAAATATTGAAAGATGTTAAAATTATTAGAAAACTTAGATTAATTTGGAGTAGCCTTTTAGCCAACACTTAGATATTCTAAAACCTAACATAGAACAGTCTTAGGAGGAATAATGTCTATTTTATTATATGGACTAAGTTTGGCTTATTTATGTTATGTGTTCTTTTTATGGAAGAGTGGGTTAACACTTCCTAAAATAACAATAACTTAAAAAATAAATCAAAATTAAGTGTTGGAATTAAAAGAAACATATGTTCAATTTGAATCTAGAAAATTTGAGTTTACATATATAGATCCATTCAATCCTTAAGCAATTATATTATAGCCTGCAATTTACTATTTAAAAAATGGTGTACTTATTGAACCACCTATTCCAATATTTATATCTTAAGAATTGAATTCAAAGTTTTATACAATTAACATCTCAAATTTCTTACTTTCTATAAGTGAAAGTAAATCTGAATTGGATCCAGAGATTGAAATGATGCTTACATTAGGTAGATGTTAAGAACATCTCTTATAAGGAGATTAGAAGTGTGCTAATGATAATATAGTGAGTGATTACTTTATGCAACCAACTAATGTTATTATTTTAAGGTAATTTATGAAGGAATTCAATACAGCTACAGAAACTGTTGATATTATTGGTAGAGAATAGATGATATCTATATAAAGTAATTTTACATTTTAAGTTCAAACTTATATAAGAATTTAAGAAACTAATGTAGATACAGGTGCATTATTTGAAAATATTAATAAATATAGATTTATAACAGATTATAGAGGGAGTAATTCAATGTTGGGATTAGATTATTTTTATAATATTTTTAGATATGATTTGTTTGTTTCTCTATATTATAAATTGGATAATATTTAATCAGAATAAACAATCACATATCCTAAATTGAGTGAAGTATTGGCAGAGGCTGGATCAATTGCTTCTACTATATTTCTCTTATCTTATTTAGTAGTAATGATAAATTAAAAATAATTATAATTTGAAGCTGTAAATAATGTAATTGGTATGTATTATCCAGATTTTAATTAAATTAAGATAACTAAAAATATATTTGGTTAAATAAGGAAAGTATAAAAGAATGATAGATTATTGGATTTAAATACATTCAAAAAATAATATTAGAAATTAGTTAAAATAGGAGAAACTAAATTATCTATATCTAATTAGATTTATGAAATCTCTAGAATCTAATTTATTCTATAATCTATTTTTACATCTACATATATGAATTAATTTCATTTACATGGAATTCCTTTTTAATTAATTGGTTATGATACATAAAAAGAAGATTAGGGTAGTACAGTTAAATTAGAAATGAGTTTAAATTAGGAAACAAATTCTATTAAATAAAGTTCAATTGTTCCAGTGAGTATCAATGAAAAAAATTAAGATACACTTTTGTCAACTTAATAGAATTTTAACATGAGACCATCAAAAAGTTCAAATTTAATGATTATAAGTTCAAAAGATAATTTGGATGGATAGAAAATAGATTATAAAGAATATAAGGATTTTGATTTTTAATTATTAATCATATAGAATGAGAAAGATGATAGGGAAAATAAGGAAGATAACAATACTTAATAAAATCAATGATAAATATAATTTATAAAATAAATATATATAACTCTATCAATTTATTATATTAACCAGAATAAATAAACTATTTAATTTAACCATGCCAGGAAATTAAGTTTCTGTTTGTAAAATATGTCATGAGTTAAAATCTGATTACACTACTAAGTGTGATAAATGCAACAAAAAAGGATGCTTATGTTTATGTATATCAATTGTTTGTTTACTAATATATGTATACGGAAGATAAAACTTAACAATGGGGTGGGCAATTATAATTAGTTTGCTGTCGATAGTTTTTGGGGTATCATCCTTTTACTATTTCTTAAACAAAGTCACCAGAGGAACACTCTAAGGTTCATATGTTGAAATATATGAATGATTTTATATGATATTCTTAAGATAAATATATATTGAGATCTATAAGTAATAGAATGTTTCAATAAAAAGTTATTTATATTATAATAATACTACAAAGAGTAAATTGATTTAGATTATTAAATATTTCCTTTATTTAATAAAAATATAGCTATTGAAGGAAAAAACATGAAATTTATTATTAATCAAATATCAGCTCCACAAAACATGCAAAGTAAATCTGAATCTTCTTTTTACTATAAAATGGCATCTTTAATAGCTGAAAATGGAATTTCTTCATGTGGTTCTTTTTCTACAACTTTAAATATTAATCTAGTATAATATTCACAAAGCATATCCAAAAAATCATCACTATTTTGTATATATTTTGATAAACAAACTTTTGATAATTGAAAGATTTCATCCCAACATAATTATCCATTACCATCTTTATCTGAAATTTAAATAAATAAATCTAATTTCTAAACCAATGTTTTGGCTCTAATACTGACCATTAATTTTAAGAATTCATTCCAATTCAAAAAACCACTATAATTAAAATCAATTTTATTAAAGATTTCTTAAGCCAAATATTCACTTTGCATAAATATCTAATAAATTCCCATTCTATATGTATTATAATCTACTCCATCATCTACATTATAGGCTCTATAACGTTAAGATGTGATTTATTGTAAGGCACAATAAAGTATATAAGTATTATGTAATTCATATCTAGAGAAATTAGTCTCAGATAATATCTTTGGAATTCCCTAAATAAAGAGTTCTTTATTAATTTTTAATAATTTATGGAGACTTCCTTTATTTGTTATTAATTCCCTAATATTCTATTAGATATGATTAATAGTTTATGCTTTTTCCTCTTCTTCATCATTATTAAAATTGACTTCAGGTCCATCCTCTTTTGAGTATCCACTATTATTATTTAAGAATTTCTTTAAAAGAGGTTCCAATAATTTAGCTGCTTAAGATATTTAACTAATTATAATATATTAAATACTTTTCAATAGTTTATTGACTTGAAATACTATCAACATGAACAGCCATTAAATCTTCATTTGAATTTTCTTCTTCTGGTTTAAATTTAATCTTTTTCAATTCTTATTCATACCATCCTTCTATTTTTTCTAATTTTTCAATTTTAGGATTCTTAATTATATATTCATCATTCATATATTATTAAAGATAATTCTTTTATTTAACAGCATTACAAGGTTAGAACATTTTATTGATAATAGGTTTAAAATTTTTATTTCTTTTGATTTCTTTATAAGAATGTTTAAGTTCTTTAGAATTCATAAATTATTAATTAATTTCTATTTCTTCAGGAACTTTATCCACTTAATATTCATCATCAATAGATTAATAATTTTAATGCACTAATGTATGAATAATGCTATCAATTTATTAAGTATAATCTGGTTCATTTTTCTTTGTAATTTCTTCACAATTATAAAGGGAACAACAATTTTCGAGATATAATAATTATGGATTAAAAATCTATTTATATACAGTAGATGTTGAATAAATTAGAACACTCTATTTTGGTGGTATATCTAAATGGGAATATACAGGTGTTCCATCTTTTAAATAGAAGTATATTTTTTTGGAATTAATTTTAAGCCTAAACATTAAATTATTATTAACCTATTCTTGACAACTGAAGTGAATTCTTCAAAAATCGATTTATCTTTAATTGAATGATCAGGTACATACATAAATATATATTGTAACGAACTTGTATTTAGATATAATTGATTAACAATAACAATTTGTCGCATTCTTAAAATAGTTATTACAAAAACTACCCTGCTGATTTTGTAAAAAAACGATCTCTTGTAGATATCTATTCCATAGTAATGGAAGAACGTTTGGCTCTTTATGAAGTTACTATTGATCTTTAACAAACATTTTCTTGTAATCTAAAGCGTTAGAAACTTTTCATTAGGTTGTTTTCAATAGAATCCTAATTTAATTTCATTCTTTTGCCATGAAATTCTATTTTTTCTTAGTATTTAGTTTCTTCAATAGTTAGCGGCTTCATTTCTTATCTACTTTCAAAATGTTTTGTAATAAGAAATGATGGAGGAGTATCTCTTGAAGAGCTTTCACGATTCCTAAAAAAGAGTTTTTAAACTTATATTTCCTCTTATTAGTTGTTCTATTTTCTATAATGTTAATAAGAGGATTTGCATTATTTATTAATGATATCAGATGAAGACTTATTTGATTTTATTGTGCTTTCTAATTAAGATTTCATGATTTTTCTAACTAATGGCTACGATTGAAATTCTTTAATAGGCGTTACAGAGGGTAGCATATAATTATTTTTATTAATATTTTTGTTACATATAGAAAACCAAACAATCAATGACGTTTTCTAAAGAATTTAATAGTCTAATATATGCCTAATTATTGTTGATCAGATTTGGTTTCATTTCGATTTCTATCAAATAAATATACCTAAGAAAAACTTGTATTTGGAATTTCCATTCTATTTATTTATTTATAGTTGTATATAATAAGTTTAGCTAATTCTTCATCTGAAATTGAATTATCATTCTTTCTAGCCATACTAATGAAATCCATAGCCAATTATTAAGAATATGTAATATGTTCAACATCATGAGTTGCTTTAGTGATCCATTCAAATTAATGTTTTTCTGGATGGAATTAATATCCATAAATAGGAACTTCTCTACCTTCACAAATTGCTACATATTTCAAATTCACTCCATCTCTACTATAAGCTGTTATTTTGAAGAATGCTCCCAAAGAATATGCTTTTTCATAGGTTTATTATACAACACCCCAATTATGAGAATAATATGGACCATCTATTAAATTTAATGTTATTATTACCAACATTCTTTAGATAATCTAAAGTTACTGAATCAATAGATTTCAATACAAAAGAATCTTCATCAGGAACTATCTCAAGTAATCTTTATTTACCCAAATCATCAGTCATTCTTGTTAAAACTTCATAATAGGATGAAGCAATGTAATTAATCAATTAAAAACCTTAACAAATTCCAAGTAGAGGATAGAATTTACCAGCCTTATTGAATTAAATAACTTTCTAAAATATAAATGATGCTGTATCAGTAAATTTATTAAAAGTGAATCCTGGTTATGTATTATTTAAATACAAATCAACATCACCTCCAGTAAATAGAACTCCATTAATCTAATTTAATATGAATGTAATTTCATCATAAGAACTATCCCAATGAATTGGAATCACTCTAGCTCCAGCCTATTCAATCCATTTTACATAACTAGAAGGGAAATAGGAGTATAGAGACTTATCATAATCTTTCAAATCAGATGGATTTGTTAGAATTCCTATAGTTGGTTTAGTAACAGATATGACTGATGATATGAACAATGATGTAATGATTATTCTTAACATTTTTTTTTATTTATTTAATATTTATGATTTAAATCAAATGTTGTATACGTCGTAGCCATGTAAGAAACGTGATCCTGGAATATCGAAATAAGGATATGGATCCTTTGTTGCTCTGGTATATTAATGAGCAGCTCTCTTCTTAAATGGAACCCTATATATTTAATATGATTATCATACCACACATCTTTTTAGAAATAGATGTCTGTAATCTATTTAATATAATCAGATCCATGTTCAGCAAACAATTCTTCTATCAATATATTCCTTTTATCTTCTGCTGCCAAATATCTAATATCTTGCATAGCTTAATAAAATGGTAAAGATTTTCTTTGCATCTTTTTCAACTCTAATTCTTTGCGTCTAATTTATTTAACAAATTCAATTATACTTGAATTGTCTTCTCACTTCAACTATATGCATTATGCCCCATACTTAGAATAGAACACCTATTGCTAAGATTATTTTGCCTTTTCTTCCTGGGATTCTCCTTTTCTCTGGAAATAGCTTTGTTCTTAATTCAGATGTGTCTCCAATTGCAATATGTAAAGGAGAATTAGCCTAATCATATCTTCTCATGAATTAAGGCTTGAATAAATTAGCCTATCTGAAAATTTTGAGCATAATATTAATAATAATACTAAATCACAATTATGCAGGTTTTTTAGAGAAATTTGATCTTTGAAAATGGCCAATTGTATTAGCCAAAGGAGAGTTTACAATCTTATTGAAATTATTCATATTTAATCTTTAATTCTATGATTCAGTTACTAAATTTTAATTACTCTTATATGTATTTAAGATAATTCTCCTATTTTTCAATTAAGTTTCCTTAAAATATATATATTTAAATTAATACCTTTTAAGATCCCTTTTAAGCATTAATTGTTTTTAATTTATTCATCATTTCTTAAGGATTCATTGAATTACTTTTTCTTAATTATTTTTTAGCAAAACTTGTTCTACTTGTCTGTACAATTGTTTCTGGAATCATATCTGTTGTATTTCTACTACTATCTCCAACAAAAGAATTACTACTACTATCATTATTCCATGGTTTATTTAATTTAGTTTATGATTTCATCATTAAAGGACGAATCCTAAAATTATTTGAAGACATTGATATTTCAGAAGCTATTATTGATACATTATCATGTAGTGATTCAGTTTCATTAATTTCATCTATTTTACCAATAATATCTTTTGATTTAATCATCAAATATTTCAAAAACATAAATATTTTAATGTACTTTGCTATTTTCTATTCTTTTTTAATTTAACATTAAATTATTTCATTTAATGTAAATGGCACTGAGATATCTCCCTTACCAGTAATCCAAGGATGTTATAAACATTAATCAGCAGTTAAACGATGTTCTGGTAAATATGCAATTGTTCTTTCCAAAAAATTTCTTATATCTTAATCCTCATTAATTTTAAAGTTCAGTGAAAATCCTTTAATTTTTTCACAATATGTTATTTTATTATCACCATTTTAATATATAGGATGTTCTCCTTTATATAACATATTATAAACTACTATTCCCAATGCCCAAATATCTACTGACTAAATATTATTTATTAATATATACTCTTGTGTAATTTCTTTTTTTAATCAATTCAGGTGCTTAATATAATAATGTTCCACAATTTTTATTCATTAAACCATCTTCAATTCTATTAATTGATGCTGATAAACCAAAATCTATAAGAGTAACATTCAATTCTTCTCCACAAAAACTTATTAAAATATTCTCTGGTTTTATGTCTCTGTGAACAATATCTTTTTAATGCAAATAACTTAAAGCTTTCAAAATTTACTTAGTTATTGGAATAACTTCATGACACTATAATTTGGGAATATAATCTTCCAATGTTACACCATCTATCTGATTCATTATTATATAAAACTTTTGCTATGTCTCAAGAAACTGATGTTAAGTTATAAAATAATTATAATACTCCCAAAATCTATATTATATTTTTATGGAACAATGTCTAAAGAGTTAGTGCTTCCTGACGTATAGCATCTTCTTATTCTTTACTTTTGTATAACTTTTTTTCAACAATCTTGATAGCAACATTACTTCTCTTAACCTTATCAAAGGCTGAAATAACAATTGCAAATGCACCCTTCCCCAACATTTATCTTGGTTCATATCTATTCAATTCAGGAGAGTAATTACTTTCCAAATTCATTACCTGTTTAAGTAATTAAATATAAGACATTTTAAATTATAATTAATTGATAAATTAATTAGTATATACTCTTGTTCAATCGTTTAAAGACTTTTTCTATATTGGAGGTTTACTTGTTCTTTACCTTTGACTTGTTAATACTTCTTATTATATCAATATATTCTAACCTCTTGATACATGATTTGTCCTCTTTAACTATAATTTATATATAAATATATTTTTACTTATTATAGAGTTTTCCCATTATTCTGAGATTGTTTACTATCCATTATACCAGATTTTTGGAGAATTGATGATTGATTCAAAGAGTTATCAGCTGTAGTGTTAGTAGTTTGATTTGATTTAACACTTCTATCTAATGATCTATGAAAATGAGGGAAAAGATATTTTGAAGATTCCTTTTGCTATTCCAACTTTTATAATTGATCACATGAAGTTCTTTATCTTCTTTAAGATTTCAAAGTAATCGTTTATATTTTGAATTAAGAAATTCTATTTGAACCAATTGAACCAGTATCAGCATTAGATCCTTAAAATACTTCTTATTTAAATTATCTAAATTTCTCATTAGTTTAAGAAATAGATTATTATTTAACTTTAGGAATTGTTATTGGTCTATTTGGTTCTTTGGCCATTGGAGTTGAGTAATGTTTATATTGATTAGCATTTGGACATAAAACTTTGAGTTATTATATAAATTGGATTGCCTATATTAGAGACTTAATTTTTTAAAAGTTGCAATGACTTTTAAGGATTTCTATAAATGTAAATGGTTCAGTAGAATCTTCTTTACCTGTAATCCAAGGATGGTCTAAACATTAATTAATATTCAAACGATCTTCAGGTAAGTAAGCTACTGTTCTAATCAAAAAATTAATTGAATTATTATTCATTCCTGGTTACCAATTCCATTTCATTTATTAAACCTTCTTACAATAAGATTCTTTATCATCAAATTATTAGTAAAATGGATGTTTACCTTAAGTTAAAAGATTGAATACAACTATACCCATAGCCCATATATCTACACTCTTACTAAATAATAGAATAATCATACTCTATTATATTTCTTTTTCTATATCAATTCTGGAGCCATGTATAAGAAAGTTCCACAATTATCACTCATAATTCCAGTTCCTTCTAAATATGTTAATTATGCTGAGAGTCCAAAATCAATCAAAGTTACTCTAACATCTTCACCCAATTAAGATATCATAATATTTTCTTAAATAAAATTTATTCATCATACCTGGTTTAATATCTCTATGTATAATATCCATAGAATGCAAATAATTTATTGCTTATAATAATTGTTTCACAATGCTATGTACAATCTAATCATCTAATTTCTTTTATTAAAATTATTCCAATGTAACTCCTGTGATTAGATCCATCATTATAAATAATTTACTTTTGGTTTCTTTACTCTACAATAACACAAAGCAAACATACAAATGTAACTCTTACAATATTTTAATGATTCAATTGATTTAACAATTGAGCTTCCTTTCTCAACATTTCTAATTGTAAAGTATTGAAATGTGATTTCTCTATAATTTTAAGTGCACCTTTTTTATTAGTCATTAAATTTTGTATCTCTATTACTGTTGAAAACGCACCCTTCCCAAGAATTCTTAGAGGCTTACAGTATTAAGTAATGAAGTTTGATTACTTCTCTTCTTAATCAATTAAAAGATCATTTAGTTAGTTCATTTATAATTATATAAATCATTTATTTTGTTTAATATATTGTATACTATTAAGAGTAAGTACATTCTGTTTCTCTCTGAATATTAAGTATTTATCATTCACTTTTCAATACAATATCAAATTCATGGTAAAAATTATTTATCATTTGAACTATTTTTAAGTGAAAAACTTAGAATTGTTTTCATATTTCTACGATTAATTTCTCCTATTTTCCTTACTTTATGATATATATTTATTTTAATGCAAAAGAGAAGATGTCAATTTCAAAATTTTATACTTGTAGATAATTTAAATTAACACTAATATTCTTAAGTTTAGATGACTTAGATTAAAATTCTTAAGGCTAAATATATATTGTATTCAATAATATATATTCAATTCACTACATTAGCTTTAAATAAATCAAAATAATTGATTACTGAAAACCCATAATTCGGTTAGAATACAATTACTAAATTTGAGATTCCATCAGATGTAGTCTTTGTTATCCTAACAGTAAAAAGTTAAATTTATTAACAAAAAAAAAATAAAACTATAATATTTAAAAAATAATCATTTTAAACATCTAAACTAACTTAATAAATATTGATAAATTTCATATTCTTCCTGTTAAATATTTTGGAATTAACTATTTTAAGTTAGCTATTACGTATTTAATAAACTTCTAAATTTAATATTTCAATTTACTATTTCATATGGTTTTTCAATATGCTATTCTAAAATTAAACTTATCCATCCAGTTAGATATTTTTAATTCTCTTCTCTCTGAATCTAAGGTATTTTCTTTGAATTACTATTTACAGATATATATTTTTGTATTATTATTAAATATAGTAGTAGATTTAACAATTCTATACTAGATTAATAAGTAAATACAAGAATATTTCAATAAACAGATGAATCTATATTAAATTCAACTAGTATAGGATTTAACTGTTAAAGTAATATATTCTTTACTATTTTAACATGAATATTTCCATATCAAGAATAATCTCTCATCCTTCTATTATCTTTATATACGTGAAGATACTCATCCTACATTCATTTATTATATATATATATATTGTGTAGAAAATATTATTGTTTAATGTACGAATTTCTGAAAATATCATCCATAGATTTTAATTGGTTTACCCATGGAGGTCTTAATGTGGAGCGTACCAACATTCTACCATCCCTTTTTAAGGAGGGAAACCAAGAAGTTGATGGTTGTACTCAAGTTTTATCTGAGTTAATCTTCGGTCATTTCATCAGTACCGAAGGCTGTACCAAGTGACAATGTGTTTTTCAATTGGAATCTGAATTGATTTTTTTAAAAAGATACTTGACTGAAGACTTGACTTCATTAACTTTGCTGCCAACTGATTCTGTTTCAGGAATGGCAATTGGGAATTTACCAATCTTGGTAAAGACATTACCAACAAGTCTTGGAATAACTTTCATAAGGGATTCTGAGGCAATCAAGATGTCAAAAGGTTTGCACCACTTTTTGATTGGTTTCTTCTCTTTGTTGAACTTCTTCAGGCCTTCTTAATCGATCGCGGTGAGACCGAGGGCCTTGGCCTGATCTGAATCGATGAGAGGTAAATCGTACCGCAATGAGTTAAATTACCAATAACACCGATTTTGATGTTAGGGTAAGGGGCATGTAACAAACGTGTTGAGCCTTAGAAACGCTTGTCTTTCTAGACATCGTAATCTCTCAATTAGATTTACAACTCTGTAGTCTCTTTAAAGTTTCTCTTCTTTCTCTCTGTCAACATTTCATGGATGAATTTCTTCAATTATTCACTTTGGATCTTGCTAAAGTAGGGTTAAGAGACATTTATTACCTCATTGCTAATTTTTTAAAAAAAATTTAAATAAAATAAAATCCATCTAATCAAGTCTTTAATTCATCATTCTCATAATAAATTATATTAATCATTTAATTCTTATTAATATTTGAATTCTCAACGGGGTATTCTCTACTAATTATTGTTTACAACTCATTAAAATATGTCAAGCATGTAAGAGTAAGTAAATATTTCTAATGATATTAAATAATAACTAACATATTCACTACAGATTCTTTTAAATTCAGATTGATAAAATAAACATAATACTTCTACTAGGATTAGAGTTATTTTGAATAAAATGTTATTTGTTTTAAAAAATCATAATAAAATAAAAATATCTTTAAGTAATAATAGTGTCTTTAGTGTGAATAGACCATTTTATAATACTTTTATATATGAGAAAACCCTATAAACAAAAAAATTATTAATAAGTCAATAAATATTCACAATTATTTTCAATATTAATTGTACATAAAAAAAGAAAAGAAAATAATTTATATTAATTAAATATATGTCTGATTCTGATGATAGTGTTACGGAATTACAAGAGGAATCTGATAAAGCAGAAGTCATCCAATACTTTAGTACTAATTATGCCAAAGTTGTTTCGAATTTTCAATAGTACTATGAGACAAGAAATCATATGTCCTCATTAGTAATGAAAATGAATGCATTCGAAAATAAAATAGATGTAATTACTATTAATGCATTCAGAAAGTCAAGAAAAGCAACCTCTATGATATACGTGAAATTAGCAACAAAACAAACCTCATTATTAATCTTACCAAGTTGTAAAACATGCTACTATAAATGAAAAATAATATCATCCATGGATAGAAATCTATAATGAATATCAAATAGGATAAGCATACAGCTGCTATTAGAGCCATTTAGAAATTAGACTCCAAAAATTTACCAGATTTTGTATCTAATCTCTAATAATTGATAACTAATAAAGTTTAGGTTGAAGCTAATACAAAAATATAATAATGGGTAGAATTAAGTAAATAATAATAAATTGATATGGGTTTGGGTGTGATTTAGAATTGTGAATAACTATAAATGGTTAATTCTTAATTTGCAAGAATTTCTTTATTTTAACCTGATATACGATCAAGCATAGTTATGAGATAATCAACAGTANTAATTTTTTAAAAAAAATTTAAATAAAATAAAATCCATCTAATCAAGTCTTTAATTCATCATTCTCATAATAAATTATATTAATCATTTAATTCTTATTAATATTTGAATTCTCAACGGGGTATTCTCTACTAATTATTGTTTACAACTCATTAAAATATGTCAAGCATGTAAGAGTAAGTAAATATTTCTAATGATATTAAATAATAACTAACATATTCACTACAGATTCTTTTAAATTCAGATTGATAAAATAAACATAATACTTCTACTAGGATTAGAGTTATTTTGAATAAAATGTTATTTGTTTTAAAAAATCATAATAAAATAAAAATATCTTTAAGTAATAATAGTGTCTTTAGTGTGAATAGACCATTTTATAATACTTTTATATATGAGAAAACCCTATAAACAAAAAAATTATTAATAAGTCAATAAATATTCACAATTATTTTCAATATTAATTGTACATAAAAAAAGAAAAGAAAATAATTTATATTAATTAAATATATGTCTGATTCTGATGATAGTGTTACGGAATTACAAGAGGAATCTGATAAAGCAGAAGTCATCCAATACTTTAGTACTAATTATGCCAAAGTTGTTTCGAATTTTCAATAGTACTATGAGACAAGAAATCATATGTCCTCATTAGTAATGAAAATGAATGCATTCGAAAATAAAATAGATGTAATTACTATTAATGCATTCAGAAAGTCAAGAAAAGCAACCTCTATGATATACGTGAAATTAGCAACAAAACAAACCTCATTATTAATCTTACCAAGTTGTAAAACATGCTACTATAAATGAAAAATAATATCATCCATGGATAGAAATCTATAATGAATATCAAATAGGATAAGCATACAGCTGCTATTAGAGCCATTTAGAAATTAGACTCCAAAAATTTACCAGATTTTGTATCTAATCTCTAATAATTGATAACTAATAAAGTTTAGGTTGAAGCTAATACAAAAATATAATAATGGGTAGAATTAAGTAAATAATAATAAATTGATATGGGTTTGGGTGTGATTTAGAATTGTGAATAACTATAAATGGTTAATTCTTAATTTGCAAGAATTTCTTTATTTTAACCTGATATACGATCAAGCATAGTTATGAGATAATCAACAGTAGGTAGAGTATCTATGGTAAGATAATCAATAGTTAGATAATCTGTTGTTCCAAATCAGAATAGAATATCATTTTTTTCATAATTCAAATAGTAATAAACATCAAATATGTAAGTATCACGATAATCTCAATTAAATTAATCAATAATGGATTAATCTTAATAAATGGTTAATGAATAATCATTGATTGAACCAAGTGCCTGGGAATTTTCAATAGATTATTCATAATTAAAATTACCTTAAATGATTTATGAGAATTTGAATTAAAAATTAAGTTTCTATTAATAATTAAAATAAAGCAGAATAAAGTTTTTGTAATATGTTTGTGGAACTGAAATAAGATAAAGTTTAAATGATTTCAGAAATTATTTAGCTTGTATTTTAGGATTTGTTTTAATGGATTTAGAATTGAATAAATCATTTAAGGATTATGAGGAAATGAATTAAGTAGTATTAGAAAATGTTAAATTAATAGAAAAATAAATAAAGAATACATTTATTAATTTTGATCTAAGAGATTTATTATAAATAAAGAAAGAGATATAATTATTTAGTGTTGCTCTAGCAAAATTACATCAATATTAATTATCAAATTAAATTAATAAATGTTTAAATGATTAATTTTTAGTCTATTCAAATAGAAGAATTGAAGAGATAAAAAAAACATTAACTAAATCAATTTAAACTGATAATGGATATCCATTGGTTTTGTAAAATAAAGAATAATTTGATTAATTATGTACTATTTTAAAATGTCCTTAAAATAAAAAATTAGAATTAACTATTTCATAATTTGCATAAGATGCTGTTTACTAAATTAATTTATTTATTGAAGGATCAATTACATATTTATAATCATTAAATGAATATTTTGATTAAAATGTAATTTTTTACATGGATACTCTCTTTATGGCAATATGTGATATTATTAAGAATTATGTATAATAATGTGATGATTTCATGTTATTAGCATAAGCTACCTTAAATTTCAATCATTTAGAATTATCTATTTAGTATTATAAGAAGAATATAGAGAGTTTATTATAAGTAACTCAAACAAAGGAAATGGAATGTTAAAGTCATTTTAAAAATACAAGGTATTTCTGTGAGGAGGCTTTATAAAATGCAATAAATTAAAAGATTATACTTCCTTAGATAGATTGGGCTCCATCTGCTCCAAATAAAGGACCTCATGATTATTTTATAATGTTAAATGGATATTATGAAGTAGCAATTCTATAATTAACTTTAGAGTATTATTGGTACATTATAATTAATGGTTCCATAATTTATAGAATCTTCTATTTATCTTACATTTAAATACTTAAATAAGTTAATTTGGAAATAATTATTAGAAGTTAAAGCATTCAATATAATTGGATTATCTAATTTAGAAGTTGATTTATAGAGTTTTCTAAAGACTTGTAATTAATAATTGTTTCCTGAAAGTTCTAAGGAGATTATTTAATTTTTAAATCTATTCTTGATTGATGTACCAGCATCATATTTAGATAATCAAAAAAGATAAGCTAATTATTCTTATTTGGAAGTGGCAAAATTACTAAAAATATTTCCAAAATATAAGGTAAAATGTATTATAGATTAAATTAGAAAGTGATTTATGGAAAATTGCCAGTAGTTAGAAAGAGAGAAGTAGATGCTGTAATTAAGAAAATATAAGAAAATTTATAAGCATTTTGATCAATCAAATGATTAACATTATTATTAATAATTCTTCAATAACTTTGATAGCATAGCGGAATGTTTACCAATGGATGGTTAGTTCTTTCGAATTTAGGTCAACATCTACATAAGTAAATCTATCCCTTATTTCATGCACTACTCAGTCACATTCCCATTTTAATTTGTATGGCCAAATAACACTTTAGTATATTTTTAGATCTCATTCACATCTGTGGGGATCTTGTTTCTGTAAGTCATGATGCTACAAAGTTAACTTACTTGTCAATAAGTGCAACAATAATTGTTGTTATAACCTTTTTGGAACGGTTCCTCTTTGCTTTCTTTTAAATTCTTCCTTCCTTTAGATAAACTGATTTTACTGCTTTGACAGTCGATAGTGGAATTTAAAATAATTAAGCAACCTAAATAGTGTTCTATAACATTACTTCTTTAATTTTCATCTTTTCCTGAAATATTTTTTCCACTATTTGTTGTCTTTTATGGTCATCCACAACATTATATTTCTATGGTCTCTTTTTTCTTGTTTAAGTCATTTTTTTCATACTGATAAAAATTTATTAAAATTAATAATGTTCTAGAAATTTCATTTTATTGGTATAAGCTGAACTAACATTTTATTAAATTAATTAAAATCCTATCTTCATCATATATAAACATTTGAAATAATAATAATTTTATATATATTTATATATATATATATAATTTACTCCACACTTCATTATTATGATACTTATTATGTCTATTATGCAGATTAGAATTAGCTAATCTGATTATTTTACCATTCTAAATTAGGATCACTTGTATAAAATGGATTAGTTGTCTATTATAAACATTTTATATACTTTTGCATTAGGATATTCTTATAAGAATTCTAAATCATTTGATTCTAATTATTAAACATTAAAAGCTTTATTCTACAATATATGTTCACAATGTGATTCTATATTGATTTTATATAAATAATATACTGATAATTTTATCTAAATTAGATTTAATCTCAACACTCTTCCAAAAATCAGCATCAAATTTATTCAAATCTTATTAGTACTCCTAAACATATTAAAGTTAAGGTCCTTTATATGAATTTACTATTAAAAATATATATATATATTATATTACAATATTGAATCAGCATTAATTGATACTTATGATTAACAATTTTATTTGATTCTGTTTAATTGGTTCTGAGTTTGTTTAATAATTTAACACTCAAAAGAGGTCTATTCTATTGAATATAGAAAGAGACAAGTTGTTTGAATGCTTAAAAGTTAATTTCCTTATTATGATAATTTGTATGAATCAAAACTTAAGCAAATTGATTTTACAACTTAATAATATCTTATTCAGTCTTTAATTATGATAATAAATATTCTCCTGAAAGATCAAATTTCTTCTATAATTCAATACTATAAATATGTCCTTCAATTGAAAACTATTCTCTTAAATGTTTCTCTTCCTCTTACTTTTATTATAACTTTTATAATTGTTTCTTCTCTTTTGGTGTTAATTTCTTCTACTCTACTTTCCCTTAATCCTATTATTTGAGTTTTAATCTATTCAAACCTTCAATCATTAGACCTGCAGTTTCAATAAAATATTTAGCACTATATCTAGTATCCATAGCATCAAACATCTATAATAATGATCTTAATGTGTATTTCCTTATTGAAAATTAATAAAAATCTAATTGATCATCATACATTTCTTAATAATGTTTAAAAATCAAATAAAATTAAGCTAATGCTGGTCCAAGATAATTCAATCTTAATAATGTTCTACCAACTCCTAATTCAAACCAAATCATTTATAATTCATATGGATTTGATCCATCTCTTAAAAACATTCTTAATAATTCTTAAGACAAATAAACCATATTTGCTCTTAATGCATATTTAATTGTCTTATTATTCAAATATCTATCAGCCAAATCTAATTATCTTGCTCTATCTGCTGCTTCATATGCCTCCTTGAATTTTTCTTATTTATGTAATGCCTTAGCTTTAATTAAATACAATTCATGTAAAGTTGGTGTATGGGTAATTGCTTCTTCAACCAATTGTAATGACTTTTCATATTATTTAATTTAATAATAATGTTAAGATAAAAGCATCAATGCCCATAATTTTTAGATTGGACCTGCATTTAAATAAGATTCAAATGATTCTCTAATAATATCCAATTTCTCATTTTATTTATATAAATGCTTTATTTCTCTAAATAAAGAAGGAAGAGACTTCTAAAAAAATGGATCAATAAATTTCAAAAAATTAGTTTTAAATTTATCTCCACTTTATTCAGCTAATAATTAACCCTAAACTAAAGTGTTATCATAGATTGATAAATCAAATTATGGATCTGCCTTCTTTAATAATTAATAGTATTTCCAATTTTATGGTTATAATTCTAAAAGGTGTTTTGCTGCTTCTACTGCATCTTAAGTCTATCCTAATTTGATATATAAATCATATTGGAGTTCATAATATGCCACCATATCTGTAATATCACTTTTTATTATAAAGAATATTATACTTTTTGAATGCATTTATACTTTATTTGGCTTTTTAATAATCTTTGGCATCTATGGCAAGTTAGATTTAATATAATTTGAATTCATTCATTTCAACTTTCTTAATTGGATTCTACTAATCCTTTTAGATTAGTTATTCAGCTGAACTGATTGCTTTAAATGCTATTTCATAATTTCCAATTAAATGTTAAGCAAATATGAATGCTATCCAATTCACAATCATGTTTGATTTTTTTGTCAATAACTTATGTCTAAGTTAAGCATTTCCTTCAAAATCCCTTGTATGAATTTACAAATTAGCTGTGTCTCTCTCTAATTGAATGTTTTCTTCTCCTTTTTTAATTGCTTATAGGAAACATTTTACAGCCTCAATATAATTTTTTTAGGCCTTATAAATTAAACCATAAATATGCCAACAAAAGTCTGATCCTAAATTCTTAAACACTGCTTGCTTAGCTAATTCTAATCCTTTTTGTTGTTCATCATTGTAATACATAAAGATGGCCTTAAGAGACACGACTTCCCAATTATCAGGCACTTACTCCAATAATTTTTCTGTATTTCTAAGACCCTTTTTATAATCTTTAGCATCAAGTAATTTCTATTTTAAGTGATTATTCATACCACTAAAGCTTTGAATTCACCACTTTATTTAGCATTTAATGAATTTTAAGCAGGTTTCATATCTTACCAAATTAAATAAATTAAATTATTTTATGTATTATTATACCTTCATCATTCGAAATATATTTTCATTTCCAATGTCTTAAATAAAGATATACAAATAAAAAATCTAATTGAAAAAAAATAAAACAATTTAATATCTATGAATAAACTAAATTTCATAATCATTCATCTTAATTTTATTAAATCAAAATTTCAAGAACTGGTATTAACCATTAATTAATATCTTCACTATTATGTAATTTTATTAATTCTAAATTATCATCTCCATCATCATATGTTGCTTTCAATGAAAAATCTTCACTTATATTAATAAGTGCTAAATTTCCTAAATTCCATATTAATTATTATTACTTTTATGAATACATTCTCTACTTATTGGATCTATAAATTAAATTTCATTATTTAATGGATTAAAATTTAAAATATAATCTTTAAATTAATGATTATCTTAAACTTTAGCTAATACACTTTAAATTTATTTATTATTGTTATCTTATGTAAACTCTGAATGTCTTATTCTTTATTTTTACTTATTCATTTCTACAGATTAAATTTTATTTAACATCTTCTCCTTTATCCTAATAACTTTTTATTCCAAAGCTTCTAATTCATCAGCTCTTACTAAATCTATACAATTTTCCACAACCTTAAAGACTATATAAAATCACATACTCCTAAACAAGGAATAAGAAGATATCTCATAAATTTAGTAAAGTAAATATAAAAAGTATTAGAATATTCATCCATTTCCAATTTTTATATCAATTTATATACAAAATCATGCCATTTTGAGTGAGGTAATGTAATATATCCTTTAATTATAAATGGACATAAGAAACCAAAGGGAATTAATTCTAAAAATAAAATAAGCATCCATTCAAGTTCAATGAAAGAGTAAAGAAGTACCCTAAATATTCTCTATAACATTACCATTTAATTAATAAAGTGTCTTCAAATTCTTAATTCTATTTTTTGAAAGCCTAATAGGTCTTCCAAGTTATTTGAAATACACAATAAAGACTAGAATTATTAATAAATATTTACTTCATTAATTTTGTAGCATAATCTATAAGTGACATTTTTTATGATAATAATAATTCTTTTGATGAATATATTAGTTATTATATTCATAACTAAATTAATATTAAAATCTAGAAATTTTAATTCAATCTCTTATGGTATAAATTACACTTCAAAGTAGTTTTATTTAGATTCTAAGTTTACTTAAATTTATTTCTAAAAATATTATGTAATTACATAATCGTTAGTAATAAAGTTGTTTTTATTGAAGAAATAAACTTTGCCAATGTTATTAGTTTATTTTAGATTAAATTGAATACAAAAGCTTTTTATCCATGATTAATATTACCATAATTTTAAATTTGCCGCATTTTTTAAAAATAGTATTTTCAAAAATTTTTATATTTACAACTCAAAAACTATAAAATACAAGTTAAAATTTAACTTGGTTGATGTACCACCTTGTATTTATAGATTATTGACTGTTTTTAACAAAGTTCAATAAAATAATAAATGCTTTTTAATATATTAAAGATATTTAATTAGGATAAATTAATTTAAGATTAATTATCTGAAGAACATTCTTAATGAATGAATTTTCTTCTAATTAAAATAACTTCAATCTATTGTATTAAAAAATGGATATCTTTCTCAAAAACTTATTAATGAAATCCTTAGTAAATCAGGCAGAATCTAAGTTGCTAATCTTAAAATAAAATGATTTTAAGGAAATAAATAATGATTGTTAAACAAATGGTCTTTGTTGTAGAAAGAAAATAAAAAGAGAGTAGGTTGATGAAAATCAATACTGCTTAGAAGGGGGTTAGAGAATTAAGTAACAAGAAGAAGAATAAAAAGAACAAGATGTTGGAATAAATAAATATATATATGATATGTAATAAACAAATAATTAACAATTAGGAATAAAATATTGAAGGAGTAGTAAGAAGATTTGTTGTTAGAATACCGATTAGAGAATTCAATTTAGTATATAGATGGTGAAACATTAGTATTATATATAATTATACTCTAGGTTAAAGCAATGAAGTCACCTGATCTAATTATTTATGATTGTCGATATTAATATGAATTTTAAGGTGGACATATAAAGGGAGCTGTTAATTTGAATCATTCTACAAATTTATTCGATGAATTATTCTGTGTATAGGGATAGTCAAAGAAAATTGTGGTTTTGTATTGTGAATTTTCAATAAAAAGAAGTCTCGAAAAGTATTAATATAATTTATAATTTTTAGATATTTTGAGATTCGAAAACTAGATAGAAGTATGAATTAATATCCAAAATTAACATATAACAATTTGTATCTATTGTCAGATGGATATTCAAAGTTCTATTAGAATTTTTCTCATTTTTGTAATGGATTTTATATTTCAATGAATGATCCTTAATATGAATAATAATTGGACTAAGAATAATAAAAAAGGATAATTTTGAAACATAAAAATAATTATAGAAAATCACTTGCTGTTTGAATATGAATTGAATTATAAAACACACTATATTTATAATATTATAAATTTAAAAGAAATAAAAAATGTAATTTAAATAAAAATTAATGTTATCATTTTGAGATAATTAATTTATTCTTAAGTCTTTTTTGTTGTTTGAGTTGAAGTTGAAATTGAATTCTTGAAATAATTTAGTTAATTTTATTTATGGTTATGAAAAAGATGAAATGAAGATTATTTTGTTGACAGTTACAAGTTGAATTAATCAATTTTAGAATCAAAAGGAATGTACTGTTATAAAATTAAATAAATTTATCAAAAATATATAATATGGATTGTCGTTAGATATAATAAGTGTTCAAATTTTCACTTTTTTATATCCACATCTTTGAAATTGATTCTCTTGTAGTTAATAGTAATGGGAAATACAATTGAGTTACTTAGTCTTTTTGTCATTATTATTGAATGAGATGGATTTTTACTGTGGTTAATAATTATAATAAATATTGAAGTTGATTAGTTACTCTTCTTCTGTTGAATTAGATAAGTGTTCGACTTACAAAGCTACCTCAGTTTTTAATCCCTTTTATTTTTTATTTATTTAATACCTCTGGATATACATGAGAATATAAATAATATTCTTGGGTCTATTCTGGATGAGCTAATGGCTTAGCGAATTCCATTATATTTTTGTAATATTCCTAATTTGTACTTCCATACTTAAGAGAGATCCTATAAAGAATTCAAATGATATAAATACTCTGGAATTCCATACTTTAGACAAGAATCAATGAATGCCTATAAATTATAGCCAAGTTCTTCAATGAGATTAATATCATATTAGACTTGGGAGATAAATAGCTGGTCGAGATCTTTTATGTATTTGTATTGATAGAGTCCAGAGGCTCTGTAGTTAGGTACAGAATTCTAATTATATGTTATGTTTTAAACATACTTCGAATGTTCCTTGCACTTACTAAAGACCATCTTTAAGAGATTCATTGTATTTTTAAATGTATTGACTCAGTTAATGAATATCTGAATCACCATAACTATCCAACTTTTTTACAACATATTCCCATGGAGTAATCGAAAAATCTAATTGGGTATACTAAATGATAAGTCTTCCCTTTTAGATCAGAACCTGAGAGACCTTTTTGTATGGATTTTGGCTGCTAACACCCAATTTAAGATTATTATTGAAGACAATATTTTTGGCATCAGAATAGAGATGAAAATCCTATTTTTAAAGAGTAAAAAGGAATATTACTCCATTCATTCTAAAAGTTGAAAGGGGATTAAGAAATCTTTTGGGGAACACAACTAGTTAGACTTGTTTCATGTTGTTGTTATCTTCTTCATCTTCACCACAAGATGTAGTTAGTAAATGCTAGTCCATCTCAATTTTTAATCAAATTAATTAAACTATATCCATTTTTAATTTTAAGCATAAATAAGGCATTAATGATTAATTTAAAAGGAGAAAATATTATAATAATAAATACATTTAATATTTTATCAAAAAAAAATTAATTAAATTAAGTTTAATGATGAATATATCTATGTTGATTTGTTAATGCTAATTTATTATAATCAATATTTATTAAATTTATAACCAATTTGAAAAATAAGAGTAAAGTGACCTAATTTTAGAATCCAGTTAATCTATCAAGAGGACACAAAAATAACCTAAAAATTACAAATTAATACTCATTAAATAAGTATATTTAATAAAATAATCTATGCTTATAAATATATAAATATATTTTAAATTATTCATTAATGATTTTCAGAATCTCCAGGTCCTGTTTTTCGAGTATTTCTGTCAAATTAGTACAATAGAATTTATATAGTTTAGCCTCCTTTCAAAGTACATCATTTAGAACTTGACCAACTTCCACAAACAACTACAACAACATCGGCTGAATTGCTTGCTTATTATAAGAGTATGTAATTGTAAAGACGTATGGAAATTGCTTGTGACAATTTATACAAACAAAGATTGATTAGAGGTATTACAATTTGTTTAATCTTTCTAGGTTTCTTACATCTAGCTGATGGTCAAGAATCAATTTATGAAGGATTACATGCAGCATTAACATTTGATGACTGTGTTATTACAGCATATAGAGATCATTGCATAGCATTACTCAGAGGTGATACTCCTCATTAGATTATTGCTGAAATGATGGCAAAGTAAACAGGAAGTACAAAGGGTAAAGGAGGTTCAATGCATTATTACAAAAAAGCCACCAATTTTTATGGTGGTCATGGAATTGTTGGTGCCTAAATTCCATTGGGAACAGGATTAGCATTTGCTTAAAAGTATAATAAAAAGCCAAATGTGACTTTAATTATGTTTGGAGATGGTGCAGCTAATTAAGGATAATTATATGAAGCTGCCAACATGGCTCAATTATGGCATTTACCAGCTATCTATTTTATTGAAAATAACTTATTTGGTATGGGAACATCAATTGACAGAGCAAGTGCTAATACCAAATTCTATACAAGAGGTGATGTAATTCCAGGAATACAAGTATATATATTATATAAAAATTGTTAGATTGATGGAAATAATGTCTTCTAAGTTAGAGAGACACTCAAATTTGCCAAGAAACATTGTCTTGATAAGGGACCAATCTTTATTGAAGCCATGACATACAGATATCATGGACATTCTATGAGTGATCCAGGTGTCACCTATAGAACAAGAGAAGAAGTTTAATAATAAAGAAAGACCAGAGATTGTATCAACTATGTTAAAAATATTATTCTTGAAAATAAAGTTGCTGATGAACATTAATTGGAAGTAATTAAATAATATATACTTTCTCTAGGAAATTGATAACACTGCATAAAATGAAATTGATATAGCTGTCGAATAAGCTAAAGTTGATCCAGTTCCACCAAGTACTGAATTGACAACTGATGTTTATGTTGACAATTAAAATCATTTCATTAGAGGAATCTTATATAAGGATAGTATTTTACCAAAGAGTCAATGAAAAATTACCATTTAGAAAAATAATATATAAATAGTTAATATTTTAATTGAAATTCTTAATATCAAAAAAGATTCATATATCTAATATATCATGTTCTTCTATATTAAAGACTTAACTGAAAAAGAAATGTTTAGATGTGGATTTTGGAAGTATTCTGAGTATATTTTCAATATCTTTCTTATAACCTAAATCTGTAGTTTGACTAAATTCCTAGAATACCACACTCTCCAAAAATATTGGGTTCAAATACTTTTGATAAATTACATAATATAAACGATCTGCAGTTCCTATCACAATCTATGCTTCCTTTAATGACTTTCTGTCTTAAACAATAGAATTCTTTTTTGATACTTAATACACATTGTTATAGTATATATTTAGATGATCAAGCATAACCTTGATAGCAATAGCACTTTGATCATCTGGTGAAACAATCATTACTTAAGGATATAAACAATCTTATTTAATAAATGCTATTGATGTTAATGCTATGACTGCATCTTTTTCCCATTTATCCTAATATTGCAATAAAGATTTATATTCAAACAATAAGTGAACAATAGCCATTTACATAAATTTATTGATTTCTTGATACCCAAATTTCATGAATATTTTAATCATTTCTTTAGGTATATTCAGTTAATATATATTACTATACTTAGAGTATTTCTTTTTCATATTCTCTAAGTTTAATTCAAATAATTCCTTCAAGATCTCAGGATCAGCTATCCTAATATATCCAGTTCTAACAATATATTATTATTTCATTTATTCTAATTGTTTCTGAAATATGGATCTTCCCATACTTAATGTGGATGCCAATTTAATATTAGAGAACTACTAAGTGAGAGGATTGTTAATGCAAGAATCGTATTAATGTGGCTTAATAGTTCTCTTTGGATTCTTGATAGATTCAATATTTGTTTAACAAGACTGCTGGAATTAAAGTTGATTTCGTAACATATATATATATATATATAAATTTATTATTAAATTCAGATTTTTTTAACAATTTAAACAACATCCTCATCTAATAATTAATGATCCTTTCCTACTTTTTATGGATTGTATTTAACACTAGCTCCCCATACAAGTGCATATCTAAAATCCTTAATCATATTTTTGTGTAACTTATTACAAAAATCAGTTATTGTTGAAAACTTTCTTTGCAATATAACAGGAGCATTATAATCTATTAAAAATTATCTCTATATAAATACCTGGTTCTAATCCTTTTGGTTTAGTATAAATACGTATCAAATCTAAATAATCCCAAATTCTTTCCACTAATTCATCTAAATTCCATTCTAAAAAGGCAGAAATTGGAACATAATGTGGAATCTTATCCAAAACATTAAGTTCTTCTAAAGTGATATCGTCTATCTTATTCATTACATAAAGACATGGAATATATTTACGATTACCTTCAATAATATCAATTAAATCTTCATCAGTAGCATCACATTTAAAATTGATATCACAATTGTTAATCTTATATTCACGTAAGATGGCCTATTTAAAAGTATTTATAAAATTAATACTTTTATTGTCTCATCATCTAATCTTGGAGCATCATGTGTTCTAGAAATAGTAATACCACCTTTGTCTCGTTTCTTGAATTCTATTTATGGTGGTTATTTATTTAATCTAATTCCAAATCCTTCAAGTTCTCTTTCTATGATTTTTTTATGAACCATAGGTCTTGTGGCATCCAACACAATCAATATTAAATTACAAGTACGAGCCACAGCAATAACTTATTTACCTCTACCTTTGCCATCCTTAGCACCTTCAATAATTCCTGGTAAATCAAGTAATTGTATTTTGGCACCTTTATGTTATAAGACCTATTAATATATTGAATATTCTCTACTCCAGGTATGCATGTCAGAGTTGTAAATTCATAGGCTGCAATTTTAGAAAACACTCCTGTAAGTTTTGTAAGCAGTGTACTCTTACCCACAGATGGAAATCCTATCATACCTATACGTGAATCTCCACTCTTAGAAACTTCAAATCCTTCTTAAGTGCCACCTCCTTTTTTAGAGGAGGAATCAATCATTTCTCTCTTGAGTTTAGCCAATTTAGCTTTCAATAAACCTAAATGATATGATGTGGCCTTATTTTTTTAGGTCCTCATCATTTCAGCCTCAATTTCGGCAATCTTTTATGCTGTGGTCATTTTTAATTAAAATATGATTGTACAAAAACAAACATCAGGTTCAGGTGGATTCAAGATGCCAGCTGAAATAGCAAGAGGCAAGAAATATTAGCAATAACATATTAATAATGATCTTCCAACAAAGGATGAGCTATTTAATTAGCTAGGAATTATGCCTGACGATGACTCGGTTAGAGCTAATGATCATAGAGGAGATCATCTTAGAATTTCTAAATAATTGATATAAGAAAAAGTAAGAGACTATTTTATATCAATTTAGTAAGAGTAATTGAATTATTTGCCTCCTAAACCTCCAACTCCTTTAGTGATTAAATAGAAAGTAAGTAATTAGAGACTGACTTCTTAAGAATTAGAGAAAATGCTAGAGGAGCATAGATAATAAATGCGTCCCATAGCTGAGTAATATGAGTAAATGAGGTTGAGTGATGTAAGAAGTAAAAGTTACAATCCAAAAAGTTAACGATCTAAGAGTCCAAAAGTTAAAGTGACTTATCATGAAGAACCAATTAATATAGATAAATTGAGAGTAATTATTATTTTTAGTTATAATTTTAGCGTTCTTAAAAGGATATTGAAGGCCCACATGGAGATTTTTTAAAAGGTGTATTACCTAAACAAAAATTATAAAAATTCAAATCTGAATCTAAATTGATATCTGATGATGATTTCTAGAAGAAATTCAAAAATTATTTGAGAAATAAGAGAAAACATGATTCTAGTAGAAATAGTTCTTAAGAGAAATTAGAATTTGATTTGTATTAAAGTACAAGTCCAAATAGAGGAAGATGGAATTAAAAACATATAAATAAAGCAGTATTTAAAGATAGAAGTGTTTTAGGAAATGATTCTTCATTAAGTAAAAGTAAGAGTAAAAGTAAAAGTAAGAAGGATAAGAAAAAGGATTAATCAATGTCAGAATAATAATTATGTGAATAAATATTCAAATAAATAGATAATGTAAATAATTTATAATTATTATAAATAGAAATAAGTAGGTCTTATTGATAAAATCTAGACAATTAAATACTTGATTTCTAATCCAGAAATTATGGAAGCTTTTAATATTAATCCTAAAGATTTAAATCAATAAGTGAATAAATTTCCAACAAAATAATAAGGTGTTTTCACATAAAATGAATTTACAAAATTTTTATAAAAGTACAAAAGTTAATATGATCATGAAGCATTTGGTGGATTGAGTCATGTTTCATAATAATAGTAAGTTTCAAGTTGTTTATTGAATGAAGATTAAATATAAATTCTGAAGAATATATTTGATACATTATAAAATGATATGATTGCTTAAAGAAAAGAACTCATATAGGCATTTCGTAATGATATATAAGTAGTGAGAATGTTGCATGTTTAAGCAGCATATGTTGCAGCAATTGATAAAATTCTTAATTTAGAAACTATCTTATCATAATTAGAAGCCTAAGCATTTGAATTTCCTTATATTTCTTGGAAACAATTTATGGATGCATTTGAATATGATGCTATGGTAAGCAAATAATAATTATCATTTGCTACTCTAAAGGAGTCTTAAAAATAGGTGGATGATTAAGATAGAATTGATGCTCCTGAAGAATTATAATAATTGATGAAAGATTAATTCAATAAAATTGTAATGGATGATTATGTAACAGCTTTTGATCTTATTGAATGTATTAGAAGAGCACCACTCTATTCATAATTAAGAAAATAAATAATTAGAAAACAATCAAAAAAAAGTGATATCAAAGAAGAAACTTTAGAGTAAATATTGAAAAGAATTGAAGAAACAGCAGAGGAATATTTAACATTTCAAGAGTTTATGAGTTATTTTACAAGAAGAGGACAACCTAAATTTAATGAAGAAGTAGCAAGTCTAGCTAGAAGTGTTAATGTAACTGAGGCATTATAGAATAATGAAAATAGAATAGATGGTTATGATTCAGATCCAGAATTGCACACTTATTAGGATAAGATGTTACCTAGAGAAAGATTAATAAAAAAACATCCAAGTTAATAAGCATTATTGACATATTCTCATCGTAAAAAATCATTACCTTCTAAAACACCTATTACAAAAGAAGATTTCTTATCTGCCATCTAACCTAAACCATAATATGGAGCTCATTCAAAACCAAGTGATTATCAATTTAAAGTAACTCAACCATAACCATTTAATTTTGATAAAAGAGAAAAAGAACGTTCTCTATCAATTAGAGAAAGAAAGTTATAAGAAATGTTAGAAGAAAAGAAGAGAAATAATTCATTTAAAAGTTTTAAGGCTAAAGAAATACCTTAAATTGTTAAATAAGATGGTCTTTATGAAAAAATTATAAATGATAATGAAAAAAGAAGAGAAGAAGTTAAAAAAAATAGTGTTTAAATGACTCTTAAAAATGAAAGACCATTTTCATTTTATAGAAGAGATTAAAATTCTTCAAAAAAACCAAGAAAAAAGTATTGGGAAGAAAGAGAAAAATTTGTTTTTAAGGCAAAAGCAATACCTTGGCATGTTCATGTAGAATTACTTAGATAAATGGAATAAGATGAAGAAACTAAAAGAAAGGAACGTATTGCTAAACATGCTTAAGAATTAGCTATGAGTTCTAGAATGCCACCTAGAATGGAAATGCATGAAAGATAAAAATAAGGGTAACCTTAATCTCCAAAATATATGAAAACTTAAATTTCTTACAAAGCTAAACCCATACCAGATTTTGATAAATTACACTCATCCTTTCAAGATCAATTAAATCGAAAAAAACTATAAATGAGAACTACTGAACCTGAACCATTTAATTTCTAATAATCTCATAAAGGTGTTGATAGACCATATCTAGATAGAGAGAATGAAACAAAAATAAATACAGTTAAAGAGGATAAAATTGAAGAAGCTAGAAAAAAAATGAGTATCAAACCTGCTAGATAACCACCTTCTACTAAAAAATGGGAAAGTAATTGTGAATTCTTGAAAAAAGAGAGAATCAAGAAAGCTGAAAAATAAGAGCAAATAAAAAAAGAAGAATAAGAAAGATTAGCTAGAAAAGAAAAAGTATTTATTTATATCTTATAATTCCAAGTTCAAATAAAGAGTACAATAATCAGAAGCCATTTAAGATAATTCCAAGAAACTTGAATAATAGAGGAAAGATAGAATTGCATAATTAAAAAAAGAATCTAAAGAGTAGGAAATGAAATAAAAACAAATTATAGAAAGTTGTAAAAGGAAAGCTACTGAATAACCATTGCTTGTTGAAAGACGTAATATCATTTATAAAAGTATGATTAGCCACAAAAAGAGATGTATAATTAGAGAAAATGAAATAATTGAATAAGATTGACAAAATGCTCAAGTAAAATGGAGTTATGAATAGAGATGAATATTTCAATAAAGAAGAAAAAGCTATGCTTGATGATATACATTATTTAAAGAAACATGGATATGAAGATGATTTTGAAAAAGAATGACCATGATTTTGGATCAGAATGAATAAATATATATTTTATAATTTAATACTTATAAAATGTTTGAATAAGATTATTACAAAAGAATAATCAATAAGTAAACCACTCCAAACAGAGGTATGATTAATACAGCCAAGCCTTGGTTTCCTGAACTCAAACATCGCTTGGCTGTTAAAGGTACAATGCTTCAACCAAATAGATTACGATTATAAATTTTTTGCTCTGCCTCCTAATAAGATGATATCTTTGATTAAGAAAGAAAAGATCAACATTCCAAGCGATAACCAAATTAGGGAATTCTTAAGAAATCATTCCCTTAAACATTTGGTTCATTATAATATAGAAGATTATAAAAATGTAGAAGCAATTTAACCATAGCAATGTCATTCTTCAAAAAACATTAGCCACAATCATCGCAAATTTATTAAATAAACTTAATAAAATAATAATGGATTTTTTTTTGAATAAAAACCAAAAACTGCTTAATAAAATTAAGAAACTTAATCATCTTTGTAATATACAAAAATAAGAGAGTTGAAATCATAAAATCTTTAGAATCGACCAAAAATTGAAAATCCATCTTAAGATATCTGCTTAGAAAAACCTAATTTGAGATTTCAAGAATTATCAGTTAAATCTACTCCAAAATTAAATCCTACAATTTCTAAATGTTTTCCAAGCACTAATAAAATGAAAAATTATAGAAAAATTAACTTATTGATGCGTTCCTTAAAGAAAATTTAATTACTTGGCCTCACTATACCTGAGATTATGACATAATAAATATTTTAGAAAACAGCTTTTGCATCTTAATATTCAAAAGAATTCATTTTTGCTGCAAAATCTAACAATATTGATTAAATTTTAAATTTGTTATAGACCCAACCCTTTTTAGTGTTTCAATACGACTATTATAATATGACAGCTCTACATTGGGCATGTAAACATGGCCATTTGGAGATAGTTAAAATCTTATTATAATATCATGCTGATTTTGATGCTCTTGATGTGATGAATAGAACTCCATTAAGTATTGCAATATCAGAAAATTAAAAAGAAATTGTTAAATTATTATTAATCTATGGAGCCAATCCATGGAGTACTATTCTAACTGATTTAAAGATATCTCTTTAAAGAAATCCTGAATTGAAGAAAATAGTTAGTGAAGCAAGAAAAATCTAAATTTTGAATAAATGGAGTAGATTCCCTTAATCTATGTTTAATATTTGCTGGTGAATATATCATTTATATATATATATATATATAAAATTTAATTAACTATTATTTAATATTAATATTAATAATAATTAAAAATAATCTAATAAGTTATTGTAGGATTTAAAATTCATAGAATTATTAGATAAGAATTAAATACCTCTTAGAATTTATGTGACAGGTTTTGAAAATCATAAGAATTAAGTATAAAAAAGATAAAATAATAAAATAATGCTAAAAATGAAATTAAAAAAAATAACGATTTACAAATTCTTAGTTAATTGTAAGATAAAAGAGCAATTAAAAAACAAGTTATTAGTATATTCCCATTTTGTATAATTTATTAGTTCCCAAAAAAATAAAATACTATAGATAGTTATTACTCTTTACAATATAATTGGTATCCATAAAAAAGAAATACTTTATTGAATATTTTTTTAATTTTTTTTATACAAATTTGATATTGACTATATCATAAATGAAAAGAATTTGCACTCCATATAGAAGTATTAAATATAGAATGATGGAGCGTTTCAGATTTAAGTTTTATTAATTTAAAAATATAAATTATTATTATTAATATAAATATTAATGTCCTTACCTATTGCTGTTGTAGATAAGAATAAAGAAGTTAACTATTCTAAAGTGAATGAAAATGATTTGGTGTACTAAATAATAAAAGAAATTCATGGTGGAGATAATGATATTTTGGTTGTTAGTGATAATGTAGTCTGTTATTTTGATGAAAGTTTTTCCTAATTTAAGAAAAGAATTTAGAAAGATGAAGTCCTTTTATTTATTGTGAAATCTCTTTCATAAATTTAAAATTAGTTAATCGACATACAAAAGGAAAATTATGAATACAAAAAAGCTTATAAACTTTTATAAGATAATTTTAGGGATTAATTGATTAAAGACTCTTAAATCCAATAGAAAAAACTAGAATTTTAAATAATCTCAACTGATGGTAATTTAACTACATTTAACTCCACAATATTTGAGTAACGATTCAATAACTAAACAATTGAAAAATTATTAGGAGAAGTAACAAAAATAAAACGAATAACAAGTATTTCATCATCCAAACTTTGTTAATCAGAAATTTATTTTGATAATGAAATTACCTCTTAAGTAATTTCTTAGATAGATAGTTGCTATTTTTGTAATAATGCAATTAATTAAAACAGAATATAGCTAACATGTTTCCATAACTTTCATGAAGAATGTTTAGTATCAATATTCTTTGGTTAATTAGAAAATTAATGTAATACTTCTTTAAGTTGTTTATGTAATATAACTCTGTAAGCCCAGATTATATTGCTTATTCAAGACAAGAATAGTTAAATATTATTAAGACATAAATTATTACAAAATCAATTGAATAAACTTGTTAAAGATTATAAACTTGAAAAATGTTAGAAACTATATTGTTACTACTATTTTAAAAGGAACAATTAATTAGAAATTTAAAATAATTTCTGTCCATTATGTTTGTGTTGATTGAATATGAATTTTAAATTTAGAATTTTATGTTATAAAATATTCATTATCTTGCATATTTCTCTGGGTTTTCAAATACATCATATAAGACTTTATTTGATTTAACAATAGCACCACCATCTAAGAATCTATGATCAGTACAAAAATTCAATTAAAATGTAGGTGCAATAACAATTTATCCATTCTTAACAACTGCTTTTTCTACAATTTAATTTACAGTGACAATCAATAAGTTTCTCATCATTGGAGTGAATGGAGCAATTGCATTTTTAAATCCAAGAGTTCCTATAGAAGTCACTGTAGCAACTCCAAAACAATCTTTCTTTAAACCTAATGCTTTGATTGTGATTCCCAAATTATAAGTAAGAAAAGATGTAACTTAGATAAGTAAACCAATAGCACTATCAATAAAATAATTAAAATTACAATGGTGGAAGATATTTAAGTAAGCCTGATCTTTATTGATGTTCTTCATCTTTTCCCTATTTGGCTAGTTTTGCTTTACCATTGATATATTCGGCAATATCTTCAAAAGTTTTCTTATCAGCATTTTAAACTAATAATGCTGCTAAATCATCTCCTTCACCTATATTTACTAAACATGATATATCAATTGTAGGAAATTCAACAAATTTACCAAACACTATTTTTCCACATATTTTCTTTCTACTAACATTAATACATTCAGCAATTGCTCTAATACAAATATGGGTTAATGTAACATGTGAATCTCTTATATAATGATAATATAAATACTTTGCTGATTTACTTGATAGATATTTCATAGTGTTTGTCAAGTCTATTTCTACTAAATTATGAATAACTCCTTCAGTTGGTGGACTCCAAAGTGCTTAAGATAATCTTCTTCTACCAGATCCATAGCTTACAGAAGGATAGAAAAAATAGGATAATGCCTAATAAATAGCTATTAGATTAGATTGATTATTACCTATGATACCAAGAAATATGTAGAGGAGTCTAGTATCAAATAGAAATGAATAGATTAGAACTGACGCTATGAAAGCGTTATTTACGATTGTCATAAAATAAATTAATTAATCAAAAGAATTATATTTATATTATGGGAAACAGTATAATTATTAAAAATATTCAGATATATGTGGATTAGATGAAGAAAAGAAACATGTTTTACAACCAGAATCCAAAATAATTACAACCAGAACAATCAAATAAACAACTATTTCAATTATACAGGCAGATATAGCTGAGGATTTGTCAGATGTTGTTGGTACTAATTGCAATTCATTTTAGTGAATGCATCTCATGAACCTGCATGGTCTTATTTAGCAAAAAGGTATTCTTTAAATTATTTAAATTTATAGAAATAAAAACAATAGTGCTAATGAACTCACTCAACAAAGTATTTTTTAAATCTGATATAATAATAGTGAAAATAGGAGAATTGATTAAAACTAAAAGTGATAATGTTAATTCATTAGAAATCTATCATGTGCGTTTACCATATTATTAAGTAAGATTATATATTAATTAATTAAGGATACAAGAGATCTATAATTAATATTTTAGAGTTATTAAGTTTGTTTAAGATAAAAGGGATTTAATTCCATATCATTTACTGAGTAGAATTCCCCTAACTTTTCAATTCCAAAATAATTTCATGCTGAAGTTCTTATCAGAGCAATATTATAGTAATTATAATCATTTATTTCTTAGATCAATAACAGATGATGAAATAGCTTTTGAATAAATTAAATTTGTTAGTTTAGATTAGATTACTTTGAAATACTTTGCATATGAATTAATGAAATTATTAGATGAATTCAGAATACCAGATTTGTATAAATTTAGATAATAATAATTCTTAAATTATTTATGTATATTCATTTTTAATATTTAGAAAATACCGAAGAATTAAAAAATGAAGTATATTTATTAAGTACTGGTATCACTACTGATATAGATTAATTTGATGGATAATAATGAATATATTATTAAAATAATTATTATATTAATCTATAAATATATATATGTATAATGATTTTCTTAAGATAAAATATTTTAAGGATAAATCATATATTAATCCTTAGAATATTATTAACCTAATCTTAAATTATTAAAATACTTATTTTATTTCTAGCCCAATTTAAGGATAGGTGATCCTAAAGTCTCACTATAGAATAATTCATAATTGAATTTATGATGCTATGCAACTATTTAAAGAATAACAACTTTTATCATGATTAATAAGATAAATCAATTGTAAGCATTTAGCTAGATTCATACAATTTAGAGGATAATCATGTTCAATTGTGATTCATTCATTTTGAACAATAATGATCTAAATATTTCATTAATTACATAATTTATAATATTATCTATATTTAACTTATTTAACACTATATCTAAAATACTAATTAATATCATATTATTATATTATTAGATATATACATAAATACATTAATATCATGTATATATATATATAAATTAAATGTGGTATTACAAATTATAGAAGTTTAAGACATAGATTAAACTGACTATAATTTATTAAGTATTCTTTTATCCTTTACATATTGTTAAGATAATTAATAATATTTATTTATATTAATGAGATTAAATACTTTACCGGATGTTCTTTTTCCAAATCCTATTCAGCATCCGAATTATAAGATCTCATTTTTAGATAAGGTTAGGGAAGATATACTCAATGTATAGAATTAAAAATGATTATAGAATCAATTATTAAATGAACCCATGCGTAGGAGTAGATAAAATATGACTATACGTTCATAGTAGAGAGGATCAATTAGAATTATTAGTCCATCAATTGTCACGTCTCAAAACAATACATAAACTAATTTTAGATCTGGGTCTTCAAAGTTCAAGGTAATAAAAGAACACTCTCAGATGGAAGAAATGGATGAAACATTTTCTCGAACAAGAACACCATCTCAATTAGTAAAAAGATTAAAAAGAGGATTATCAATGTTTGAAAAATAGTTATGATTAGAGATTTTTTTAAAAGCATCTTTTATCAGTTCATCAAAAATGCAGAAGATTTGTCGAATTGCTTAAACCATTCATACTCTTCTTCATCTTGAAAGAATTGTTAAAGTGGTTTATAGATATCTGTTGGTTCTTTATTCAATCTTCGTTATCTTGTACTAGAAGTGCGTTGTTGTGTATTTATTGCATTTGTCTATAAAGATTAATATATTTAAAACATTACCTTAATAACATAATTGATTAGGTATGGATTGAATTTGCATTTGAATGATCTTTTTGAATAATTATGTTTTAAAATATTCTGTCGACATTCCACAATATCATCTACTAATTCAATGCATTATTAATCATGCCATTATTAAGTATGTAAATTAAAATGATTATCAAACTAATTAGTTTTAAAAATAGGCAGATTATTTTTAAGCATGTATTGTAAATGAGTTTAATTTAATTTCATTTACATAATCAATGTGCATGTACTTTAGTCTTCATGATGAAATTGCAACCAATTTAAAATACCTCTTACATTTCCTTTCATTTACAAAGTTATCATATTAATTTCTGATAAATCAAATTTAATATTTAATTCTTTGGTTATAATTGTTGGTTTGATTAAGTAGAAATTATTATAAAAATCAACCTATTTTGTTTTGTCTTTCAAATTTTCATATATTACTTTCTTTTTGAATTCACTATTAATAGAATCTAATTAATCCCTATAATTATATTCAATTATAAGAATTAAATAGAAATATTTCACAATGTCATCATGTTAATATTAAAGTAATTCAAAACCATCAAATAATTCATGATTTTGACATGAATCTAATATAATGAGAATTAAATTACCAGTAATCCAAATGAAAGGTACTCTTTAAATTTATAAGAATCTAGAATTGAGAAATTTGGGTAAAGCACCTCTATGGATTATAATTTTCTTTTTAATTCCAAATTCAGTATTTTATTGTTCTGGTTTGAATTTGATATGTTAACTTGCAAACATCTCTTCAAATTCTTTTTTTTCTGTATATTCATATGTAAGAATGACTTCAATATTATATGTTCTAGCAATTGCAACAATAGTACTCATTTTACCACTAGAACCATAAATATTAAGCATCTAATAATTCCAATTTTAATTATTAATTGAGTTAGATTAAGAATCCCATGAATCAGAATCTTCTACTTAGTCTTATCTTAGTATTGAGAATGAACTTTTGAGCCAATGTTTTAATATCTATGTATTTTATTGACTAAGTAACTAATTTAGAAAGTTATTTACATCATCAACATGATCAGGAGTGTATAAATCACTCCAATAATCTGACACACGAGTGATATTCAAATATAAAATGGAATTCAACATTCCTCCTATCGAGTCCAATTTTGATACTTCACTTATTTACTTTACTAAATCTCCATAATTAAATTCTTTCATTATTTCTTCTCTGTATTATGACAATACTCTTCTTAATTATGATCCAACCTATCCAAGTTATGGACACTTCTTAAATTGTTTTTACATCTCTTTTATTTCTTTCTTTTGTTTCTTAGTTCCCTTACTGAAGAATTCCTAAATGCGATGACTATTTTGAGTATTTCTCCTTGGTGGCATTTTTTTCTTGGTTGCCCGCTAATTTGCAATTTTAATATATAATTAACGTAACATGGAAGTAATTGAATCACTAAATAAACAAGCACTTGCATAAACAGATTCTTAATAAGCTCTAGAAATTCTAGATAGAGCTCTTGGTCTATTATAATACAATGCTGATTGTGGTAAAATCATAGATCGCAATCTCATAGTTACCATTATCTATAATCTTGCTGGTGTTAATTAAGCGTAAATTTACTTAAATCTATATTCAGATTATGTAATCTAGATAAAGCTGCCTAATACTTAGAAGGAACCGTTTTTAATTTATAAGAAATGATTCAATAAGAAAACAATCAAGTTTTTCTGATTAAACGAATGCATCTATTAGCTGTTGTATAAATATAATATTGTGGTATATTATCACAATTGAATTAACATTAAGTGGCATCCAATGTTGCACACTCTACAATTTTATTACTTAATAGACTTTTCGATATCAGTTATTAATATTAAAGCAGTTAATAGACAACTAATAAAAAAGTATAAAAATATTAAAAAGGATAATACATTTTTGAAGAGTATGATTTTAAGAATCTATTACTAAAAAGATCAGATGAATTACTTAAATTCATCAAATAATTTATTACTAATTAATTAATAGAATCAGAGGAACAACCAAAATTATAAGAAATAGCAAATCATATTTTTACATAGAAATTGAATTCTTTAAATAATGATAAATTGCCTAAATAAACATTTTCTAAACTATATCAAAGATCAATGATAGGTTTACTTAATGAAAATGAATGGTTATTATCATTTAATGTAAGTAATATAATGTTTATACGATTGCTTTCTTATGAAGAAGTTTGTCTCAAAGGAGAAATCTTATATGAATTTAGTTAAAAAGTTTTAATTGAGAAATTAATTCTATTATCTATGGCCTACTTTTCTCTTGCTTCTGAAACTAGGTTCTTAAAGAATGAACAAAAGTCTTAATTTTACCATCTTAAATCTATTTATATTGTAAGCAATGTGTTATATGATAATTCTCCATATTTAGATCATCTTATTTAATCATTTTATACTCATTATTAATAATAATTGGAGACTATTGTAAATTTATGAAAAGTATATTTTAGGTTGAAGAATAGTCTTTTGTTGATTAGAGTACTAAAGTGAGTTTAAAGAGGAAAGTAAGTTTAATGGCAAATAAAGAAAATTGTAATGATCATCTTAAATAATTGATTGAAAGTCTTTCAAAGGATAAATAATAAAAATAAGAATCAATTTAGAAAACATTAAATTAATTATAAAGTTTAAAAGACAGTAATAAATAATGAATATTTTTTAGAGTTAAACAAATCACGTTCTGAAACTATATTGAAAAGATTTAAAACTGAACCTAGTTTACATTTTGATAAAAGTGAAAAAAATTGTAAATAAATACTATAATAATTAATGAAATAATGATTATTTTATATCACTACTCAATCAAATGATTATTGTATTTTTTATCTTTGTATTGATCTCTATTTTAGTTTATTTAGTGTAAAATTTAAATTTGGAAATTCTTATTCTAATTCATTTAAAATTTACAATTAGATATTAAAATCTCCTTATCTTGGGAATCCCTCATTAAGTACACTAAATTATAAAACAATATTATTACATTAAGATTTTATGTTGATCAAGACAAGCACATAAATTTTTGATATTAGAATAATAGATATCTAAATATTAATCATATATCAAAGAGTATGGATTATTAATTCCTTTAAACATATTCTCCATTTAATTATATTCAGCTGTATTTTGAAGTAAAGAAATGAAATATTATTGTAATTCTTCTAAAGTAAATGCAGCAGCATTTTATCTAATAACAAAATTTGGATTATAAGATTTTAGTGTACTCCAAAATAATTCATAAGATTATAGATGATCCTAATTTAAAAGATGTTTTTTGTAGAACAAACAATCAAGAAATCTTCCTAATAACATTAAACTTCTATTAGATTTTTAATGTAAAGTTAAGATTTCATATATTTAATGGATATGTTCTTAATCAAAGGCAAAGTTTCCAATCTAATTGTGTATAATTTCTTTCAATTCAATATTGAGTGATATCAGTAAATAGAGTTTATCAAAGATGATAGGACCAAACTTAAGTTATTGTTCAACATTTAAATTCATAAAGAGTATCTCTACTTTTTCAATCATAAAGTTTAAAACCTAAGAGTTTATGGGAATGACAATATACTTCAGCATCAACATCTTGATTCATAGATTGTAACACAAATTCTAAAAAGTATTTAACTTTAAATGTTCCTAGAATATAAGTCATTTAAAAAATATTATTGAGTATTAAAACTCTTATTTGATTTGATATATTTAATTAGTTAAAGTTTGAAAGAATAAAACTTAAAGATTTATCATCCATAGTTGAAATACAATAAGCATCATCAGTATAATTTAGAATAGCAGCAGAATAGTCTTTTGATTCACATAAATAATGACAATCTTTAGTCATCATTATTTATTTTTCTTCCATTTAATTATCTTCTTTTATTAATAAGATATTCATATAATGTTATCTAATTGCATTACCACTAATTGAACTTTATTTTAAAATTGATTATTAATCTTATTTGATTATTTCAATTACATTAATTCCATTTTATTATATAAATTCTCGTCTCCATCTTTCTATATCAACAACTTTAGAATGTTATTGAATTAAATCAAATAAATCATTAGTTGTAGCATTTCTCCATTTAAATTTATCCAAATATTATTTAACAATTTCTATGAATTCATTGAAACCAATTAATTTAACTAAAGCAGAAAGGACAGCTGAACCTTTATTATAAGTAATAGAATCAAAAGCTTATAAACCTTAATTTGCATCTTCAATCTTCATTTCTATTGGATGTGAATGTGAATTAATATCTAAATTTACTCCATTCTATTTATATAATAAATAATGTATTTTTGTATCATTAAACTTATAACATTTAAGTGATTCCTACTACTATACTGAGGCTAATGCTTCATATGAGATATATACAGCAAAGGCCTCATTTAACCATAAATCATTCCACCATTTCATTGTAACTAAATTACCAAACCACATATGTGATAGTTCATGTAATAATAAAAGAAATAATTTTGTCAATTAATTAGAGTCAAATCTATTTTATATCATATTTCTAGAAATTAATACAGCTCCAGGATGTTCCATTCCTGAGAAATAAAATGAACAAAATATTAAATCATATTTTTCAAATGGAAATGGAATATTGAATAAAGATTGATAATAATTAAATCCTTCTTCCATACATTTTTAGATTAAAATTGATGAACTTCAATTTAATTTATATTTATTACTTCAGACAAGTGATATATTTATCTTATTCTGTATAGAGATTCATTTGAATACCTTAGTTCAAAACTTTGGTAATCTTTTTCCATTAACCCATATTCAAACTGAAAAGATAGAGACTAATTTTTGGAGTGGTTGCAAAATTCCATTGGTTTTATGTTTCAGAACATTATTCAATCAAATTTGGATTCATATTTGATATAGCTAGCCATTCTTTTGGACATGTTAATTGTAATTTAATCTTAGCCTTAATGTCTGGTTAATCAAAACAAGGAAAACACTTATAATATAATTTTTGTTGATACCGAATGACAATAATTTGGACAAAACAAAGAAATAATATAAGTTGACTAATTTTAAGTATATTTTATTAATCCAAATTCACTCTCTGAAAATTATATACTGAAAGCTATCATTATGCAATTTTCACCTTTAATGGTATTAATAGATAATTAATGTTTTCTCCAATTTTTAACAATTTCATCTAAACTCCATTCATTATTATTCACTTTAACACTCTAAATTTACTAACCACAAAAGTCTAACTTAATATGATCACTGTAACAAGTAAAATTTATTAAAATCATTCCCATTATTATTTCATTCTCTACTATTAAATCCAAAGTATATTAACAATTATCTATATCCATACTTCTTTATTCAGCTTAATCTTTACTAAGTAAGGCATATTTGATTTATTTTTCATCATTCCTTATGCCATTCTACTCCTATAACATTTTAGTAATAAATTAATATTAAATAATCCTATTCAATTATAATATTACACAATATCATAAAATTATATTATTTATATATTATATTGAATTCATTATATATATATAGATTCTATTATGTAAGATCAATAGAGTATGTTTTCAGTTTACAGTAATCCTTGGAATAAGTAAAATATAACAAAGGAAAAAGGATATTTGTTAGCCAAATCAATTGATAAACATCCTGAATTCAAAACAGAGATCTTAGATGCTATAGGATAATAATAATAAACCAGAAATATTTTTAAAGATCCAGTAAGTATGTAATTGTGCAAATATGACTCTACTATTGGTCCAAAATTAGAGAATAATAAAATTGTTATACGATCAATTGTAGGTAAACCAGACATTTTCAAAAGGAAATTAAGTTTATTGACAGGATAAGATCCAAAATCAAGTAGTAGAAGAACATTTGTTAAGGGAAATACTACAAATACTTTTAGGAATAATAACAATACAATAAAAACATAATAAGTATATACAGGTGAAGAATTATTGGCTAAAGTTAATTTGATTGAAAAACATCTATTTGAATCAAGATTAAAAGAGGATTAAGAAATAATGAATATGCCATTCCAAAAAAAATAGATTTTATTAAAAGAAACTAGAGCTCTCGAAGAATATTTAAAATTAGAAAAAGAATAAAGCAATTTATTAATTGGAGTAACTAAATAATCAAATAAAGATCCAAGTAAATCAGTGATGATAGATTGTTATAGATTTCGTAGAAAATAAGAGTATTGTAATACAAATGACTCTTTACATAGAAATAATGAAGATAAAACATTTAAAATATTGTAATTAAAAATCTTTAATTAGGGAAATAGATGATGATAGTGGTTATCCCTTATTTATGATGTCATAGAATGATGAAGTTATAAGAAAACCTAGTATTATTAATCAAGATGAAACTACATAATCTATATTGAAATAATTAAATGATGAACCTGTTTATCGAAGTTTCTCAAGCAAAGATTACTTGAAATCTTAATCAAATAGATACACTAAAATAGCATCAGATAAAATCAATATGAATATTGATAACTTGATTGTTTAAGGATAGAGTAAATTAGATTAAGAAATTAAATTTGATATAAATGCAAAATATCTACTTTAACCTATTGATAAAGGTAATAAAGAAGAGACAATTACTGAAAACTATTCAGGTTATTATAAAATAAATTTTAAATGATTATATTAAGATTAATTTAATAATATCATTTATATATATTTTATTATTTTTGTTTATATAAATAATCAAGTAAATTATACACATTTCATCTTAAACTATCTACAATTCTCTCATTCTATCTTCAATCTTTCCTAAACTTCTTATTAAAATGTTTCTTTGCATCCACCAAGTAAGAATTAATGTTCTAATACTTAATCAATTGTCATTCTCTTTTTTGGATCAGACTCCAACATACCTTAAATAAGTTATCGGAACTCATCATTATATTAATTTTATTTGTCAATCTTCTACCAATATTTATCCCATTCGTTATTAGATATCAATCTCCAAAATCCACAACCTTTGGTACTTTTTCTAAATGGAGGATGGATAAATGCCAATTAGAAGGCACATACTCCTAATGAAAAAACTTCTGTTATAGGTAAGTCTTTAGTGTGTATTACACCTTCATTTTATAACTCTGGCGCCAAATATCCATCTGTACCAGAAGTCCTCATAACAAATTGATTTTCCAGGGGTTCAGCAAATCCAAAATCACAGATCTTAATTTCTAATTATTTATCAAATAGAATATTTTCTAATTTGATGTCTCTGTGCACAAAACCCAAATTATGAATATATTTGATTGTTGCTGCTAATTATTAAATTATGTATTTAATAGAAACGATTTAGAAGGGCATCTTTTTTTTTACTAAAATGTCAAAGAGGTCCATTTAATGTAAAAGCTCAATTATCATGAACTTTTTCTCAGGATTTCCCTCTATAAATTTTACAACATTTAAATGTTAGATTTAAGAAAGAATATTAATCTCTTTTTCTATTTATGATAAGTAACGAGTTTATTTGAATAATTTTATTGCATATTCCTTTTTATTGATCTATACTTTTTTAACATCGGAAGTTAATCCTTAACCCAAAATTTCTTATGAGATGTTCATATTCATATTAAGAATAATTTTAACAAATTTAAATATTAAAAAATAATTCTATTTTAATTTAATTTGAATTTTTGAATACATTTTTTCATTTTAATAGAATTTATAAGAATAATTTAATAGAATTCAAATAATAAATCAAACCAAATGCGCAGAGTTAGAATTTCAAATCAACAATATTGTTCTTTTTACTCTCACCGTTGATACTTTAGGTTTGTACAGATACTACTCATCTCATTAATGTATTCCATTTCATTTATGTTTTCAATGTTATTAAGAATTTAATCCAAACTTAATCTTTTCTTAGGGTCGATTTCAATCATTCCTTGAATTAATTCTAAACAAAAAGGAGGTACCTTTTTAACTATATTCTTTTAGGTATAGTACCAAAACTCATCCCATTTGTTTTATTATATTTTTTTGAAATAAGGACAACTTTTATCTGCTGTCTTGAATGGAAATTTACCAAAAAGTAAGATGAAATACAGAACACCTAAAGAAAAGATATCACATTCTTTTAGATTTAATGCATCTATTGATCCAACAGAATTAATTTCAGGTGCTATATAACCTTCTGTTCCAATAATATTTGATACTTTTCCTTCATCCAAACTTTGACTTACATTAAAATCACAGATTTTAACTTAGTATGTTATTTCATCCACTAATACATTTTCCAATTTTATATCTCTATGAATAATTCTTTTTTCTTCATGCATATATTTTAAAGCACCTGCCAATTATTTTAATATGCAATTTGAAGCATTTACTGATATTTATCCTGCAATTTTCACAAATTCAAATAAATCATATGGCATCATTAATTCAGTGACTATAAATTTTTCATTTCCAACAATAAATTTTACAATGTTGGGATGATTCAATAAACTATGAATAATATATTCCTTCCTTCCATATTATTTCTTAAAATGCTTTATTGCAAACATGTTTTCTCCAATTTTTATTTATTTAACAATTGCTACTGTTCCTTCACCTAAAGTGATATTTGTTATTTCCATTTAAATGTATTTAATAGTATTAATTATTATATTATTTTTTAGTATATATATTATTTGATAATTCTTTCATTAAAATATATCAGTTTCATTATTTTTATTATAATATTCAATTTTAAATATGAAGCCATCAATTATTAAATCATTAATCTTCCTCCATATCTTAAATATCTTATTCAACATTCTTCTCTTCATCTTCCTTATAAACAATCTATGGCTCCACTTAATGTTATTACTTCAATTAATTTCTAACAAGCATTCCTTTAGCACTTGCTTATATTTTAACTATTTTCTCCATGTCTTTCTCATCCTAATATAGATATAAACTTTATTTATTACAAAATGAGGCTAGAAAAATGCATTATTAGCTTCTATCCTTTCTGCCTCAATATCATCTATATCTTATTCCACTTTTTAATAAAGTTCGTTAACATAATCTTTTGCTGCTTTCTTTTCTTCTGGATGACTAGCTTATGAACCTGCTGACTCTTGTCTTGTTCTATGAGATGAACCAGAGGCCTATTTTTTTGGAGCTGAAGCTTTCCTTTCATTATCATTTCTTTAATTAGATGTCTCAACAACTTTCTTAGCTTATTCAATAGAATTAATTGGTTTAGGAGGTAGATGTGATCTTCCTGGAGCCTATCCTTTTGCAATATTAAATTTGCTCTCAAATTTGAATTCTTTTCCGTCTCTCATACATTCAAAATATTCTACACCATATTTTATTATGTCTTCTGGTTAATCTCTCAAAACCTTTATTAATTGATCACTTCTACTTCTCTTGTAAAATCATGTAAAATTTAGTGGAATCCTTCAGGAACTGGGTATTTTTATAAATATTTAGAAGCCATTTCTTCTATAATTTATATAATGCTTTAAAATTATTTTATGTTATTATTAATCACATCATTTAACATTAAAAGCATTGATAGACTATTAATAAAAAGAAAAATAAATAAAAACAATTTTCTTATTGATCTAGAAATAAAATATTAATATAATACAATAGGTTGTAATATTTTTCATTGATTTTAATTTTAACATGAAAGTAGAAAATTGCAATTTAAAAAAATATTTAAATATTATAAACTATTGACACTCACTGTTAAAAAATGTTAGTGCTATATTTAAAAAAAAATATTGATAGATTACTGTTCATACTATCATTTAAGATTTAATTTTTAGTATATTTTTACTATCCAATTTTTTATTAATAATATTAACATTTTTATACTATTGATTAAGAGTATTATTTTTGAATATCAAATTATTCATATATATTAACACTTTTTCATCTAATAATTAAGATTCACATTATGACAAAAGTATAGTAGCAATTAGTAGAAATTTATAAAATTTTCTCAGTAAATACTTCCATTTCAATAAAACCTATTTATAATTTTTAGCTATCTAAGAACTTATGGTTGTATAGATTTATTAATTAATAATAAAATTTCTTTCATTTATTGTTTATTTTTACCATTTTTATTTATTTCTGATAGCTAAATTAAGACTTTATAGATCATCAGCATTTTTAATTCAGGAATTATTAGGAAATAAACATTCAATAATTTTTTTTATTAATATAATACCTTGATTAATGGGTGATTATTATTTTGAATTTATTCAGCAATATCTTCATAATGTGAATTTAAGAAAGAAGGTATGATGAGTGTGCTTAGATAGGTGAAAGAACTATTAAAAGAAAAGAGTGAGATATAATAAAAATTAGATACATTAGAAGTAATTTAAAGTGAGATTATAATAGAAAGAAGGTAACAACCATTCCTTCGAAGAAAGAAAGAAGAGATAAAGGAGTTTGGCTAGTGAAGTCTAACGCAATTTTGAATGTCCTATAAATATGTGTGGTAAGAAATATGGGTATGATGGATTATAATTAGTATATTAGTAGTGAAGGTTCCTTGAATTAGCATGTCAAACTAAAACATCCTGAACTAGTTAATAAAAGTTGATAATTAATATATTTATGAATTAATAATTTTTGGTTGTGGATGCTAGTCTAATCAATCTATTATTTGAGAAAGTTGAAGTTTTAGGTAGAGGTAAGGACTTGATTCATGGAATAAGTTCAATTACATACATGTTGAAAAAAAATAATAATAATCAAAATTTAGATTTTACTGATGATTAGGGGAACCATGCATTGTAAATTTATGAAAACCTTAATCTAGAAGTATTTGAGGCAAAAGTACTTCAATTATAAAAGGCCATGACTGTTTATTTGAATTCTTATTCAACAAGGATAATTTTAATTGCAAAAGAATAACTAAATCACACTCAATTTAATTTATATGTTGTCTATGAATTAAAAAATATAAATATGGACTTAAAGAGCCTAAGAGAATTTTAAACAGAAGGTTTACAATATGATTAAGCAAGAAAATTTTTGATTTTTCTATGTCAAAATTATTTTTTGGGTGCTCAATATACAAATGAATTCTTGGATATAAGTCCATAAAATATCTTTAAAACTGATGATTCTTATATTATTTCTAATTTTGGAATCACTTTTGCTGGAACCAAATTTAATAGAATTTATTTACCTTCAACTGATCCAATAAATAAAGAGAAAAATCCATCTAAAATTAATATTTAATATTCCTATGCATTTAAAGCAGCATTACTTACTTTGTGCTTAATGACATAGATAGATCCTAAAGATTTCTTTTTTGAAGATGGGTAATTTAAAGAACATGTTTTAGATAATTTATTGTATCTTATATTAGATAAAGAAGATTTGAAGAAAAATAAGGATCAAAATAAATATATAAAGAAAGATACTAAATTTATTCTTTCAATTCCACAATTTTTTGATACATTGATTCACACAAGATAATTAGACTACAATTAATAAAAAAATAACAATAATGGAAATCCATTTACATATGTTAAATCTGATAGATTTCTAAAATATAAATATTATAAAGAATTTCTAGTGGTTTTAAAAAAATTACTTAATGTAACAAATATATAGAATAGATCTATTTTTCTTCTTTTGATTTCATAACAGGATAATATATTAAGTGCAGAAAATCCTTATAGTGAAACTATAATACATAAATACAATTATCAAAATGGTACATTTGTTGATAAAAAATTGAATGGTTGTGGAATTATAATGTATGAAGAAGGAGATTAAACAAATCGATCAATTAAAAGAAAAATTATACAAAAATGTGGATAATTTTTGGATGGAAAAGAAATTGATGCTTATAATATTGTCAACATTCATAAAACAAAATTTGAATGTACATTATATAATTTATAATGTGGTTTAACATTTCGTTATGTCAATTAAGAATTGTTGTATTTGACTGACTAAATAGTATCTCCCATTAATTCAATTGGTAAATCACAAAAAGAATCAATTTATTACTTTAAGGGAGAAATTAAAAATGGACAATTTATAAAAGGAGTTTCATATCAATTAGATAAAACAATTTTTGAAGGATAATTTCTAAATAATTAACCTTTTCAAGGCAAAATGATTTATCCAAATTAGGATGTTTTTGAAGGGATTATGGAAGGCTTTAATAAAAAAAAAGGATACTTGATTACAAATAAAATTAGATTTGAAGGGGAATTTTAGAATGATTAAATTTTCAAAGGTTTCATAGAATATCGTGATGGGGGAATTTTTTATGGTTATTTTTAAAATGGATTAAAAGGTATACTTTTGCATTGATTATTAGTCAAAGCAGGAATTTATAAATACCCATATACCTAAATTTAATATTAGGGATTCTATGTCGATGATGTAAGACATGGTTAAGGAAGATTTATTGATAAATCTTAAGAAAATTGCACTCAAGAAGTTTTATATAATTATGGAAAGTGTGTTACAAAAATCAATGAATATTTTAGTAAAGCTTTGAAAGAGATTTAAGAAATAAAGAAACAATAAAAGAATGTCAAATAAGTTACAACAGAGAATGATGAGGATTGATTTTAATTTATTATTAAATATATATTAACTATTAAATTAATAATGTTATAATAATACAATTCATTAGTAGTAGATGCCAGTTTCATTAATAAAAACTTTGTATAAGTTAGTGTGATAGGAAAAGGACATGATTTCTATTTAGGAATTAGTTCAATCAGCTACTTGATGCATCATAAAAAAGAATAAGGCAGATACATTTTATAAATCTATGAAAATTTAGGATATGATCTATTCAGAACAAAAGTTATGCAATTGCAGAAAGCAATGCTAGAATGTGTTAATGATGTCAATACAAGGATTATCTTATTAGCTGAAAAATAATTAAATGATAAATAGTCTGATTTGTATGTACTTTACTAATTGAATGAACTTACTTAAAGATTAGATCAATAGAAATAATTAACATCTGAATAAGCATAAGAACTCTTGATCACTTTTTGTAAAAACTTACTCATTACAGGTTCATTTTTTATTTATTAATAGGTCGTGTAACTTATGAATTTCTAGACCTCGCTCCTTAGAATATCTATGTTAATGGTGATCGATTTGTTGTATCAAATATGGGAATTTCTTATAAAGGCTCTAAATTTCACAGACCATATACTCCAATCACAGATAGTTTCTATAAAGAGAAAACTCTAACAAATATGATCTACACATATTCATTTTAAGCTGGTTTAGTCATTTTATGTGCTATTACTAAAATAAATTCAGCAGAATTCTTTTTCGAAGATGGCTAATTGAAAAATAACTTATTATAAAAAGTCTTGAAAGTATTTAGGGAAAAATTACCAGATTCAAAAAAATTGAAACTAAAGAAAAAATTTAATTCATTAGCTAAAATAGAAAAACCATTTGATACTGATATTTCAAATATCATACACTTTCTATCTTTAATATTATCGATGGATTAGTAGAAAAGATCCATATTTTCATTATTAATATGTCATCCAGAAAATCCACTTAAGGTAGAGAATCCATTTTTCTAAGAACCAATAGATGTTGAATAACATTATATTGGATTTGGTAAATTAGATGGGGGTAGAATTGAATTTGAAGGGTATGGAATAGCAAAGTTTGGAAACGAGTATCATTATGGAATCTTTAAAAATGGTACTTTAACAGATGATGGTACTGTTGAGATTAAATACAATAATAGCATTATTTATTTGCTAAAAAATTTGGTTTTTTCTTAAAAATACTAGAATGCAATAGCTGAAGTTAATAAGTATATCTTTTGGGGAGAATTCGATAATAAATAATATAAACCTAATGGAGAAGGTATTTTGGTTAATGTTTATACAACTTAAAAGCTTTTACCAAAAAAGAGATAATCTATGTATTTTGAAGGAGCCCTGAAGATGGGAATTAAAGAAGATGGTCAAGAATTTTATAAAAATAAAACTGAATTTTCTGGAAAATATAAAGATAATTAACCATATGATGGTAGTATAACTTATGGACCAAAACATAAATTCTATGGAAATATTGAGAATTTCTAAAGAACTAAGGGTATTTTAATTTATAAGAATAAATAATTTGAGGGTGAATTTGAAAATGATAAAGTAAAGATTGGAAAATTAAGTTATCCTGATGGGAGTCGATATGAAGGTTAATTTTAGGATGGATTAAGATGTATCAAAAATATATATATATATAGGTTGTTAGGATGGTAAATTCATATTTTGGAATTAAAAATTAGAGTATTGTGGAGGATTTTTAGATGATAGATTTCATGGAAAGGGAATATTGACTTAATTTTTGACAAAGGAATAATTGGAAGTTGAATATAATTATGGAAAATGTTTAACAGAGCTTCCAGAAGGTTTTAAGTAGTTGATGGATAAGAAATAGATATTTGAATTGAAATAATAGGATAATTAGACAAAGGAAAATAAGTAGAAATAAAACAATGATGAAGATATAGAAGAAGATATATAGGAGGAGGGTTTAGGAGATGAAAAATAAGATGATTATTTTGAAGATGAAGGATGAATTTATAATATAATTTTAATGATAAATAAGTAAACAGAACAAATATTCTCATAACTATAAGGAGCGTTTGCATGGGTTGAGAAAATGAGAAAGAAGAAGCCAATGACTTCAGATATGTAAATTAAGGAATTGTTATATTTTTTAAATATTGATGCTACTAATGAAGAGATTGAAGCATTAAATGAATTAGCTAATCCTGAAGGAGAATAAGATATTTAATATGAGAAATTATACAAAGTGTTTATGAATGATTAACAATAAGAATAAAGAGAGGTTTTGGAGGCATTTAGATTGTTATCAGGGTCTAATAGGATTGAAGTAGATAAATTAGAGAATTGGCTTTACATTTATGATAAAAAATATAGAAATAATGTATTTTGTATATAATAACAAAAGACAAAACAATTTATAGCATAATTGAAATAGTCTCCAAGTTATAAACAAGGTTATTTGGATTTTGAGAAATATGTGAAAGAAGGTTGATAGTTATAAATAAATTAAATGTAAAAAACAAATATAAAATCTGTTACGGCTCGAAATGAGTAAGCAAAAGCCAAACTCACAAAGTATGAATGAATTTGAATCATTAGAGAATAATTTCTTACTCTAGCTAAAATGTGTTAGAGTACTAGCACATAATAATTGCTGAATAAGAAATTGCCATCTTAATAAAAACCTGTGTTGGCAAGTTAATTGAATATCACTCCAAGAAACAATACTCCCAAAAGTTGTAGAACTGCATAAGAAGTATAAAAATTACTTTAATAGTAGATGAAATATTTTCTTTATCAAAAGAATCTAGTTAAAGATTCAATTAATAAACCACAAAATCATTCTTAATTGCTTCCTAAGACTAAGAACAGTTTACATAGAAATTTCTCTTAGTTGGAAAAATCATCAAACAGTTAATAAAACAACGGATAATCTACGGCACCAAACACAGTAAAAAAAAAATATAATTTGCTTTCAACTGACTCAGCAAATAAATTAGAATAACGTTTCTCTTCTGTTCAATTTGCATAATAAATAGCTTAATAATTAAAGAAGAAGTTTGAACCACAATAACCATAACAAAAGAAAGAAAATTTACATGTAAGCTTAGATGATTTTGTAACATAAATCAATAGACCCTAATCAATTATTTCCCCCTTTAAATAAACTAAATCATTATCACCTTCGACAAGAGTCAATATTGTTCCTTCTAAAAGTATTCATCCATTTTTCATATTTAGAATCCCTTTATTATGTTACATCTTTAGTTGAATCCTTTAGACATATTCTACCTTAAAATCAAGAATAATAACTCTTTAGAGATCATGCTGTTTAAACATTTAATTGTGTTTCCTTTTGTGTAAAATTACAAGAACCAACTAAAATGATTTTAGAACAAAAACGAATGGAAATTCCAATGAAATCAAATTATAAATGTATAATCAATTCTATACATATTTAGTCAAGAAAACCGTTGTATTCGATCTAGATGAAACTCTTATACATTGTAATGAGAATTAAAATCTTAAGGCAGATGTCTATTTACCAATAACATTTCCTTCTGGAGATACAGCCTAAGCTGGTATCAATATTCGTCCTTATGCAAAATGGATCTTGTAAGAATTGAGTCAACTTTGTGAAGTCATTGTTTTTACAGCATCCCATCAATGCTATGCTAGTTAAGTAATTAAATATCTGGATCCTAATTCAACACTACTTTCAGGTTAATTGTTTAGGGATCGATGTGTATTATCCTAAGATGGTGTACATATAAAGGATTTGAGAGTTTTGAATAGAGATCTTAAGGATATAGTCTTGATTGATAATGCGGCTTATAGTTTTGGAGTTCATTTGGAAAATGGAATCCCAATAATTCCATATTATGATAATAAAGAAGATAAAGAATTGAAAATGTTATATGATTTCTTAGTTGACCAAGTTTTGCCTGCACCAGACTGTAGAATAGTGTTGTAGTCAGTTTTTAGATTAAGAGAGTATTACAACTATGGGGAACCAAAATAAGCAATAGAAAAATTATATTGATTTTATATATAGTTTGATGAATTAAATTTAACAGGGAATTTACAATTTCGAATATCTGAGCATTTGGTATATAATATTAGGAAATTAAAATTATTATTAATTTTTACCACAATTAATGACTCTTTCTATAACCATTTCTCAATAGATAAAAGCTTATAATTTAGCAGCATGTCCAACCCTACCTGAATTCCTGGAAACAGCTTACAAAACTTAGAAGTCTTTAAAAAAGAATGAACAATTTCGCAAGCGTATTGAAGTAATTCAAGGGTTTGAATTTAACACAGCCTCAACTCAAATTGAAGAAAGCAATGATCAATAGTATATTGTTGCAGCAGGACTCTATGCTCCTTCAATAAAGATATTCGAGACTTCCCAATTATCTATGAAATGTAGTAGAGGTCTTGATTCAGAAATAGTAAAATTTTGCTTATTAGGAGATGATTATAAGAAAATTGCTATGGTTTGTGAGGATCGTAATATTGAATTACATGCATAATATGGAAAACATTTCAAATTAAGAGTTCCTAAATAACCAACTGATATGGTATTATTTATAAGTACTATTTAGATTTATAATCCTTACAATTGTAATTTGTTGGTGTCATCTTAGAATGAAGATATCACCAGATTGAATTTAGAACTTGGATCATTTGTAGAATCATACAATTTATAATAAGAGACAGGAGTTAATTGTTTGGGTATGCATGATTAATTATAATTGGGATTTGTGGGAGGCAATAAATAACTTAGTATCATTGATTTTAGAAGTGATTAAGTAGTTTAATAATTGGGAGTGTGTGATATAACTAGTATAGCTACTTAGAATCTTTAGGTTGCCTTAGGAACAAAGGAAGGATAAATAAAATTATTCGATTTAAGAAAACATATACCAATTAATATATATTAACATTAATATCGATTACCTATAAAAAAGATTGTTATGAAGGATGATATGATTGTATCTTGTGATGCAAAGATATTAAAATTTTGGTAGGGAAATCGTTTATTCACTAACATTGAACCATAAAGTGAAATAAATTCATTTACTTGGGTGAAGAATTCAGGAATGTTTTTATTAGCATTGGAATAACCAAGAATGGGTATATATTTTATTCCATAATTGAATGCTGCTCCTAAATGGTGTCCATTTTTAGATAATTTGACTGAAGAAATGGAGGAAGAAGAATAATAAACAGTTTATGATGAATATAAGTTTTTATCTTATGAAGAATTGGAAAGATTGGATGCATTACATTTATTAGAAACTGCAATGTTGAAACCATATTCACATGGATATCTTATTCATTTGAAATTGTATTTGAAACTAAGATAATAAAAAGGTTTAGATTTTGAAGATTACAAATAAAAAAGAATATAATAAAATTATGAAAAATAATTGGAAGCTGAAAGAGTTAGTAAAGGTTATGTAATACCTGAAGAACCAGAAATTGAATAACCTGTAAAATAGATTGATCCAAGATTTTAAAAATTACTTAAAGATAATGATTTTACAGTAGATAAAAAATCTGAAGCATGGAAAAGAGCACATCCAAGTGAAGTTAGAAAATAAATAAGTAAAACAAAAAAGAGATGATTTTTTTGATGTATATATAATTAATTTATGTATGTATATAATTAATTAAAATTTTAAAAATAGCGCCATGATAATTGAAGATATCTAGGGTAATAAAAAGAATAAAAATATTCCTTGGATTGAAAAGTATAGACCCTCTACATTAGATGAAGTAATCTCTCATGAGGAGATAGTATCTACAAGTAAGCAATTAAGTAATGTTAAACTTAGTTAAAAAATTTAATGAAAAAAATAGATTACCAAATCTATTACTTTATGGACCTCCTGGAACAGGTAAGACATCTACAGTAATTGCATTGGCTAAATAGATTTATTAGAATAAATATAATTAAATGGTTTTAGAAGTAATAAGTATTGTGAATATTAATAGCTTAATGCATCAGATGAAAGGGGTATTAATACAGTTAGAGAAACTATCAAAGGATTTGCAGAATCTCAATCATTTACATTCACAAAGGATAAAAACACATCAATAAAATTAGTTATTTTGGATGAAGCTGATGCTATGACAGCAGCAGCATAATTTGCATTACGTCGAAGTAAATATCAATTAAAATTTTAGTCATTGAAAAATATGCAAAAAGTACTAGATTCTGTTTTATATGCAATCATATATCTTAAATTATTCCAGCTATTTAAAGTAGATGCACAAGATTTAAGTTCAAATAAATTAATTTAGATGTGGCTAGTTCAAGAATAAAATATATTTGTGAGACTGAAAATATCCCATTAGATGATTAAGCTATTAAATCTGTGTTTGAATTATGTTCAGGTGATATGAGAAGAGTTGTAAATATGTTATAATCATTATCTTTGTCTACATCAAATTCAAATCTAGAAGTCATTAATTCCTAATATGTCTATTAATTTACAGGAATGGCACATCCTGATTTAATAAAATAGATTTTAGAATATTTAATGAATCCATCTGAGATTTAAAAAACATATATGAAAATAAAAACTATTTTAAATGAATAAGGAATATCATTATAATTATTACTTACAGAATTAAGTACATAATTATTAGGATTAAATGTATTAAATGATAAATAAAAATGTAATATTATTGAAAGAATGGCTGAACTTGAATATCGACTATCCATATGTTGTAATGATTAAGTGTAATTACTATCTTTGATTGGTATTTTCAATGAAGTTCTTTTATGATAAATATTTTATTTTAAATTTAAATAAATCCTATTTAAATATGGCAGAAGAATAAGTTGTCACTGTGAAATTTGCAAATTAACCAAAACTTTTTGGAAAATGGGATTATGATGAAGTTTAAGTAACAGACTAATGTTTCAAAGACTATATTGCAGTTTAAACTTCTAAATCAAGAGTCTTTGTTCCACATACAGCTGGAAGGTATTAGATCTAAAATATATATTTAGATATTAACGCAAGAAGTTTAGAAAGGCCTAATGTCCAATTGTTGAGAGATTAGCTGGTGCACTTATGTTCCATGGTCGTAACACTGGTAAAAAGGTTAAGGCTGTTGCTATTATCAGACATGCTTTTGAAATTGTTCATTTGCTTACAGGCAAGAATCCACTTGCAGTATTATCTTTGGCTGTTTAAAGAGGAGGAGCAAGAGAAGATTTCACTAAAGTTGGAACAGGTGGTGTTGCTAAATAATAAGCTGTTGATGTTGCTCCTATTAGAAGAGTCAATGAAGTACTCAAACATAATATTAAAGGCTGTTCATAATTTGGCTAAGGGAGTTAGAGAATCAGTCTTTAAGAAGATGAAGACTATTGCAGAAGCACTTGCTGATGAACTTATTGCAGCTGCCAATGAAGATGGATAAAAATCATACACAATAAAAAAGAGAGATGAACTTGAAAAAGTAGCAAAAACAAATCGTTGAATTATTTTTAGTATAATATCTATATTGAATATATATTCAATCAAGCATTTTAAGTTCAAATTCTGTACTATTTTATGATATCACATATTTTTGATTGTTAAAGTATTTTGAATCTCTACAGTATAACAAATAATTCATTGAAGCTCCCAAAAAAGTTATTAAGAGTAGAATACCTAACATATTAGAATAAGAATTTTAAGTTTCCTCTTAAACAACTTTCCCAATAAAAATAGATGCAAAAAAAACACCAAAGCTTACACTTGAATAGACTACTCCAAAGGCAGTTCCTGATAATGAAGTAGAAACAACCATTTAAATACATGGCCATAAGGTTACAACATAAGCTGCAAAAAATATTCCATTTAATAATTAACTAATGGCTGGAATGATTAAGCAAGTAGTTTCACAACTAGGCATGAGATATACTATTGAAAAAACACTCAATTAAATAAGACTTGTTATTTATAATCCTTGCATTCTATATCCATGTTTATCAACTAAATGACCTAAATATGGAGCTATAAAAATAGCCATATAACAAGGAAGTCCATAGAGTGTAGCTGCAGAATAGGATGATAAGTGATACCTATTTAAGTATATAAATTAAGTTAATACATAGCTTTAAACATTTCTGCATTATTATATGAGTATATGTAATAACTTGTATAACAGAAGATGGAACTCAAAGCAATAATATAAAAATCAACATTAAATTGAGTTAGTAATGTGATTGAAAAGTGTGGAATAGTTTCTTTTTTAGTTTCAATTGAATAAATTTTATCAATTGCAGTAACAGTATTAAGACTTATAAATGATACCATACAAAGTAATAGACATGATAGAATAGCTGTATCAAGACTGTAATTATTGATTAAATATGGTAATAGAATTGTTGATGCAATAGTACCACCACAAATAAAAGCTGTATCAACACTTAAATAAAGGTTACTGTTACCTATAAGCAAATGATGCCTCTTTAAACCATTTTGATAATATTTTGTAAATCCCTACATAACAACATTCTAAAAATAATCCCATAAAAAATCTGCCGATGAGCATTAGTGTGAAGTTATTCAATACAATTGACAAGTAACAAAGAACTAATATAAATTTTTTTCATAACATGTTCCAAAAATAATGAAAAGCATAAATCCAAATAAAGCTCTTCTTGTTCCATATTTATCCAATAACATTCCTCCAACAAAAGGCATAACAATATTGGGAAAGGATCTAAATGAAAACAATAAATTTATTTAAAATTAATCCACAACAAAATGATTCTTGATTTCAGTAGCCAATAGAGATGGATAATCCACAAAAACTCGAAATGAGAATTAAGACAAGCTTGTTAGAAAGAGAATGATCCATTTAGTTTATGTTTTCATATATTATTTAATTGGATTAATATTATAAATATATTGCCAAATTAGAATTGTGTAATACAATCATATTACTTTACGTATTGCTATCCTATCCTATAATGTTCAACTCTTTAAATTATATTATAATTTATTAGTCTAATTTAAAAATAAATCAATAATACATATACTAGTAGAATCAAATCATCCACAAATTAATATTATTTTTTTAATTTAAGTGTATTTAAAGAGATAGTTAAATAAATTAATATTACAAATAAGTATAATTTTTATAATTATTTGTATTAATTTCAGAAATTTTATTCTTACGCCCAAAATCTCTAAAGTTTATCATTACAGTTTATCCGACCAAAAGATGTGAATATAAAAATATATTGAATTCTAAAATTTAATTCTTTATTCTATTAAAGGTTTGGTTTTTTGATTTATTATCCATTCCGCCCAATATTAAATAATTCGAAGATAAAATAAAAATGATTATATTAAATGTTAAAAAGTTAATCAACAGAACTATTTGTTAGTCCTGAAGAATTATAGAGAATTACTTTCTTTGCCACTCAAAATCAAAGAAACAGTCATAAACCATATATCTCTAATGTTAAATAGGAGGAATATACCTTTAAGCCTTAGGTAAGTAATTATAAGATAATTAATTGTAGATCAATAAGAAATCAGTTAACATCTAAAGAACAGTTGATGATCTCTTAAGATGGAATGAAAGGAAGTCATAAAGATTATAGCAGTGCTATGATGATACTGTAAATGTTCATTTCTAATTAGATAGACATAAGAATTATAATAAAATGCCAACCGCTTAACTCATGAAGTTGATACCAATTAACCTAGTGTTTTTGAGAGATTATATGTAGTAAGAAAGAGCAATGAAACTATTTAATGTAAATGTTCTTTTGCAATTCATTTATATTTAGAGACCACAAAGCGTAATACATCTGATTCACATCCTTATTTTACTAAGAATATGTCAAATACATTATATTCTGAATACAAAAAGTAAATGAGTGGCACTCCAGAATAATAAGAAAGTGAACATTAATAAGTTTTGGAATAAGAAGAGACAACTCCTCAAAAAGTATGTCTGCCAAATAGATTCTATTTTGATCAATCAGAATAACAATAAAATACTGAACCTGAAGTATAATACTTCATTTATATTATTGCATAGCCTAAAGTCACAATTCCATAGCATATGTTTGTAGATTTTAGATAACAAATCAAATAGATTAATGATGAACCAGAGCCAATTCCTTCCAAGAAACCTATGAATAAAAAAGAAATAGATTTGATGGTAGAAAGGTAAAGTATATGTAATCATTGATAAATAGAATGAATAATTGGCTTCAAAAAAGAAATTATAAGATTTAAGAGTAATAAGATAGACAAATACAAAATGAATCCAATGAATGTACTTTCTATCCAAAACTTAGCTGTACTAAATAAAGTAAATTATAATAATCAATTCAAAATTCTCAAAGAGTTTCATAACAATCCTCATATTCCAATTTATTCAGAAGTAAAAACAATTGATATTTTATCTATTTAATTATATATATATATATATATATATATAGATTAGTATAATAAATAATCTATTCATCACTAATTTTTCTTCTTTAGATTCTGTTATTATATATAACTATATGATTTATACTTTTTTATGTTATCTTTAACTTTATTTAATTAAAATGATAATTTTGCAGTGACACTCCCCAAATACTCAATGTCAACCTCAAAACCTTATTTTATTTATTCTTCTCTTCCACTTATTTTCTATTCTTCACTTTATACAATCTTTCTATAACATTAGGTAATTATTTTTGAATATTTTTATTCTATACTAATTTTCTTATCGATAAATTTATCATTAATGTTATTTATTATTTTTAATTTCTTAGTCGAAATAATTAAAGCAGAAGAATAATTCTTAATTATCCTTAATACCAATCTAGGTATTCATGATGATTTTGTTAAAACTCATATTGAGTTAGATTCAAAAGATATAAAAATCTTCTATACAGGAATTATTGATCAATATCCTATTTCCTCTGCTAGATTTGATCATTTAACTTTTAGATATTAAAATTAATATGAGCTTTATGAACATGAGGTTCAGTAATAGAGACATTAATTAACATGTTTTGATTCAGAATACAAAAACACTTAGATTGAAAAAGGAATAAATAATTATTAAAAAATTTTATCAGCAAATGAGAATATGTATTGAGATTCCTCATTTTGTAGTACTTTAGTTTTAGATAACTCGTAAATTCCATGTAATGGTTATATTTATGAATCTATTGAACCATGGATAACTGTATTATTACAATTTGGAATAACAAAAACATATTTTTACTTTAAAATATTCTGTAAATATAAATTAAAATTAAATTAGTAATAATAACAATTTTGTTTTCCTTTATAATACTTACTTCTGCAATTATATTGACTTGGTGGGAAATAAAAAAATTAGAATAGAAGATGAAAAGAAGATCATCATTTCCTAGAATATTATAAAAATTATAAATTAAATGATTATTAATTTATTATTAAACAATATTGCACAATAACAAAAATCATTCTAAAATTGTGTTTAACTAATGAACCTAATTCAGCATTACAACAAATAAATTAATTGAGATAATGATATATTTTCTAGACCCCATGAAAATGCTATAACTCAGAATCAGATTTTAAGAATTATATCGAGTGTAAACCAATATAGATTTATTTATATTGAATTTTTAAGTCTAATCAAGAGGGTAAGAATTTAAATTCTTAATTTTAGTAATCTTTAAGAAATAGAAGAAAATGATCTTTGGAAATATATTCTTAAATCTATCCCATATAAATTAAAAATCTCTTAAATTAGATAATAGAATTACTCTATTCCAATACCATTTGATCATAAATTATCAAATGAAATAACTTTATATCCTATATTTTAGAAATCTCTTCTAGAAAAATTACATCCTTTATAATTAAATGATTAAGAATTTTAATTAATGAAGAAACTATAAATATTTGCAGATGAATATCTATGTTTAAGATCAATTATTGTAAATTCTAGTTCAAAATTAGAATTAACTATTATATTAAATTCTTTGAGTAATAGTTTAAAGTAGAAATATTAGGATGCAATACATAGTTTAATTTTATATTATTTTATCAATTTTCACTTTGAATTTGAATATATGTCTTTATATATAGATAAAATGATTCATTTCAAAGAGAATTTAAAACATAAAAGAATTGCTATAATTGGATAAACATGGAGGAATCATATATTATATCAATATTGTAAGTAATTACACTTCAATGTAACTCTTTTTAGAAGTGAAGATGAACCAAAATATTTCTATTCTCCAACTTATTTGCAAAATAAATTATGTTTAAAAGTATTTCAAAAAGAACAAATACAATTTCGTGATTATAAACCACATTATGATTAATCAATGTTCCAAACATTAGCCAATATTTTAGAAAATCATGATGAAGAATAAGCCTTTAAAATTATCAATTAAGATATAGCTTTATTTTTAACATAAAATGCATTAACTGAATTTACAACTGTAAAATAACTTAAATAACATCTAATTAGTAATTACTTAAATTAACCAATAATATTTAATAATGAATTTTAATGGAAAGAATTTGTAAGAGATATTAAATCTATTAAATCAATTAAGATTAAAAATAAAATATAAGTTAAATGTGATAGTAAATTATTTGATTTTGATTTTCTCGTCTTTGGAGATTCTAATCAATTTGTTAATTCATTAATATCTTCATCAAGTATTATTAAAGATAATCCTTCATTTGATCCTGAATTCATTTTAAGAATCAAACCTTAATTTTAGGGATTGAAATTGCTTTATAATACTAAAGCTATTTGTAAATTTACAAGTACATTTTGGCCTTCAAATTATATTAGATAAGTTATTTATGATAATAGTTTAATGATTATCTATGATTTTTATTAAGATTCTCTACTTATTGAATTATAAAAGCCTTATAAAGAAGTTGTTAAGAAATTTGATTATCATAAAAGAGAGATTATCAAAATTCTTTAAGAAACTTTTAAAGATGAAATTAATAGGGATAATACAAGATCTATTGAATTATTTCCTTGTGATTACTTTATATAAAGTGATTTTAAATCTAACAAGGTTTTTAAAGATTCTAATATTTATTTTAATTTACCATTTATACAAGGAAATGGTATAAATCTTCTAACTTAATCATTATAAAATGCTTAATTGATAATATAAGATATTTATTATTCTTCAGAAAATACAGATTATTGTAAAATGAAAATTTAAGAAGATAATAGTATATTGAGCACATTTGGATTGAATATTAATTTAAATGGAATGATATGTCCATATGAATTTAAGAAATATAATTATATATTAGCTTAAGGTAATAAAAATAATATACATTTTTAATCATTAATATTCTACTAAAGTAAATTAACAGATGAATTTATTCATTATTTATTTACAATAATAGAAGATAATCTATAAAGAAAGATTTATGTTTTAGTTGCAGAAGATGATTAGAAAAATATTATTATGGAAAGATCACTTAATAAATTATACAATTATCTATTTAATACAGATAATTCATCATAAGAAGAAATTAATTTATATCATTATGTTAATCCAAGATTTAAATTTCCCAATATATATCCAGAGTTATTATTATAAGGTACTATTGATAATTATGCAACAAATGAGATGATTCATAAAATTGCAAAATGTTGTATGGGTTCATTATTTATTGGTTTAGAACATCCATCAATTATTTTATTAAGAAGAGCTATGAAATATTAACATGTCAAATTTCCTTAATATTTTCTCAATATTATAAATAAACCAATAATTACAGGAAAATTTGAATTAAAGATTCAATTAGATGATGGCTGTTTAAAGATCACAAGAAGGTAATTACTAATTTTGATATTTTTAGATTTTTGAGTACTTAAAGAAATGAATATTAGATTTATCATATAGATATTAATAAAAATTATGAAATATTTGTTTCTGAATTTGATATGATTGAAAAAAATGTTAAAGAAATATGGGATCATATGTATTATTGTTTTTTAGATAAATATAATATGTAATTTTACTATTTAATATATAAATAGGAAATAATTTTATTATGAGATGCTTGAATTTATTGAAGGAGAACAAAAAATTATTAATTAATTTAAAGATTGGAATAAAATAATCTAATCAACAGAATAATAGAGAACCTTTTAACCATAAAGAATGTAAATAACATAATCTGATCTATTATACTCTACAATGAAATAGGATGATACATTTGAAATTGTTAATGGAAAACTATACTTTTGTTAAAAAGGAAATCTTTTAACATTAAAAGGATTTTGATATATGGAATAATGAATAGAATTTAATTAAAAATAATGACATTGACTATCATTATTATATTTATAATAAGAATCTTACAAAAAATCAAATAATATATTTCTTTTTCATTAATATTCTCTTTCTTATAAACTCTTATTAGAATGATACTAAATAGATAATCATAACTTTATACCATTTCACTGATTGATTTTTGTGATCCCATAGATTTTGTTTACTTTTACATCATTTTACCTGCTTTATCGTATTAATCAATAAATTCTTAATTTTCATTCTCATCTTCTGTTTCTGGTTCAATTAACTGTAATATTTAATATATATATTTACTTCAGAAATATGTATTCTTCTATCTATAAATTCTTCATCTGGCAAAACTTCTTTAAAAATTCTCTTTCTATCTTCTAAATCCATTCCATAAAGATTTTCTGCCTTAACAATATCTTCTGGTGGTACTTATACACCATCTAGATTTCTTAAACCTGGTAATTTATATAAAACTTGCCATCTATAATATCTTCTATTTTAAATTGGATTGTAACAAAGATCAAGAACACTAAGAAATACCAAATTTTCTAAATAAGATAATTCTTTGATCCTTGAAATTTTATTATTTGCTATTCTTAATTCTCTTACTGATAATAGATCAACAATTCCATTTAAACTCTTAATTTAATTTTAAGAGAGTTCAAGTTTTCTCAACTTTGGTAATTAAGTTAAACCATCTAAGATAGTAATCTCATTTCCAAATAAATCCAATTCTGTTAAATTCATTCCATCTAAATTTTCAATATGATCAATATGATTATTAGCCAATTTCAAAACTTATAAGTATTTATTTTTTTAAACTCCTTCAATTTGTCTTATTTTATTATTAGAGAGATTCAAATAACGAAGAAAACGATGACAAGCAAGATCTGGAATAATTTCAATCTCATTATTACTGCAATCTACATCCATTATTTATAATGGAATATGTCTTATTTATAATAATCAAATACTTTAAGTCTAATAATTTTGTTAATCTGTTATTACTAGCCTTTAATGTAATTATATATTTTAATCCATTCAATGGTTTGAGTGATTTAATAGAGTTATTACTAACATCAATATGTTGAAGATGTTTGAATTACTCAATCCCCTATTCAGTATAGATATGTAAGTAATACATGTAAATTAGTTAAGTCTAAATTATTAGCCATGAAACTCAAATAAGCATAATGTTATCCTTCAGCAGTTTTACCATATGTACTTAATGCTTTCTTTAAAATATCTTCTGAAATAGGTTGTTTGGCTTCTTTTTACTTTCCTGCTTGCTCTTAAGCAAAGGAAAAAGAGGAAAGAGAAACCTAATAAAGTTTTTCCTTATAAAAGGTGTCCTTTATTAAATGTGTCATTTTATAATATTAATTGAAAACATATGAAATAAAAAATTTAATATAAATTATTAAATATTAGAAGTGAATAGAGTTGGATTTTCAATAAAACAATAGTTATATATATATATATATAATATTTATTTATAAAATTGAATATTTTATAAACAAAATTGGTTTCATTCTATTCTTTCAGTTGTATACTTACTAAGATTCTTTTTGTATCTATCAGAATGAGAATAGGCTCGTTATTAGGCAGTGTTATTTGATTATTATTATGTATTTAATGAAAACAAGGATTCTTAATTTTAAACTTAGTTTTGTTAAAATAAATTAGGTGTATTTTGGACTGATTAGGCTGAGAATAAATCTACTACATTTTACTTTTAGTCATTATTTGCAAATAAATTTGTTGTTTATTGATTAGGTTATTAAAATAATTGATTTTATGGTTATGAAGTGAATAAATTATTTGATGATTATTATTATTAAAATATTGATTATGTTGAAGGTTACTATTAAAATAATTATTATTATTATTATTATGGTTATTGTTAAAATAAAGATATTGCTGATGGTTATTATTAAAAGAAAGATTCTGATGATGTGGGTTATTACTAAAACAATGATTATGTTGATTATTACTAAAATAATGGTTATTACTAAAATTGATTTGTTTAATTAAATAAATTAAAACTCTATTGAGATTATTAATTATTTTAAAATAGATTTGGCTATTAATTGAATAAATTTTGATTAGAGAAAACATTCTATGTTTATTAATTTTAAAAAGGAAATAAATTTTGTGATTATTATTATATAGGATTCTAAAATTATAGTGGTTACATTATTAATGGTTGCATTTAAGGTTATTATTATTAGATCAATGGCTATTGAAATAAATTGAAAGACACTTGATTCTATTATTGTATGGGATTATCAAGCCATGGTGGATTAAATAATTAGTTTTCAATATTTTATGTAAAAGGATTAATATCAGGAGTAATCTATTCTTAATTTGATATTTAAGGTACTATTTTTTATTCTACTTATGGTTCTATTATTTATTATTATTTATTTTCTATAACTTCTGTCTTCTAATCTTCTTTTATTGGAATTATTGACACTTATTATGATACTTATATTTCTGGTAGTTTTTCTTATACATCTTTTTTTTATACAGTTGGTTTTTTTGATGTTTAAATATCATCAATATTTTTAATCTCATTTTTTCCAGATATATATTATTAATCTTTATTCAAAATTATTTCTTAAGGTTAAGGTTTAAGTTTTCTAAATTTAGGTTCTGATTTTTTATCAATAATTATAGATTCAGATTCACTTTAATTATTATCTTCCTATACATTCTATTTATTAGATTTTGAAATATTTTCAACAGTCTGTTTTTCTTTTTCAAAATTATACTCTGCTTTAGAATCTGAATTTCTCTATGATATCTATGATTTTTTAGCTGTTTATTTAGATTGACTAGGCTATCTATTTTCATCTTTGATATATGAAGCATGGAAGAAAAAGCTTTTTCTTTCATCATCAGATTTGATATTGATCATTTCTTAAGAGGATTCTTCTTTCTTCCATCTTGGTTTTGTCACTATGTTTTCATGAATCCTCTTCTTGAAATATAATAGTTCAATTATACTTCTTCTTTATTAAATTTGTATGATATTATTGGACAGTTCAATAGATCATTTGTTCGAAACATGGTTAAGTTGTATTCTTTGAGTCTCTCTATGGCATATTTATAGGGATTTAATTTATCTTCTTTCTTCTGAATAATAACAAATTTGTTTTTGAAAATTTAATCCGATTTGTGTAATACATATTCTGATTGGCTTTGTCTAGATACTTAAGAAGGCTATTCATTTTGAGGATTGCTTTAAATGCCTAATAAGCTTTTAAGGCTTTTCCTCATTCTATCAAGAGACATTGAAATCAAATTTTAAATTATTCATTTTTAATATAATTTTTGTTCGTATTAATTATTTATTGAACTTTGATTTTATTAATATAAAATTCAATCTCTTTGTTAATTTTGTTAACTCTTAGACTTAAATAATCTATAACCAGCATACAATATAGCTGAACCAGCCAAAGCTGCAAATAAGCCTTCCTTAGATTTAACTCCATTTTTCATAATAAATTATGAAGCACCAGCAGCAGCAGCAACAGATAACCCTAATGCTCCAACTTCTTATGGTACTTATTGAAGTATTTTTGATTAAGATGAATGAATTTCAGACTAAGACCTATTTAAGAATTATCGTTCTGCATCATTTTGAGGTTATAAAGGTTCTGAATCTCTAATTTATTATGTTGGAGAGTCAGCAAATAAAGGAACTTACTTTTTTTATTATTATTGATTATTTTTTTAATCAACATAATATCCTTCAATTCTAACAGTATCATTATGACTTACTTCAACAGGATTTGAATTTTATTCAGTGTGCAAGAGTGGTTTCTATTCAATGATTTCTCTTTTCTCTACATTAGTTATTTCATGAGATGGTTGATTCTCTATATGAGTTTGATCTTCATATTTCACATTGACTTTCTCCTCTTCTTAAATTAATTATGTTTATATTTGATTAGATTCCACCTTTAATTATTATTATGGTTCAGAACTACTTTAAATCTAATTAATCTAGACTTCTGTTTTAGGTGCTTAGACAGAATATTAAGCTTATCCTTATTATTCAACAGATACATGTGGTTAATGTTCTATTTAATTAAATTATTAAGTTTGTATTGATTAGACATCAGGACTTGGATGTAATTGATGGATATTATGATTAATCTCTAAATTAATAATTGGATGTTCTTGAAGAGATGTTGTTTATGCATTAAGTGGAATTTAAATTTAAGGACATATCTCAATTTAAGTATCTATATTTCTTGATTCCAAATAAATATCAGGTTGTTGTTCAATAGAAACATTCTAGTGATGTTCTAATTAAACAATTGGTATTTATTATAAGTAAATACTTTCATTTGAATTTTCTGTTTACATTTAAGTCTTTTCTTCTGTAAAAATTTCACTTCTATTTTTTTATATTTCTAATTAAACTTAACTTTATGTTTCTGTCTTCTCTATAATTACTTATTACTACATTTATGGTTATTTCTCTAATTCTATTTATTAATTTTATTCTATATGTATTTTTGGTTAAACTTCTATATTTGTTTATTCAATTTATTTTTCCATTTTTTATTCTTAGACTTAGACTCTCTCTAAAACGACTTCATCATTTTATTTCCTCAACTAGGTTTATGGAGCACCTTCTATCATAACTTAATCATTTCTCTTTTCAATAATTATAGGAACCTAAGCATTTAAAATAACTTCATGTTATTAAATCTAAACAATGGCTATCTCATTCATAGGTTTTTAAGTTGGAGTATCTACAGAATGTTCAACTTCATTTTCATGTATAGAAAGTGAGACATTAGGTTTTGAAGAAGGTTTCATAATTTCATCATTTGGAGAATCAGGTGAAGGTTGACTTTGTAATTTTGGTTCTTTAAATTAATTAGTTTCTTCATACTAATTCTATCCCTAAGTGTTATTTGCTTGTTGATCTACCTGATTTTAATTTTTGTCTAATTACAAATTGGATGATTCATCAGTAACATGTTCTATTTTTTCTTTTAAATGTTAGGTCTCTACTGATCTTTATTCATTTTATATTGAAGATCTCTTATGTTATGAGTCATCTTAATCTTTCTGTTAAGAAGGTTATTAAACTTCATTTTGTGTATTTTTGATTTATTCTTATGAATCAGTTATTTAATCTTATTATTTTTATTGTTAAGCATCATTAAACTATTCTAATTAATCGTTCTCTTATTCTTAATGGGTATTTTGAATTTCTTCTAATTGATTGTTTTATTCATGTTTAAAATTATTTTAGGGTTATTCCTATGTTATTTAATCATTTGTTGTCTGCTAATTTTATTATATAGTCTCCTAATTATCTAATTCTTACTAATTATCTAATTATATAATAAAAAATCCATTACTTTATTCATCTTTAATTTCTTGTTCTTCTATTTTATTATCTATATCTGGAACAGATTCAATTTATTCTTGTTATTTAGTTTAATCTGTATTATTTTCTTACTTATTTTTGGTATTCTGTTTCTTTTTATTCGTAGGCATAGAAATTAAATATATTTATAATCATTTTAATCCAATTAATAAAATTTATATTAAAATTAGATACAATTTATGTTATGTAATTAATATTAAATTATATAAACAATTAAGAGTTTAAATAATATGTATATTTTTATTATTTGTGATATAAATATATTTATATTTTAAATGCACCTGAGTAAATATTTATAATTAAACAAATATATTTTAATATATAGATTGTAAAATAATGGAATTATTAATTATATATGAATATGTATTCTAAATGATATTATTTTGTTCATAATTTTGACCATTTAAGAAAATCGATTGGCTCCTTATCTAATCTTACTCTACTTATAAATCCTCCTGAACATTCATAGATGGCACCATTTTCTTAACAATCATCACTACATAAATAAGCAACAAGTGGAGCAACATTATTTGGATTGATCCCTTCAAGCATGTCTTAAGGCAAAATAGTCTCAGTCATTCTTGATGCAGCCACAGGAGATAATATATTAGTTCTTATATTAAATTCTTCACCCTCTTTAGCAAGACTAAAAGAAAATCCAATTATGGCAGATTTTGCTGTTGCATAATTAGCTTAACCTACTTAACCATATAAACCGGAGCCACTAATAGTGTTGATTATCTTTCCATATCTCTATTTAATCATATATGGCCATGCAGCCTTACAACATTTATATGTCCCATTTAAATGAACATCAACAACATCTTCATACTCTTCTTTACTCATCTTGGCAAAAACATTGTCTTTAATAATACCAGCATTATTTATTAAAATGTCAATCCTACCAAAATTATCGATTGCTTATTTGATTATATGATCACCATCTAAAATATCATCATAATTAGCAATCGCTATTCCTCCCCTTAAATTAATGTTTCTTACTATCTAAAAATTTATAACTTAATTACTTCATTTACTAATAGATAATTCTCACTATCCTTTTTACATCTATTATTAACAACAACCTTAGCTCCCTTATCAGCAAAGTAATTACAGTATTCTTTACCAATTCCTCTTGCTGCTCCTGTCACTATAACAACTTTGCCTCTAAAATCTAATGCCATATTAAATTTTTTATCTAAACCATTTGTGAATCCCCTTATATAAAAAGAGTACAATTGATATAACAATTTTTAATATATTAATGCATTCTCATTCTTATATAGCTTTTGCTAAAACAACTGTCGAAAATGATACTTCATTTGGATCTCTTTCAAAGAACTTTTGGATCACTTTTGAAACATCAGGCAAAAATGTTTCTGGTGTAGATTTTCCATGATTTATAGGGAATTACTTATAAATTTAATATCCTAATTTACTTTACATCCATCTAATTCATATATATCACCATCTCTTAACACAAATGCTATAAAATGACGATCAATTTCATCACAACAAGCACTTTCCCCTTATTCAACAGCCTCCTTATGAACCTATTTCAATTCTTTAGCTTTTTTGAATGCTTCACCAATTTATTAAGGAGTTTTCCCTTACACATTCTTTTTAAACTCAGCCAAATAACTTCCTTCTTGAATGATAGCCTGGTCAGCATTAAGAACAACATGAACCATTGCTATTGTACCACAAGCATTCTTAGCTAATTATTTCATATAGAACAAATTTGGAGATACATGTTAACTATATAATTCTATATGTGATACCCTTTCTCTTGAATTTAAGCTGCTTCTTAATCTACAAATTGATTTGTATTCTCTTTAATAGGAAAATTAAACAAAACTCCATAAATTGGTTAAGGAATCATTTCAAAAGCCCAATCTTCAAAACCCAATAAATCATGGAATTATGCTTTTTCAATATTAATACCTTATTATAATATTTATATATTATACCCAATTGAACTGCTTATTCATTCATAACTTAAGGATTGGATTCTAGAGGCATCCAATTATCATCTTCTTATTCGATATTCATTTAAATTGGATAATATTTATATATTTTATTATTATTGAATAATTCAATGTAACTATTTGAAATATGTATTCATTTTTGATCAATTTAATTTTTTGAAAGAATCTAATTTAGTTTAACTCTTAATCTAATCTATTCTTCCCAAGACTCCAAGAGTAACATAATCTTATTTGTTAGACATCCAACCAGCAGTCATATTAGTCATTTTATTAATATTTTTAAGAACATTCTTAGTCTTTATATTATTACCTTAAGAAGATAAGGAATCACACTCATCTATTGATTATTCTTATGTAGGATTATGTAGAGTATTAGTTTATATAGAAGTCAAAGGAATGTCAGTTAGACTAGTTTAAATACTACATATTTGAGATTGTAATTCATCAATTATCATATTCTATTTAGATAATTTATCTTAAAAATCTTAATTAAGTGATTCAATTTCTTTTACTTTACTTTCTTCCATATTAATTAATTATTATTTGCATTCATTAATTTAGATTATTAATTCTTCTTATTCCTCTTTCAATTATTCTTTTTCTTAAATTGCTTCATCAAGAACTCTTTTTAATTCTTATATTTCCTCACTTTATTTCAACATAAGTAATGTTAATTAATCTTATATATCCTCATTATTATCAGATTATCGATTCAATTCATCTATTTTCCAATGTTCACTAGATAAATTTAAATCTTGTTAACCATTCTCTTATTCAATATCACTTTCCTTATTAAAAATTTGATAAAAATCATTTAATTATTATTACAAATCAGTTATAATTTATGTTTTTGTATTCAACATCTCATCTCTTAATTATAATTCTACATAATAAATAAAGATTTACCTTATTCTAAGAAATTTATTTTATCATTACTATTAAATTGATTATTTTGATCTTTTTGATTAGCTGACGTCAGACATCTATTTTTAATTCGAATATTCTTTTTGAATTAATCATCTAAATCTATACTAATTTAATTATTAGATTAATTATATTAACATCCAAAATCATTTTAAGGTACTATCTTAATTTCTTGATTGTTTTGATAAATTTATTTAATTTACTAATTTTCGATCAATTAATTAGGTTTGATTTCAGTATTAAATTAACATGAAAAGTCTTGTTTTATAGGTTATCCTGTCCATAATTAAAGATTTAAATGAATCTTCTTATTATAAGTATTCTATTGATCATGGTTACTATTCAATAATTTAATTTCATCAACTTAAGAGATACTAGATTCATTATTATCTTAAACTGATTAATTCATACTTTAAATATCTATTTATTCTTTTTATTATTCAGTTTAACATTCTTAATTGATATATGCACTTTGCAACTTGGATTGCTATAATTATTACATATATTGAGATAGTCCCACTCCTATTAATTATTGTTCTTTATCATCATTTTCTGTGTATTCTCTTGGAAGACTCATCTTACTTGAATAGGCTGTTTGACTATCATTCAATTTTTATTGCACTTTAATGATATTTGTATTTTGAATAGATTATGCAAGGGAACTATTATTTTCTTCTTGCAATAATTTTCTTTCTAAAATGTTATACTTTAATACATTAGTACTTTTCCAAATACCGCTCCAACTTACTTTTGTTAGTACTGGAATCAAGTTTAGTTTTAATTGCAGAAGGAGCTTTCTTTTATTTATGAGAATTTTTTGAATTCTCCAATTGATGATTACTTTATAAGAAGACATCTTAGAGAGTTCCTAAAACATCTTATTTAGAAACATGATATTGCATTATTGAAATCACAAATTATAAAATTAATATCAAAATAATTCTTTAGCATATCGAACTTGTATTGAGATTATTTAAACATGATTGAATTTATATAAAATTAATTCATTATCAAAATTAAGATGATTCCAGTATAACTTAATTAAAGATATTTTAATATAATTTATCTTAAGCATCTAGTTTCTTTAACTGACAATTATATGTTCTTTTTTTTATTATCTAAAAATACTTAATATATATTTATCTATCCTTTATATACACTTAAATCATTATTCAAAACAAATTCAAAATCAAATATTCTCATTTCTAAATATTGTTATTATTTCTTTCAAAAATTCTCACTTTATTTTGTGTTTAATTAGTTGAGAAAGTCTAAGGTATTATTTGGAAATGTTAGATTTTTCGAATTTTGTTTTTTCAATGATAAATTTATATTTATAAACGACTTTCAAAAAAAAGACACGAGAAATATATAGTTCTAAGAAAGGAACAAATTATTTCTATCATTTATAATAATGTTCTTTTAATTCCTAAATCTGTATTCGCTTTATCATATCCAATTATTTTTTCAGGAAAGCTTGTTTCTAAGTATTCTTCGAATTGTAAGGTGACTGCAAGAGCTAGAGAAGTTTTTTTGTTTATAGAGGTTTCAACTTTGAAGGACTCCCTGAACTGTTTTAATTTGTCGCTCTCTTTTGCACTTGAATTCGACCAACTCTTGGACTGCCTGGTCGAGTAGATAGAGGAGTCACATACATAAAACCCTTTTTTACATCTGGCAACGTGTCTCTACTGGGCTTGCTTGTCTCCTAGAATGTAGAGATTCCAATTATACTTGAGTCGAACCTGACATCAATAAAGAAACCTTCTTTTTCTTATCCTCACCATAAAATTGAAGACTTAATTCCTTATAGAATTAGTCAATTTCATTTTCAATATTCTTTTCTTAATCTGGATCAAAGCTATGAAGAGAAAATTGATCATCGTCTGACATTTTTTTTATATAAAAAATATTAATCACAACGCTAGTTTATTTATCTAATACAAAATTGCTTTGTCTAATTCACTTAAGACAGCTGCGCTCTCTTAGGGAAATTGTTGCAATGTATATAGCATAATGCTTTTGATCTCGTTCAGTAATTACTTTTATCCTTTTAGAGATTTCAATACCTCAATCCAAAATTTCATATTTTCTTCATTATTTTATATATTCATATATAATCTTTCAATTGTACCAAGCATTGAGGAATAAGTACTTCTACAATTATTTATTAAATCCGTATATTCTTATGCATAAGTTCTCCAGAATTCAATTTTTTAATCCTAAATGAATTCAAATAATCTGTCATCTTGAAGTTCAGAATTTAATTTGCTAATAATTTTAAATATTTCATTAAAACTTCTAAGCAATCTTCTTTAATATTCTAGAAAATCAATGTTTAAAAATTAATATGCATCATTGAGTTTTTAAATTTCTAAATTTAATTTGTTTTCCTCCTCTTCCAATTACGAAATTGATGTTTTAAGAAAATTAGGATCTATTTTCTTTGTATCAAAATGTTTTTATATAAATGTATTGGTTTCATATAATTACCATTTTTCTAATTTTTCATTTTAAAGTTATAAACAATATTTTTAAATATCATACTTAGATGAATTTATTTTAAGTTTTAAAGCTTATATGGTTGAGTCTCTCTTTTATCCAACCAATAAATAATTATTAATAAGTCTTTAAATAACTGAAATTATTGATATTACTAATTATGACCATTATTTTATATCTGAGAAACTTAATTGAGAGTCCAATATTTGATTCATAAGTGTTATAAATGATATAAACATTTTATTAAAGATAGGATGAGTAGATTTATAGAAGAGTAAAGTATCCATTAATGTTAGAATAGCATGTTATTTTAAGTTTGTATTTTCTAGAGTTTGAAATTGTTGAAATAAAAGTAAGCTTTGCTCTTGTATATGATCTAAATTTTAATTGGTTAATTTCAATTGTTCTGATAATCTGGAAGGTACAAAAATGGTGTGTGATGAATTATTTTGCATTATTGATTAAATCAATAAATGAATGAATTAAATTATATTTATTTAAATTTACAACAAATATTTAAATTAAAGATCACAATTTATCTAAAAATTCATTAAGATCTGGCAATGAGATCTTAATTCCTTTTCTCTTTCTAATATTCAACACTAAATCATAAAGTTTTGAACCAACTTCAAATGGATCACCATTTAATACAGCCCAATGATCAAACATACATTAAGGGAAAGCTTAACCTTAAGTAAGACCTCTAAGATGGGCTGTGAATCCGAAAGATTCAGAAACAGGTAAATATGATCTTATCTAAAAAATATTTAATTTATATAATTACTAATGATAAAGGTGTTCCTGCTACTTATTCTTCTTCTATAATTATTCCTCTTCTCATATTTAAACAATTATACACACCACCAGTTGAATCAATAGGAACAGTGATTTCTGCTAAAAATACAGGTTCTTATAATCCAGGCCTTGCTGTTAGTTAACAGGCACTGAATAATCTTCTTGATGCTGGTATAATCTGTCCTGCTCCTCTATGGATAGCATCAGCATGTAACACACTATCTAAGATATTCACTCTAATTCCTCTTTAATTTTCTTCACAAAGAGCACCTAATTTGGTTGTTTGTTACCAAGCAGATTCCATTGAATCTCTTATTTCATTCATATATTAGACTCCTGATGTTTTATCCAATAGAATATTTGCACCAGAATTATCAGGACCAAATGACCATATTTTAAGAGCATCATCTTTATCCCAGTCATATTAATCTGATAGTAATTTAGCTCTTTCTTTATTGTCATCTTTTGCTGTTATTTCTCCTCTTTCAATTGCATCTTGAAGATTTTCATGAAGTGGTTCAGCTTAAGCATAAATTCTATTATGATTATTAGGGGATTTAGCCATACATACAATTTTTGATGTTGCTGAAATAGTCTCTTTATAAGATACAATTGGATCAGATCTTATTATTTCAATATTAGCAAAGTCCTTCTCTAAATCATTCAAACATATTTCTACATGTAATTCTCCACATCCTGCTACTATAAGCTATCCTGTTTCCTCTGTCGTACAAAGAACTAATGGATCTGATTTTGCTAATCTCTTCAAACCTTCAACTAATTTTGGTAATTCACCTGGGTTTTTAGGTTAGACAGCTACTCTAACAACAGGTGATACTGAATATTTCATTGATCTGATTAAATGACTTTCTGGATGATCTGAGATAGTACCAGTCTTTAACAAGACATCATCCACACCAACTAAACCAACAGTATTACCACAAGGGACATCAGGAATGTATTCAACCTTACTGGCCATCATCAATACTGTTCTTTGAACTGTCTTTTCAAATAAGTCTTCTTTCCTACCAGGTTAATAATTAGGACCCATAATTCTAACCTTTTATCCTGTACCTATAGTGCCTGAAAATACTCTACCAAAGGCAAAGAATCTACTTCTATCAGAAGTTGGTACCATCTTTGATACATACATAATCAATGGTCCTTTAGGATTACATTCTCTCATTGATTAAGCTATAGCATCATCTTAAGGTCCTTCATATAAATAAGATGTTCTGTATTTCTATGCTTCTCTTGGTGAAGGCAAATGACATATAATCATCTCAATCAAAGTGTCAGCAGCATTAATCCATTTAGACATAACAGTCTTTAAGAGTTGTTTACCACTTAATTTCTATTCCTCTTATGTAAGTTTCAACCCTAAGACATTAAACATCTTATTAGCCATTACCATATTACCTTCCATGACTGCATTAGCTAATTTACATATGGGATCCATAATGAAAGCAACGAAAGCTCTCTTTAATTATTTTCCTGAAGTTCCTTCACTCTCTTTTCTCCAACATTTAGTCTCATCATCAAAATAATTATCACCCCATAATCTTTCTTATAATTTCTTTGGTTCTACTTTGAATTTCGAAGCATAAATCATAGCGAATTTTGTACATGAAAATGCCCAGCATTCCTTACCTGATCCAAAAGATACTGATCCAAGTTCTGGTTGTACTTATAGTTCTCCCATGTCTTCTTATTGATAGGTTGCAATAATCACATTAACATTATCAATGACTTTAACAAAGTTCTAATACATGGTTTCACCATCATGTTTTAATTCCAGTATTGCTCTATCAATCTTATTTATCATCACTACTGGTTTTATCTTCTCTTACATAGCTTATCTCAATACTGTCTCTGTTTATACACAGACTCCTTCTACACAATCTACAACAACTAAGGCTCCATCAGTTACTCTAAGAGCAGCTGTGACTTCTGAACTAAAGTCTACATGTCCTGGAGAGTCAATTAAATTGATTAAAAACTACTCTTTTGTGTTATTGTAGTTAATATCATATTCATAATATAATGATACACCTGTAGATTTTATTGTAATTCCTCTTAACTATTCATCTTCTCTTGTGTCAGTCATCCTTTTGTCTCCACTCTCTTTAGCTGATAAGATTCCAGCCTTACAGAGTAAAGAATCTGTTAATGTAGACTTTCCATGATCCACATGAGCGATGACTGACATGTTTCTGATGTTTTATTACTTATTCATAATCTCTCTTATTTAATCTACAGTGAAGTTAACCATTCTTATTTTATATTTTATTTTTATTATTGAAAATGAAATGATCCTAAAATGGAGTATTTAAGCCAAAATTTTCTGATAAAATCTGATAAAAAGTTAATTCTTTAATAAATTTATATTATGTATTATTTATGAAAGAATTTTAAATTAATTTATAAATTATAATCAATTACATAATTCAAATATCAATCTATCTAAATTTTCCAAATTTTCATCTTTAATTCTATTATCTAATACTTTTGAATCTTGTAAAATAATTTAAGTATTTAATAATTAAACAGGTTAGAAATTCTCTCCTCTATCTAATACTAATTAGATTTAGTTTCTCTCTGTTTGTTATTTCAATTTCGAAGACACTAATGATTATACTTGATTCTTAGAAGAATTATCAACCAATCCCTATATTTCCTCCAATAAGTCATCTATTTAGAGATCAATCTTCTCCTCTTTGATTTATTCTTTTTTATTAAATTCAATATGATGTATTGGTTCATGTTATTATTCCAATGATTATGGTTCATAATTCTTTTAAATTTCTTTAGTAAATGAAACTGATGCAGATTATCCTTCAGTTTTATAAGGTTTAGGTTTAATTGATTCTATTTCAGATTATTTATCTTAACTGGTCTACACTCTTCGATGATAATTTAAATCATTCATAATATTGATAATACTCTATGAATGTATAATATTATTCTCTTCTAAGAAATAGATTTTTGATTCTTCCTGTAATTCTTTTTAATTTTTTACTATAACAGTTTATACACTTGGTTACCTCTTTACTACTTATACTTTAGTTGTACTATAAGGAAGTTCTTATTAAAAATAATGTTAAGATTCTTAATTTAAGGGTTGGTTCTCAAAACCATTTATTGCATATTTAGCTGTTTTAAATAATGTATTATTCTCTTAAGTTATTTGATAATTATTAGTTGAATCAAAGTTTCTGCTAATTAATTAAAATTTCTTTGTTGCTTCTTATTTTTCTCTTTCAGATTTATTTAACATTAATTGCATTGCATCTTAATCTCTATTGAATTGTGCTGCAGATTCTGAATAATATTATTTTAGAATATCTATTTCTATTCTTTGTTTAGCTGATTTATTATAATTATTCATAATTAATAATAAAATAATGAAGAAAACAGTCAAACAGAAAGTAAAGATGTTAGGAGCATTAGAATTGGATCGTCAAATGAAAAGATAATTGGAATCCACTAATTATTCAATATTATAGAATTTTGATGTATTTCAACACCCATATTGCAGTATTTTCGATCTCTTTTAGGAAGATCTCATAAAAATTATTCTGAAGTTGAATAATTGAAGAAATTCTTATAGCAAATACCATATTTAAAGGAAATTACAGAAGGAATGTCAATAAGATTGATTGAGAAGATCATACATCAATTAACATTATAATTCCTACCTGCAAATAGTTAATGTGATTCTTAATTTCAAATCATCTTAAGTGGAGAAATCCAAATAGGCTAAAGAACATTTGTTTAAACAGATACTATAAATGAAGTTGGTTCAGTTATAAGAGATTCTTGGGTTCTAATACTAAATAATGAAGGATACAATGAACTTATTAGAGAATACCATGAAAATCTGTTAGCTTAGAAATTACATCTTATATAATAATATTCTGTTTTTAATAAAATAAGCATTTAAAGATTAAAAAATCAATTAGATCAATTCAAATAAGATTAAGCTATTAATAATACAATTTTATATTAGGAAAAACAATTAGCTGATTCATTTTACTTAATAGTGTAAGGAGAAATCAAATTAATATAATAAGATATAGAATTATAATTATTGGGACCTAAATGTGTTTTTGGAGAAATGGAATTTGTGGAAGGTAATGAATTTAGATTGCACAAAGCAATTGTTACTTAACATATTACTTATTATAGAATTGGATATCATCAATTAAAGATTCTCTTAAATTCTAGTTGTATGTATGAAACATTTTGTTAGAATTATCATATTAAAGCATAATTTTGGAAGACAAGAATGTAATAATGTAAAAAAGAAGTTATTATATCTATTGATTATTCTGAATTTAAACATGATATTCCTAAGACATATCATAATTATCTCCCAGCATCTAAATTATTAAAATATGCAAAGTAGAATACATCTAATCATATTGATGATTAAAAAGAAACTAAAGAAGATAAAATACTTGAATCATACAAATAATTTAATCATTAAATCAAATTAAATTTTAAACATAATCATTTATTGAGAAAAGTATTGATTTAAGCAAAGTAAACTAAACATGATTTACCTATTATGAAAGGATTACAATTAGAAAAGTATTTACCTAAAAATCATTTTACTCATAAAAAGTCATTGAATATAATTAGTCAATTTAATGAAACCATATATCAAAGGTTTATTTCAGATGTAGAATCATATCCAACAACAACTACTTTTGTTAAAGGATCTCGATTATTTAGTGCAGCAAGTAGATTATAATCTCCTGTCAGTAGATTATAATCAGCAGCACCAAAATTATTTACAAGTCCTTAAAAATTATAATAATAATAATTTAGACCAATAACAGGAATAAAAAGATCTATTAGTAGTTAATGATTCAGATATTCATTAAATATTAAATACTTATTATACAAACATATTATATATACATAATCATTTTTTATATTATTTTTAATTAAATATTTTTGGTTGTTTTTTTATTTATTTAGATTTTATTTAATTTGTTTTAATCTATTTTTATGGGTATTCTTTACTTGATCTTAATCTAAAATCTAAAATATTAAATAAAAATTAAATTTACTATTCAATTTAGGAGTTACATCAAATCCAAAGGATTTACATAATCTCATGGGATTTAATTTTAAAACATCATAATTATTTTGATCTAATTTATGTTGATAAGTCTATTTTTATATATATAAATATATTATACATATACAAAATCCTTATATGCTTTTTCAGCTAAACAATTTAGATTATAATTATTAGATACTAATTTCATAACTTCCTAAGTTGCAAATTATTCTAATTTATTTTTTTCTAATTTGCTTTCATTACATTTAGGTATCTTCTCTTCAGGCAAAACAAATATTAAACCACTTTTAACTTCTTACAGAGGAGGATCATAATAAATTTATAATGTTTCATTAGATGGTTGTTATTATGTTCTAAAGTTTGTTTTAATTCCCATTAAGATGAACAACTCTTACAAAAACTAAATATTGGGAATTTAGTTACATTAATTTAATTTTCAGAGAAAACTACAACAGTATTAGATTTAATTCTCTTCACAATACTTATCAATAGTTAAAGTCTTTCATCTTGTTCCACTAGAATGTAATTCATAAATTAAATAATAATTAAAATGTCTTTAATATTAAACTAAATCAATAAGGATAATGTGATACTTGAAAAAGATTGTAGAATTACTATGGGAGTGTAAATTATATTAGAAATTAGTGAAATAATCATTTGATATTTTACAATTATAGAAGAATGATGCATCATTAGAAATAGTAATTTTATAAAAATGGTAGGTAATTGAATCTAAAAATCTTTTTGAAATTGGATGCAAAGTTAATTATACAAATATTTTGGATTTTATTTGAAATAATATATATAAGTATTCATAAAAATAAGGTATGATTGAAATATGTTGTATAATTAAAAATACAATACTCATATTAATTCAATAATTCTTCCTAAACATAATTTCTCTAGAATATATTACCCATTTTATTGTTTTAAAGTACATTCATATGATTCATATTTACATAAAGCAGAATTTATAGATTTATATTATAACCTTTTTCAAATTGGATAAAAAAGGGATGATATAATTAAAGTATATTCATCATGTTTGATTTAATGTAATTTAGATAAAAATAAACAGAATGTATTTTCAATCAACTCAATAAGAATACTTCCATTTCTATTATTTTAGGTGATCCATCTATTATGGATTCACCTTTCTCATAACCATACTCATATGTGTATCCAATATTACTTGAACATTGATCGAATGTGAATCCTTATAAACTTAGATCTGGACCTTATCCAAATTATGGTCCAACCATATATTTAGAATATAAAGTAAATCTATCATCTTTTAGTTTATAAATTTTATTCTTTGTATATGAGAATAGGAATGACTTTTTGGCACCATCAACCATATAATCTCCATAAAATGATGGAATGTAAGGAGGCAATGTAAATGCTCCAATTATATGAAAATTATGAAATTTGGCTATTAATAAAGTAGACCCATACTTCTTCATGCTTAACCAGAAGGCATTCAAAGTAAGTCCATCTCTTTTACTTTTGTAAATTAATTCAGCTTTAGTGAAATTCAATTACTATCCAATAATAATTTGATTAATAATATAATCTGTTTCTAAAATTTCTGATTTTTCATTAAATGTTATTGGTTCTACATTAGCTTTTAATTCCATATCCAATTTTTATGGATTCTTATATATTAATTCTTATAGAATATTTTTTGTTTTATTAAATTCTTCATCTGTTTTTTTCTATAATTGTATTACTTTTAATACTAATTTAGAATCATTATTTATTAAGATATCTTTGAGTTCATTATTACTTTAAAGTGAATCATGAGATTATTTAAGTAAAGTCTCTATTTAATTATCTTATTCTTTCTTTGATTATTTAACCTCCTATATTAACAATTTTTACAACTCAAGAATTGATAAGGATTATTAATCTAACTTCATTTAGAGTCTAAAATAAATAATTAATTTTACTTTAAAAGTTAAGTATCAAGTTATTAAATAGTATAAATTAAATAGAACATTGGAATGATGATAATAAAAATAGTGATATTTTTAGGAAAATAATCTGTTTTGGGCATAGTCTTCACTCCTTCTAAATCAGCAATTTTTTTCTATAATTGTTGGATGGTTTTCTTCCTGTATTCACAATCACATTTTACTTAATTGTTTAAGAATCCTGTAATTCGATTGAAGCTATATAAGTTTCAATATTCTTCTTGATCTCTTCTAATACTTGTTTTAAGGAATCTTCAAATTTTGTATCATTCGATAAGTACTACTCTATATTAAATTGAAGTTTGTCTTTTTAAAATTGTAATCCTTATCGAACTAAAGAAACTTAAGAATTCAATTATTTTGGACTTTCTTCTACATATTATTCAATCTTTTTGAATACTTAATTCTGAAACTCTGAACTCTTACTAGAAAATGATTCTAATTTTATTATAAGTATGTTAATATTTACTTAAAGTGCACAATTCTTTGAATTTATCTTTTTTAAATTGATGTGCATCAATTATCATCTGATTATATAATTCTAACTTCTTATTATTTCTTCTTATTAGATCATTGATAATAGAATCAAAAGTAACAAATTCTTCATAATGTTTAATGCTATTTTTATCTGTCTTATGTAATTTCACTAAACACTCATGACAATGCAACTACTTCTTCTTTGAAGTATAACATTCTTTATTCAGACAAAGATATTTCTCTTAATTCTAAGTGTCTTAACATAAACTAAATTATCTTTATTCCATTTTTTAATTGAAATCTAGAATACAATCCTTATTTTTTTATATTCATTAAATTTCTCACAATTCTTCTAAAATGTGTGACAAACTAATTATAAATAGAGATAGAAAAAGTTAAAAATAAAGTATATATTTGAATGTAAAACATATTATTACTCAATGTTTTAATTATTGTATATAAAAACATTTCAATATTTTCTTTATTCTTTCAATAATCATTTTCAAATATATATATGTTCAATAATTAGTTTTAATGATTAATAAAATTTAAGAGAGTTACTTTTAGACACTTTTAGAAGAAGAGCCTTCTATCTAAAAAGTCAAATCTATATAAATGTAGGTCAACAAATATAGAATTTAAAGCAAAACTAATAAATTTGAATCAGAAAGTTTTGATAGTAGTAAGAGTGTTTTCAATTCTGATTATGATCCAAAGCCTATCTTTGAAACATAATCTCGTTACAGCATAGCTAATTCAATCTATAAGAAAAATAAGATGATGTAGAAATTATACAATTCTCAAAATGTCAATTAAAAATTAGCTTAACGACAAAGAATTTAGTCTTTTCGATTAGATGAAGATATCTACAGTTTTGAAGAAGAAGAAAGTCTTCCTGAAAATTTGATGGATGTCAATCTCTACTTCAGATAAGATGCTATTGTTTCTGTCTAAAAAATTCTTTAAACCTAAAGAAAACTATCATGATTTACCTTCCATAATTTATTTCTATTAAATATTATTCTAATCTGAAATCTTACATATGGAAATATTGAACTTTTCAGTTTCTCTTGATTACTTGACGATAATTCTAATTTTCATACTGAACAAATTATTACTTATATTTGATTATTAATTTATAATCGCAATAACATACCATAATACTATTAATTTGGAATATTATGAATTCATTAATCTCTTCTTTTTATGTTTTGATATATTTGGTTAATACAACCAAATTAAAAACTTAAGTAAAAATAAACATATTCTTTTTTAATATATTATTTAAATGAATATATCTTTCATAATTTTCATTTCCTCATTTATTTGATCATTATATTAACTATCTCTTAATTTAAAGTTTAATTCAAGTATAAATAAATAATTAAAACTTAGAACTTCTAAATTTAATTTCATTATTATTTATAATATTAAATTATTATTACTTTAAAAGTTTCTAAACATTCAGATATTACTTAACTTTCTCAAGGTTAGTTAATCTTTACTATAAAATTCTACCTCTCTCACATTATTAATTTTTAGATTTCATTGATAACTCAACTTTATATTTGAAAAAAACCTTATGATTCTTTTATTAATTATAATTATAAGTTTCAAATTTAGATTTGTTAATCGATGATGAATTACATATATGGAGAATGAACAACTTAAAATTTAAATTTAAATATAATTTAATATATAGATAACATATATATAAGATGAAATTAAAATCATTTATGAACTTAAATTAAATTTTAGTTAAATAATTTGTAGATGTAGTGCTATTTAATATAATTAAAAATACAATCATAGAATTAAAATTTAATTATTGAATATTTTCTATTAATTAGAAGAATACTCATTAAAAGTATAATAATCTATTATTTTAAATTGATCAACATTCTATTTTAATAATTGATATGAAAAGTATGTTTTATAGATTTATATGAAAATGAATTTAAACATTATTTAACCAATAATTATAGATTACTTTGTTTAAAATTAATCTATTGATTTAACCTAATAATATTACATATACATTTTTTTATATTAAATTATTATCAATAGACTTTTGATTTACAAAAAGTTTATTATTAAAATATATTATATTGAGTAGTAATTTAAATAAACTAATATTATGCTTGTATAACCTCAAATAAATGCGTAATAAGGTTCTTCCTCAAGATCTATGTCTATTTCAATGGATGAATCCATATATACATAAATCCAACCAATAGTTTAAAAAATGACTGTTGTCAATTAACATTAACTATAAGTCAGAAAGCCATCTGATGCTGCCTAAGAAATGATCCGATCACCTCCAACTACAAGTGTAACACCTTAAATTGCATCAGATAGACCACCTTAAAATGAGATCAAGGATTTACTTCTGATTAATGAAGAACCTAGCAATAAAGAGCAATCTATTTAAATAAGTGACTGTTGTAAGAAAACTCATAAAGCTTCAAAGAATAATTTAAGTTAATAAAGCATATTAATTGATGAAAAACCTTAGAATTCATATAGTGATGTTCAATGGAGTAGATTAATGTCATTAAAAACTGTAAATACTCATCCATCCTTTTAACTAAACATTTTATGTGATAAGGCTGCTGAATTTGATTAGAATAATTCAATAAATAAGTGTTTCCAACCTAAAAAATAAAATCTATATTATCATACTAGTAATGTTATATATTGTATGTATTTGTGTTTCTTTATAACTTAAATGTTGATTAATTTATAAGATAGTTTATAAGGATAACATATTTATTAGATTTTATTAATTGTCTTTTAAGTAATATACTCATTCAATCAAATTATATTTGTATAGTATGAAAATGGTGAAATAATCAATAATATTCAATAATTAACATAAATGTATTTTAAAAAGTAATCAATTTTTGATATAATTGCCTTGATTCCTGTAATTTTTGTATTAGCATCTGAGTAAATGCATTTCATATAGCTTTTGCATATTGTAAGATTATTGAAATTAAGATAATTAATGAAAGACTTTTAATTAATATATGGTAAGATTGTATAATATATTTATTATATTTTGGAATTTCACTTTGTCTAATTTATTGCATTGACTATCCTTCAATTCAATCATAATAAATAATAACTTAACTTTTATGATGAATTCATTGTATTTTTATATAAATCAAATGAAAGCAATGCAATAACTTATCTTATAAGACTTTTTATATTAATTTATTATTGCTATTGTATTTTTAGATTTACTATTAAAGAAAATCTTGAATTACATAAATTATCAATATCATATGATACAAAATAATAAATAAAAGCTTATATAAATAAATTGAACTCTCAATAATCAACGGATATGAATTTTTTATCTCATTTACCATAAACATATGTAGATGATATAAAATTTTAACGTTACTTTCATTTGCTCTAAAAAATACCTATATTTAAATGTTCCTTTTCAGAAAAAACTTTAAGATAAATATGCAGTTTAATTCAAGAGTACACTTATGTTCCCAATCAAATAGTTTTAATGTAATAAACATCTAATTAATAATTGTTCATAATCCTATCAGGGGAAGTGTAAATATCATAAAAAAAAGAAGGATCTTCTAATACAGACTTTAAAATAAAGAGAATTGGAAAGGATTCAATCTTTAACAATTAGGCATTCTTTAAAAATACATATTCCAATATTAATGCAACTTCTATAGGATATTCTTAAATAGCTCAATTAGATTTAGAATAGTTTTTAGATTGTATTAAATCTCATTATTAAGAGAGATAAAAATACAAGATGATGGCTGATCAAATTGTACTTTATGAAGTTTATAGTTTATGTTAATTGTGTTGTTATGTATGTGGTAAATTTCATGATATTGATGAATGTGATCATGTACATTATGTTCCAAAAAAATCAATTATTGTTTAATATATATAATCAAACGACTTATAAATTCGTAAAAATTATTTCAGAAGTAAAGTTAGACAAAAATAAAAAAGATTAAAATCTAATATACTTAAAATTGAAGAAGCAGCTCTTCTATATTAACAATAAAATTTTGAGTCAGATAACACTGATGATAATAAAAAATATTAAGATGAAGTGATTAGTATCCAATAACCTTATTTAAGAGAAGCTAGCCATCCTTATATAGAGGGATAAAATTCTCTTTAATAATCCTAATACACACCTAAGAGAGGATCCTAAAATTCAATTCGTGATTCATTGCATTCTCTTTAACAATAGTAATAACAATAATAATAACAATAACATTAATTAATGGATATTCCAAATATTAGTCCAGTTTAATATGTTCAATAACCACCTAGTGGAATATCTCATAGTTCTTATGGTTAATTATTTAAGGATGTTTCAATTAATAGAAAGAATTTTAATGGATCTTCAGATAAAAATTCTAGTGGTAATGTGTTTTCTTTACCTTACAGCAGCAATGGTAGTAAAAATACTCCTAATAATATTATTTCTAAATAAGAGAAAGATGAATTAATTAGTATTTAAATGAAAAAAGCCAAATTGCAAGATAGTGTATATTATCATTAAAAGAGAATTCAGAATCAAATGGATAATTGCAGTTAAAATACACTTTCAAAATACTAAAAATATCACACAACTTAACCCTAATAATAATAGACCAAATCTATTCGTTCAGATAGAAAATCTAATTCTTGTATTTCTGAATCTGAAAAAGGGGAATATCAAGTATAATAACAATAAGATGTATAACCATCAAAATATGGTATTCAATCATCCAAATTTACAGGAGAAACAGCTAAATAATTTATGAGAAACCCTTTAGAAATGCCTAATCTGGAATTTTATTAGTCTTTTGAGAAGAGTAATCAATTCAGTGATTATTTTCCTCAATATAATATAGATTAAGCAATAGAGAGCTATAAACATTATTAACAATCTAGATCTAGTGCAAATAAATGAATATATATATATATATATGTATATCTTTATTTAATAACATAATATTCTGGGAAATATTTATACTTTTAAGTAAATAATAAAAAAATTACTATATGTTGTTTAATTATTATTATATTATTCTAGTTTTTAATTTTATTTGAATAAAACAAAATGAGCGCCCTTAAGGCTAAAGGTAGGAAAGTCTTTGAAATTCCAATTTGTACAATTTGCTTAGATCCAATGATAAAAGACCTTTGCGTTTTTACAGTTTGTGGTCATGTGTTTCACTACAATTGTGGTGTAAATTGCCATTAAAATTCAAGAAAATGCCCTAATTGTCGTATGAGATCTACAGAATTATAGTCATTACATTATGCAGTTGAAGAAATAACAGGAATAGATGAATAAATGAGTTAACTATTAAATGATTTGACTGTTGATTAAAAATAACATATGGCTAAATTATTGGCGGATCATGAAGAATTATTACATGAGAATTAAAGAATTAAGTAAAGAAATAAATTTGTAGAAGAAAAAAATGAATCAATTTAGACTGAAGTTTAACATATACAAGCAGAACTTAAAAGATCTTTAGAAAAGAATAAAGAATTAGAAATAAAAGAAAAGTAATAACAATCAAAATTAAAGACTTTAGAAGTTTGTTTTTAATAACTTGAAGAAGATAATAAAAAATTAAAATAAGAAGTGGAAAAGAATATGTCACTTCTAAAAGGTTTTGACTATTTAGAAAGCCTAGCTAAAGTAATTAATAATCCTAATGAGGATATGTATTTAAAATTAATTAGATAAAAAAGTCCTAGTGAATAAGCTAAATAGATTTATGATTTATATGTTATTAAAGTAGGATAATTCAAAAATGTCTAAAAAGAAGTAACTCAATTATAAGAATAAAGAGAATAGCAATAAAAAAAATATGAATAATTATAGTAAAAATATGAAAGAATGAAAGATTTATATGATGAAATTCAAAAAGAAAATTTATCAATCAAAGAACTTTCAAGAAATCAGAATCAAAATCCTATATAGAAGATTATAGAACATTATGAAGATAAATAAGAGAATGAATTCAAACGGAAACCTGTAATTATGTAAAAACAATTATCATTTGGATGCTCTTAATTAAGAAAACAACCACTGAGTTAAAGTTTATTGAAAAAATGATATTAATTAATTTATGTCTAAATTACCTGAATTCAAGATTCCAAATGTTGTGGATCCTAAATTATGGCCAAATCCTCGTACAATGACTCCCTAGTAATTACAAACATACACATCGTTGGACATGGTCAAATTGAACTACACATTCAAAACTTTGAAGAAATCAGCCCCATACATAGTTGGTGTCTTAGCTGGATGCTTTTTTACAAAGCTTGTTGTTGATGGAGTTGTCAAAGGATTCATTTTTGGTGAAAATGGTACTCTTTTTATATTATCTTTAGGAAATGGTGGAAAACTCTTAGAAATGAAGACATACAACAGCATTGGAGATTATACTTATAATAGATAATTCTAGAGAATGAGATATCTAACCGAATTACCAGCAGGTATACTTTAGTGTTCTATATTTCTATAGGCGATGATCCTCTTGTTAAGACCAGCGATTATTTATTACATGACTTAGGTGTTACAACTCAATAATTTGGTGTTTAACATGGTGTTGTCAAAAAAGTGCCACATGATAAGTATCTATTGTGAGTAATAGGGCAAATATAATATACAATAAATTAATTCAAAATATACTACAATTTATACATGTTTCAGAAGATTTCTAATTGATTTCATTTGTTATTTCTTTCAATACATTATTCCTCTATTATTCACATAATTCATAAGTTTATGATTTGCTTCTAGGAAAATGTTCTATAAATAATTATAATGTGATTTACTTTCATTTGTTGATGAATTCCTTGAATTTTCAAAATTAGTTGATTGTGATTCGAATTCATCATATTAAACGAGTTTTTATTTCAAATTTTCAAGCGCTTCAATCATCTGATTCAAATTTTAATACTATATTTATTTGATTACTATTACATATTGTGTAATGATGAAGATATTCTAATCTAGAAGCATTTCTTAATATGATTGATTTAAAATATCCAAGGACTGACTATTTGAATTATTGGGATTTTTTTCAATTCTATTAAAATATTCATTCACATATTCCATTTCACTTTAATAGATTTGTACTAGTCTCATAATATCAAGATGATTAAATTGATCATCATCTTAGTCTTCTAAATTTTAATTCTATATCAATTGAAATTTTGAATGCAATTCCTAATGTAATTTGAATCCCTCTCTTATTGATAATTCTATCTTAACTATGGAGCTCTTTAAAAGCTGAATATCAAGTTATTTATCAAAGATGATTCGACTTTTTTTGATCTTACTCTATTACCTCTTTGGACTATGAATTACTTCTTCACTACATAACAAATCATTAATTATTTAAGAAACAAGTCGAAGCTAAATTTATTGATATTACTTACTTCCTTAATCTTCTTAATCAAATAAGTATTATGAACCTAATTTGATTTCATATTTTCTAATGTTACAACCAATCCATGGATGCATTTGAGTTTTTCTCCATTATCTAAAGCATCGAGTACTGATTCGATTGGTAAATTTGATTACATCTGCAATTTCAACAGTACGATTAATTATAAAATAAAAAAATCTTTGCTTCTGAGGGAAAACAATATTTGAATATAATTGGGATATTTCAAAGAAATAGTTTATTTAAACAAGTTATTTATTTATAATTAAAAATTAAATATGTTTATATGTTGTAAAAGTAACAAAAAGCTAAAAGTTGTGCAAACTTAAACATAAACTCCTCCCTTATAAGCTTAACCCAAACAATCTAAATACTAAATAAGAACCTCAAATGATCAAGATCAACACTCCACTAATCTAACCAACATGGAAGGAACAAATGATAAAATCAATCTGAGCCTACAAGAAGTAGAAAAATTCATTTTGCATGACAAGAAAACCATAGAACAAGAACGTGAATTAGTTACAAAATTGATTGAATTACCTGATAAAACTCACTTAATTGAATTTAATTGGGCAATAGCATATACTAATTATATAAAGGATGCAGGAATATAACCTGGAGAGATTAGGAACAAAATCTTATATGATAAAATTAAAGGGAAAGAAGAATTAATTTTAGATAAGGATTATGTATTGGTTAATGATTAAGTATGGAATGTGCTGGTAAATATTTATAAAGGAGGACCTATGCTTACAATAAATGATTTATACAGAAAAAGTGAAAATAATATTTTAGATTAGTCTCTTAAAGTATTTGCATCACCTTCAATAGATGATCTTGACAAAAAATAAGCCAAAATTAGAAATCTAAAATAAATGCCAATCAAAGAACTTTAAATAATTGGATTAGAAAATGAAATCTACTTTTGCTATTTAAATAGTGTATTATAATGTCTAATGGGTATCCCTTAATTAAATTACCATTTCCTATATTCATATTAATCTGATTGCAAACTATTTAGTAATGCTTATACACTATTGTTAAAAAAGTCATCTAAAGTACACTATAAAGCACGTTTAGTAGCTAAAGAACTAATAAAAGTGTTATAAAAGCATTTCTCAATTTATGAAATGCATGATAGCTCTGAATTATTGCTATTTATTCTAGATAAATTTAAAGAAGAATTCTTTATTAATAATGCTCCTCAATTTAATAAACCTGAATAATGTTAGTTTAAATAATCTCTTACATTCATAGATGAAATATTCTATGGACAATTAACTTCATTTATCAAATGCACAAGTTGCGATAAGATAAGTTAACATTAAGATCCATTTTATGATTTAAGTTTACCTCTTGTTGGTAAGAATTTTATGTAGAGAAAATTAACAATATAAGAATGTCTTAGTAATTATTTCAAAGAAGAATTGATTGAAGGAGAATGGACATGTTCATTTTGTAATTAAAAGTTAAGAAATATTAAAAGGCGTGTTAAAATCACATTTACACCCAATATTTTAGTTTTGTAATTAAAAAGATTCCAAAGTTATCCATTAAAAAAAAAAATAAAAGAACCAGTTATTGCTGATATGGAATTGAATATTAAAAAGTAAATTATTAAATTTATTTATATAGTTTTTGTGTTCCAGAGATAGTAGAAACTAAATATGAGTTACAAGCTATGATTGTACATTCAGGAACTATCGATTAAGGTCATTATGTGGCTGTAGTCAAGCGTAATCAGAATGTATGTTTATCTTAATGATTTGTGAAGTTTTATCTCTTCAATGATGATGAAATTGAGCGTCTCTTACCTAACCAAATCAATCAAATTGATTCTGCTTATCTATTCATGTATCGTAGGAAAAGTGATTGATTAATTAACTTTTTTTATTTTATTTTCTGTTGAAATTTGAATGAGTTCAAATACTCTTCTAACTTACCTCTAAAATTAAATAACCTAAATAACTCTCAACATAGAGCATATACAGAAAGACATCTCATTACTTCACAACTAATTTGAACAGAAAATATTCACAGCAAAAAGAGAATGTATTATCATTAAACATTAATTATAGTAAATAGTAGAGATGACTCAACATAAATATAAATAGAACAAATTAAATAATAATTTGATTACACAATCAAAGCTTTAGAATAGAAAATGTTACATATAGATGAAAATAAAATGGATCAAAATGAGGCTTATTAAATGATGGAATCTAACAGAAAAAATATTCAAGAAGATGTAGATTTACTTAAAAATGAAATGGCTTATTAAAAGAAATATTTTGATGATCTACTCAATGAAAAAATTAGACGTTTAGAAATTTCTAATTTGACAGAAACAGTTAATTAATTCAAAGATCAACTTAAATAATACTATTAAGAAGAATAAAAATAATTAAATGAACATTAAACTCTTACTAAATCTTTACTTAATGCAAATAAAAAAGCATTTTTTCAAGAATTAGAAAGAATAGTTTAATAAGTGGATTCTATGAAAATTGAAATTAATGATTAACAATAATTATTTATTAAAAAACCAGAATTAGAAACTAGGATTAATTAGATTCATTTATAATTAGAATAAAAATCTGATTTAATTGAAGTGTAGAATGCTTTAAATACCCAATAAATTGATATTGCCTAGCGATTTTAAGAATTTAAAGATGAAGTACGTACAGTTTTGGAATTATAAGGAAATGAATTTTACTAATTGATTAATAAGAAAGTATATTTTTTACATTAATTTAAAATAGGCAAACCATAGTGAAGTTATGTAACTCTTGTAAGGAAAAATAGATATGGAAACTCTATTATTGCATTCAGAGGATAAAGTTCCACTCAAAGATTTTCATCAACATATGTCATTAATTGAGAATATTGCTGTTGATTTAGGAAAAAAATAAGATACAAATTCATTTTTAGAATATAAAGAAGCTAATAACTTATTAATTGCTGAAATTTAAAAAGATATTCAAAAAAAAATGTCTAAAAGAGACTTTAAAGATTTGCTTGATAAAAAAGCAAACCATGAAGATGTCTCTAAGGCATTCAACGAAATTTAATCAATTTTATCATCAAAATTTAATTATGAAGATTTTAATAGATTCTAATCCAATCAAAACACTCTTAATGAATAATTATGTAGTTAAAATATAATTGGCAGATGGCTTTTTAAAGGCAATTTTCTAAGTCCTGGAAGTCTTATACCATGGAATATATAAGCGATTAATACATTAACTGAAAATTTCTTATGGGATAAAGATAAGCCAAATATAATTGTTGTTGCTCCTGGTATTTATGAAATAACACTTGGATTCTTTGCTAAAAAGAAACCAAAAATTGATATTATGGTCAATGGAGAAACAATTATCAATGCAGTCAATAATAGTAGGTACACAATATTTCTTAAATTAGTTATGTAGTTCATCATTCATCAGGAAAATTAAAGGATACTAAAACATCGGTCACTGGTTTGACAATGATTGATTTTATCTCTTTGCCTGCTCGAGCAAGAATTAATGTTGCTTATCAAGGAGATTTAGGAGAAGGCTTTTTATGTTTACGAAAAGTATGAATTAGATAATAGCATGATCTTAATCATCTTAATCATCATTTCAATAAAATTATTAGGAAAATTTTATTAATTCAAATTATTATCATTGATTCTTAAGTAAATATGGAATTAAATAAATATTTTTTTCCTTTCGATAATCATGCCTTCACTTATAATTTGTTTTTTATTTTTAAATGAATTAAAAAATAGAAATATTTAAATGTTATTTTTTCTTTTTTTACATCCAAGTTATTTTTATAAGGAATAAAATTAGATAATGAATATCTCTTAATTATTTTTTGCTTTAAAATACATCAGCATTATTTTATATAGTTGGAGTTAAAAGCATAATTATATTTATATGTTTAAAATAAAAATACTTAAGGATTTTATAAATTTATTTGATTAAGAGACACTGCGCACAGATTGGATAGTGCAACCATATAAAATTGGAGGGATGGGTTCGAATCCTAAGTGTCTATAATTTTTTATTTTTTATTTAGTTACAATATTTTCATATATTCAAATTTTAATGATTAAAGTGATGATGATTTTTAATAATAATATACTAATTTGAGTATTTAATCTTTACTAACAACTATATTTTCAGAATGCTTAACTTACTTTATTATTCTTAATTATCCCACAAACCTTCATTTAATTCAATTGTCCCCAAAAATCTTTAACATATTCCAATGTATCTCTCACTTTTCAAAAAGAAATCTTATTAAATTATCTTTTAATAATAACTAACTATTTCTAGCCAACATCCTATAGAAATCTTTGTTACTCTTAAGTCTTATTTTATATGTTTATAAGTAAATATTTATTTCAAGATTTTTATGAATTTATGCTAAGAATACCTATTATTGATTCTGGATTGAATATCTGCTATTATAACTTTAGAAATAAATTTTGATAATTAATGGATTATTGTAATAATTTTTTTAGAATTTTATTAGATTTTATTCATTCAGAACAATTATATTTGAATAAATGTAGAATTCTCAAATTTATTTTTGGTTTTTCTTTTAAATTTTATTATTTAATAATTGATTATCCTAAACAGGTCACTTAATATTGCCCTCATCTTGATAATGGAAATTATTAATTTCTTAAATAATATCAAATTTATTTTATATTGGTCAAAATGTAATAATAAAATGCAAATCGTCTACCATTTAATCCTCCTGGAAAAAAGCTTGGGGTCTATCGTTTTCACAACGAGATAGGAAGAGGTAATTATGGAGTTGTAAATTAATTAATCTATTAGGAAATAGGTTTATTTAGCGAGTGATGATAAGGGAAATAAATATGCTATAAAATCAATTAAGAAAGAGATTTTCAAAGAAAATGGAGGTTTAATTGGAGATCTTATTCGAAATGAAAAAAATGCATTGCTCTAAATCAAAAACAAACACGTTGTTCGAATATTTGAATATATAGAGTCTGTCAATTAAGCTTATATGGTTCTTGAACTTTGTGATGGTATTAATTAAATTCTAAGAAGGTGGTAACTTTGAAGGCTATCTAACTTGCAAAAAATTTAAAATTACAGTTTATGAAGCTGTTTAATACATCAAATAAATTATATAAGGAGTTAATGCTTTACATGAAAAAAAGATTATACATAGGGATTTGAAATTGAGTAATATTCTAATGAAAGACAATTCTGCAGTATTAAAGATTGCTGATTTAGGATTCTGTCATATTCTTTCTGACGATGTATTTTATAAAATTAATTAAGGAATCTCTTGTCAAATTGAATTTAGGAACTATTGGAACAAAAGCACCAGAAATTATCCTCAACAAACCCTATGATAGCAGTGTTGATATGTTTTCTACCGGAGTAATGTTTTATTAATTGCTTTGTGGTGGAAACTATCCCTTTTAACCAACAACAGAGGAAGAATACTTATCATAAATATTAAAAGGACGTAAACTATTTAAAAGTATCATAGCGAATAATATTAAATTTGTACCATAAGATGAAGTTCTACCACAAGAAATTTAGGAATTGATCAAAAGAATGCTTCATTATAATCCTGAAAATAGATTAAAATGGAGTGAAATTTTTGATTCTTCCATTTTCAAGCAAAGTTCTTAAATTATAATATTTAAAAGCTCTCTAATTGGAAACACATTTAGGATTTATTTCAAGAGGATGTGATGTCTAAAAGTTATAGAGTTTCTATATCAAAAATTAAGAGAAAATAGTTTCAATAGTTTCCCCTAGATTTGCAGAAATTGGCCCTTTCGCATTTACTGATGAAATAATAGACAAATCATAAATATTAAATGAAAAAAGTAAATAAACTATGTCCTATGATAATGAATGTATAAGCACTGTAAGCTTTCAAAATAAAGATGAAATCTAATAAATTCAAAAAGAAAGTAGTAGTATTAATGAACTTTTTGAAAAATATTTATCTAAACATAGATATTATATGCTACACAAAATTGTTTATGAACTTATTCATAAAACACATCACTCAAATATTAAGGAAATTCTGTTTCCTATACTTCTACTATCTAAAAAGATATTTCATTTATAGAAGGAACTAATTAAAATGATAGAGGAAGATGGAAATTTATTTGATTCTCCTTTTTATGAAAGCTTAATCGTTAGTGATCAATGGAAGGTATTAATAGAAGAGATGCTGAATAATAAGGGTTGGATTTTCGATTAAATTAAGCATAACATCATAACATTTAATATAAATATCAATCAAAAGAAAGATGATTATAAACTAAAATATGTAAAACTTGAATGGCTTGAAGAGGCAGAAGCATATTTTCTAAAAAATAATTTTTAAAATATTTATTAATAATGCTTAAACCGATATATCTAGTATTTGATAGGAGATATTTTCTAGAATGAAAAGGATAAGATTAAAAAAAAGTCTATTATTATATATTTAATCAAAAGTATGAGAACGGATAAAATAGATGTTGAAGATATACCTACATATTAATAAGATTCATTGCTTATTAATAAAAATATAGATAAACTTTTTGAAGAATCATGCTCATTTTATGATTAAAAATAATGATGAAATATACATAAAATTATTAATAGAATAATTATTTTCTTTAGAATTAATTTTTGATAATTATGAATTAATATAACATATGAATAGTTTAAATCATTAGCCTCCTCTCAATCTTAAGACTAAGTGAAGAGTTGATTCCTTTTAAATGTTATAGTCTGAAAGTGTTCTTCCATCTTCTAATTACTTTCCTGCAAAGATAAGTCTTTATTAATCAGGTGGGATTCCCTCCTTGTCTTAGATTTTAGCTTTGACAGCATCAATAGTGTCAGATGGTTCAACATCAAGAGTGATGGTCTTTCCTGTGAGTGTCTTGACGAAGATTTACATTCCTCCTCTCAATCTTAAGACTAAGTGAAGAGTTGATTCCTTTTAAATGTTATAATCTGAAAGTGTTCTTCCGTCTTCTAATTATTTTCCTGCAAAGATAAGTCTTTATTAATCAGGTGGGATTCCTTCCTTGTCTTAGATTTTAGCTTTGACAGCATCAATTGTGTCAGATGGTTCAACATCAAGAGTGATGGTCTTTCCTGTGAGTGTCTTGACGAAGATTTACATTCCTCCTCTCAATCTTAAGACTAAGTGAAGAGTTGATTCCTTTTAAATGTTATAATCTGAAAGTGTTCTTCCGTCTTCTAATTACTTTCCTGCAAAGATAAGTCTTTATTAATCAGGTGGGATTCCTTCCTTGTCTTAGATTTTAGCTTTGACAGCATCAATAGTGTCAGATGGTTCAACATCAAGAGTGATGGTCTTTCCTGTGAGTGTCTTGACGAAGATTTACATTCCTCCTCTCAATCTTAAGACTAAGTGAAGAGTTGATTCCTTTTAAATGTTATAATCTGAAAGTGTTCTTCCGTCTTCTAATTACTTTCCTGCAAAGATAAGTCTTTGTTAATCAGGTGGGATTCCTTCCTTGTCTTAGATTTTAGCTTTGACAGCATCAATTGTGTCAGATGGTTCAACATCAAGAGTGATTGTCTTTCCTGTGAGTGTCTTTACGAAAATTTACATTCCTCCTCTTAATCTCAAAACTAAGTGAAGGGTTGATTCCTTTTAAATGTTATAGTCTGAAAGTGTTCTTCCGTCTTCTAATTACTTTCCTGCAAAGATAAGTCTTTGTTAATCAGGTGGGATTCCTTCCTTGTCTTAGATTTTAGCTTTGACAGCATCAATTGTGTCAGATGGTTCAACATCAAGAGTGATTGTCTTTCCTGTGAGTGTCTTTACGAAAATTTACATTCCTCCTCTTAATCTCAAAACTAAGTGAAGGGTTGATTCCTTTTAAATGTTATAGTCTGAAAGTGTTCTTCCGTCTTCTAATTACTTTCCTGCAAAGATAAGTCTTTGTTAATCAGGTGGGATTCCTTCCTTGTCTTAGATTTTAGCTTTGACAGCATCAATTGTGTCAGATGGTTCAACATCAAGAGTGATTGTCTTTCCTGTGAGTGTCTTTACGAAAATTTACATTCCTCCTCTTAATCTCAAAACTAAGTGAAGGGTTGATTCCTTTTAAATGTTATAGTCTGAAAGTGTTCTTCCGTCTTCTAATTACTTTCCTGCAAAGATAAGTCTTTGTTAATCAGGTGGGATTCCTTCCTTGTCTTAGATTTTAGCTTTGACAGCATCAATTGTGTCAGATGGTTCAACATCAAGAGTGATTGTCTTTCCTGTGAGTGTCTTTACGAAAATTTACATTGTTTATTATTATTACTTTCTTTTAAGACTCAAGCTGTTTTTAAGGAAACAAAATTTTGTTTAATTCTGATTACTTAATGTTGTCGTTCTGGTAAATACTATTTCTATTTATAATTTACTTATGCCATAAATTACATTATAAAAAATTATAATCCTTATTCTGAATTTAAAAAATAAATTAAGTACTTATAAGAATTAGTTTAGTTAGCGTCTTATTAGTATTTGGATCATTCTAAATCATCGATTATAGCAATAAAACTACAAATCAAGAATCTACTTATTTAAGAAAATAAAAAGGAATTTATAAAATATTGTACATAATTTACATTAACATATTATTTAATTTTAAGAGTATTCAAACAAAACAAAAAGATTTGTTGTTAAAATTTACTTATTAGTATTTAGAGCGCCAAAGAATTAACCAAAAAAATTAGCATAAAACTATAATAAATTTATAAAAGCAAAATTTATTTCTAAGAATATAAGTTTATTAGGAGAAAAAGTTTTACTTATCTTGGATAATAATATATTTTAAATTAGTTTAATTTAATTAGATTAGAAGATTATCCTAACAATAAGATCACTAAAATTTTCAATTACTGAAAACTATTTAAAATAAAAAAACTAAAGGAAAAAAAAATATATTCGAAATCTTTGCAAATAACAATTTATGTAATATTTAGAATTTTAAAAATTTTACTATCAAAAAACAAAAATATACATTGAGAATATGTTTATTTAATGAGTTAGATAACCTTGAATTTATTCTATAAAATGAAACTCTAAGAAAATTTGGACAGAAGATCAAATGAATAATAATTATTAGAAATAAATAAGTTTTACCAACTGCTTATATAATTAGAAGAGATGATAGTCCTAAGCTCAAGAAAATACTAAATAATTCTCCAAATTGATTTCTTATATTGAAGAAAGATAATCTTGAAAGTTTTGGATATGCAAATACTTTCTTAAATTTAAATTAATTATGTTTTTATCAAGTTACACTTTATCATTTCTCGTTTTGTTGCTCTTTATTAGAAATTAAAGTATTCAAATAAAGCATATTCTTTTTGGTTCAAAAATCTGGAAATTTTTTCCTTAAACATATTTATATTTGATGAATAATATTTATATTTTGTATGATTAAAAGATTTAAATTATCCATTTTAATATTATATGATAAATTATTTTGGAGTAAAAATATAAAGCAACATCAAGATAATGCTAATAAATTTTAATATAAATAATCTATTTTCTATTATTGTATTTCTAGAAATTATATTTTAAAAATCAAACTATTAAATAATAAGATGTATATTCTAAATGTAGAATTATAAGTTAACTTTTAATAACTCAAGGCTTAATATATGAATTAAAAGTCTAGGAGAAGTAATGAAAATTATTATGCAAAGATCATCAAGATTAAATAGCAATTTTATCGATGATGGTGTTAAATATTGAAAAGTAGGAGTAGATAAATGCTAAGAGTGATTAATTATATAATTTAAATATACTTTTTGGTTAATTCTGATGTCCCAAGTAATGCTAGTGTTAGGTCCGAATAGAGTTGGAAAAAGCAGTTTAATCGATGCGCTCACTTATGGACAATTCCATAGAGAATTTTACCCATAAGATATACATTTCTAAGTTAAATTAGCAAAAGTAGCATAACACAGAGTTTATGAAGTATAATCAATAGAATGGGATGGAAAACCTTTGGGATTAGTTTAATTCTACTCAAATGTTGCTGATTTAATATTGATAGTTGTTAATATTTGCGGCTGTTATGATTAAATGGACTAAGTTCATGATATATACTAGGCTTTACCAATTACAAATAATAAATAATAAATAGTATTAATCGGTAATTTGAATGGATAAAATAAAAGAAATCAAAAGTTGTGTTAGAGCTTGAGTTAGTTTGCAAAATTAAATGATCTAAAACTTTATGAATTAGATAGCACAAATATCATGAATGTTTAAATGGAATTTCATTTTATCACACAACCATACTCACTGTTTGATGATATTTGGAATAGAAATTAAAATTACATTTCATAATTTGTGTCATAAGCTGTATCCTTATTCAATTGATAACTTATAATTTATCATAAAATATAATAATCAGTAAATTTCTATAATTGATGTATTTTCAATTTAAAAAGGATCAACATAAATGTCTATTTTTCAAATTCTTTTCACTTCAAATTTAAAATGTTCTTGGGGGCTGGAAAAAGATTGAGATTTTCAGTAATTTTATGACTGCAATATTCGTTAGATTCTTATTCAAATATATTAAGAAGAAGAATTTATGATTAAATGAATTTTTTTAAGTATTTATAAAAAGTATTCTAACTTATATTCAAATTCTGATATCCTACAAATATTATTTGATTTTACAAAAACTCCTCAAAAACCTTAAATATGCTACATAATTTTAAGTAAAATTAATAGATAATTAATTTTTCTTAATACTTACTAATTGACTATGAATTAGAAACTAAGTTTTGGTCAATATATATAATTTGAATTATTTATATAGAAACACATAAAGCTTAAATTAGTTAAAGAAAGATCAACTAATAGCAGTCAAATTTTCGAGTTTGGTTCTTTGTCTTCTCTTATTTCTTGAAAATAACTTGATTTCTTTTTAGGAAACTTGACCATCAATGTCCTTAACTGTAACTACATTGTTGAAATGAACAGATTTTTTTAGATTAAAATCATTCTGGAAATAATCATTCTTTTGATAGTTTGCTCTCTCAGTATTTAGATTATATAAAAGATCATCAAATTTATCTTTAGACTTTTTTTCTGTTTTTATATGTTCTGTATAGATTTCCTTTCTTGATGTACGTGAAATGTCAGGAAAAAATCCCCATTGCTTTAGAATTTGTTCTCCCATTTTACTTAATTAAGGAGATTTCTCTTTGACTGGACTAAGTTGTTATGGAAGTAATAGTGGTAAGCTTGTAGTATGTGAATGATGAACATTCAATTTACAATCAGAATTCTTGATATGAGATTTAGGTTCGTAGTGATATCTCATATACATCTTTAATTATTATAATAATAAATGATTCATAAATTATATTTGCTTGTTATATATATTGAGACAGAGTTTAAAGATATTATATAATATATGAAAAAGATTGTAAAAGGTAATGATTAAATACTTCTTCTTAATAAATGTGATTTAAAATTATATGAAATAAATGTTAATAACAAAGAGTTGCATCTATAATTCAGATGATGATATTTAAATATATGAGAATAATTTTTCAAAACTAGTATTTGTGTTTTATTATTTGCATAATTTTATAAATATTTATTTTATAAATTATCTGCTTCAAAAAAGATGAGTGAAAAAAAGTTTTAGGAATTAACTGATAAAAGACAAGGGCTTGAAAATGAGTTAAAAATATTAGAAAAGCAGATTTTTGATTTGGAAACTAAATATTTAGAAGAAACAGCTGCCACTGGAAATGTAATAAAAGGATGGGAAGGTTATACTACAATAAAAAGTGGAAAACTAAATGGAAATGTTCCAAGAAAGACTAAAGCAAATGCAAATGATCGTATTTTTTCATAAAGCAGTAAAACATCTCCATTTGTAAAATTTTTTATTAATGTGAGTACTAAATTACAGAAACTGTAGTAGAAGAGCCAAAAAGCCCCAAAAGTCCATAATTTAGACCTAGAAGAATGAAGAAAAAGAAGCATTATGGATACAAAAAAGAGTATTTATAAGAATTAAGTTAGTGATGTTGTAGAAAATTCTTAGGGTAGTTCTTCAGAGGATTTTTAATAGGATTAAGTAAAAAAAGTAAAAGGATCCAAGAAAATATGAAGTAATATTTATTATTTGTGTTATTTTTACATAATAGTTTGCAAATAAATCTAAGTCATAAAATTAATAATAGAAATTATAGTATTTGATAATCACTAAGGTAGATTTATTAATTTTGATCTGTTATTTTCAAATGCAAATTAATTATTGTGTTTCCCGTATAATTTATTTGTTAAAAGATAATTAAATACATAATAAATATTAAAACTTTGAAACCTTATGAATGTTCTTATATAAAATAGAATAAATATGGAATTTATGATACAATAATGATTCATAAATTGAATAACTTTAAGTTCTAGATTACTTTATAAGTAATATTATGAATTAAATTGTTTTGAGTTTAATGATTATTACATTTACTTTAGCTTGCTCGCTAAAATAATTATAATGTGAAGACCTGCTTGATAAGATTTCATGTGATTCTGTAACATCTCATGTGGCAATATGTTAATGGAATCAAAACACTAGTTAGTGCTAATTGTTTAAAGAAAGTTTTTTTAATTAAGAATAATGCAATTTTTAGAATGAACATGATTGGGATTCAAAATGTAACTAAGGAAAATTCATGTAATTTATAATCATATTTAATTAAAGTGAAGAAAAAGTATCTAGTTGTGAAGATATTACTTCATTTGATTTGTGCATTAAATTTTATGCTAATGGTTTTGGATGCACTTGGAAACATAATAAATGCATAAAAATATCATAATGCAGTGAGATCAATGATTTAATGTAATGTAGAATTTCTAGATTAAAAGAGAAGTAATAAATTTGATATAATGTCAAGATGTTAATTAGTTATAAATGGTGAATCATCACATATGGAAAGATAGCATGTTTATATAGCAAATTTGTTTCAAGAATACGAATGCCGAGCAAAGGATTGTAAATTTAATTTATTTTGGAAATGTCAAAATTTTGTGAATGGGAGAAGGTGTTTCTAATACTTTGATGAATGCACTTAATGTTCATATCTCACAACTATATAATCTTGTTTAGATCCAAATTAATGTACTTGGCAAAATAATGTTTGCAGAAACATATTGTACTTATAATTTTAATTAAATAGATGTTCTGATTTAAAAGGTAAATAATAATGTTAACTTAAACCATTTTGTTAATTTAATGATCAGAATTTACAATGTGAAACAAGAACAGACAATTAATTATATTGCTATGCATATGATATACCATCTGATCCAATAAAATCAAAAAAAAAAGTTGAAATTTGATTATTATTTAAGTGTTTATATATATAAAGATATATTTTATAGCACTGATATTATGAAAATATTTATAAAATAAAGATCGTTGTTTAAAATTGAGAATTTTTAATATAATTTTTATAATCAAATTTTTTAGATGAATCTATAAAATATTATTTATGTGAAATTTAGTTATACATTTAATGTTTATATATCATATTGCTTTCAGATATTTTGTAATTTATTTATTGAATATTTACACCAATTTGAATAATTTTTGATTTAATAATAATCTTTTGTAAGTTCTCTTATACCATTTATACAAAGTTTTTTTCTTTTTTATTTTCTAGATCTAAAATATTTTATATAAGGTAAATATAAGTCTTTAATTATTTCTATGAATTTTCATCAAAGCATTCCATACTTTTTTAGTTGTTAAAGTTGGTTATTTTTTTACAGTAGAAGATGTTTTAAATTCACTTACAGAATATTTTGGTGATTTAAAATTGTTGCTAAAAGTAGGAGAAGAAATTAACGACTAACTCATTTTATTATATTTGTATTATCTACTCCATTTAGATAATGCTTTCATTAATATTTTCTAGTTGTTATGTTCTTGAATAATCTTCATTTTCTAAGTTTCAATTTCAAGTTTTTGATGAATTTGTGTTAATGCGAATTTTAGTAATTACTATCTTATTTTATGAAAAGTTGCTTCTAATTAAAAGAAATATTCTTTTTTAAAATGATTTCGTCTTTATTCTTTAACTTTGAAATATGATACATGACAGGTTCTTGGAATTTAGCGAACAGGTGATTTTGATCTTGAACGTATAATTTGATTAAAATTCATTTAAACATATAAATTTTGTTTTCTGAACATAATGCAATCTTGTCATTTAAAATTGCATATTTCTCATCTTTCAAAGCTTAAATCTATGATGAATAAACTAAAAAAGAATTTTCATATTTCTATAGTTTTACATAAGAAATGATAATGATAAATAGAGATATGTAATAGAGAAGGGAATGTTTAAATATTACAATTATAAATTAGATTTACCATAAAAGAGCACCAATTATTATGGTATTGAAATTTAATAGTAATATAGTTTATATTATCAGAATTCCTATTGAATTTTTTGGTTTATAATGTATTTTTAATAGATAATAATACTTCTAATGTTAATTTAGTTTTTTTACTTAAGTTTATTAAAAAGAGTATTTTATCAAAATCCAAAAAAATAACTTAATTAAGGAGATAACTCAATTAAATATATGAATTATATAAAAAATAATTTAATAATCAATATTATTAATTTATTTGTCTCCAAGTGAAAGAAATAAATTATAAGTATTTTGATCTAATTCTAAAAATTAATCAACAGAATATAAATAAAATAGCATACACAAGAAAACTTAAGATTAAATAATTCTTAGACTCAAATGACGATAACTTTTAGGTTGATTAGGAGAGTATATTAATAGGAAATGTCAATGAAACTATTAAGGTGATGTCTCGTTTAAGTGGAATATATCAATTATTTTCAGTTCTGATTTGGTAAAGAGGTAATAAAGGTATATTCAATTTAAAAAACGTAAAATTTTTTGATCCAAATCTCTTATTAATATTAATTATCAATGATGTTTCTCATTCCTTTAATTTTACTATTTCAACCTAGCTTTAGTTTTCGTAGTTTTGGAGCCAATTTTACTAAAGCAAACTCAAATTTTAGTTGTCCACAATATCACTATTATTAACCAGACTTAATTCCTCATACATGCGTTGGTATATATCTTTTATAAAGAAGGGTACATCTCAATATGTAAAGGAGTTACTGAAGTAACTATAAAGATATAAGATAATTAAGAAGTGCTATGTCATCCTAGATTTTAAGCTTTTTATTTAATGCCTTTATCTTCTAATAATTTTATTGTTCGTTGTATTTCCCCTTTTACAACAACTTACCAATATAATTAGAATGGAGATGTAACTTATTCATGCTAATGTAAATTGAGAATTAATTGTTTTTTAGAAACAAATATTGGATATTGCCTTTTAGCTTAAAATTACACTACAGTGTTAAAATGTTAGTATTGTTATGGATATGCAGCTGGGCCATTGTGTAATACATTATTACCTGGTATATAGAGTGGGATATTTTAATGTAATAAAAATTTGATGTTTGATTAGAATGTCCATTGAATTGTAAGGATTGTGATGTATCATTATCATATTGTATAAGTTGTTTGGATGGGTATACAAAAAGCAGTCTAAGTGATACAAAATGCAGTTATTGTAATAAAATCATTAAAAATTAGAATGTAAATTAGGAGATGCAAGTTGTTCATATGAACCTTTAACTGGTACATATATAACATTAAGTTGTTCAATTGGGTATGAACAAACAATTGTTGGTATTTCAATAGTTTGTAAAAGTAAAATATAATATTAAGATAATTAGAATGTATTGATTATTGCAATTAATGCAGAAATGGTATATGCAGTTCTTGCATTACAGGATATTAATTAGTGAATGGGAAATGTTTTGGAGATCCAAATTGTATGAAATTTTAGTAAGTAATATAATTATTAACATAGAATTGTTTATAATTCAAATAATTCTCCTACTGGAATTAATTGTTTAGAGTGTGATTTTGGATATTTTAAAAAAGGTTAGATTTGTTAATGTAATTAATAATTGGTTATATAATAGTGTGTTCAACTATACCTGGTTTAGAGACATGTTTTTTATGTAATTCAGAAACAGAATGTAAGACATGTTAATCTAGATATTATTTGAATGATTAAAAAAAGTGTGTACCTTTTGATGGATGTGATGTAAGATGTAATACCTGTTTAACTACTAATCCAAAGTTTTGTACTACTTGTGATTACATTAATTTTAAAAGAGTATCAACAGGTGATGGTAATTGTGTTTGTGCATAAGCATAAAATTATGCTGAAAAATATGGATCATGTGTTTTATGCACAGAAGGATTTTGTAAAACTTGCACTCTTAACTTTTTTGAATGTACATCATGTGATCCAGCAAGGAATAGAATTCTAGTAGATAATAATTGTCCATGTTTATAAGGATATTATGAAACTGAATTAGATGATAAGAAATGTTTAAGTATTAAATCTTTAATGGATTTAGAATGTCATGAAACTTGTTATAATTGTGATAATCCAACAAAGAATGATTGTACTGAATGTGATAGTCTTAAAAATAGATATTTGTTTCAGGGATAATGTTTATGCAAAAGAGGATATGTTGAAATCTTATCAAATGGAGCTTTGCTTTGTTTAGGTTCATATATCAATATAATAGGATTATAGCTTGTCATTCAAGATGTGAAAAGTGTTCTAAGCCAAAAGATGCTACTACTAATTAATATTGTACTCTTTGTATTCCAGGTTAGAAGAGGATGTTGACAGACAAATTTAAATGTGAATGTATGAAAACATATGGGGATAATAATGGTCTTGTAGATATATGTTATTGTAATACTAAGATTATATATTATAGAATGTTATTATACTTGTGGGAGTTGTGTTGGTGATCAGGCTACTAATTGTAATATGTGTTTGGAATCATCTTATAGATATTTGACATTGACAAATGAATGTAAATGCAAAGATAATTATTATGAAGATGGTATCAATAATAGAGATTGCAAAAGTATTATTTATTAATTAAATTAGGATGTCATTATTCTTGTTATAATTGTGATAGCAATTCTAATATTGATTAATGTATCTAATGTCCTCCAAGTAGAATACCTGATGGAATAGGATCTACTTTTAAATGTTTATGTTCTGATCCTCATACATTTGATGATGGTTAAAGTTTAATTTGTAGTTAATGTCATTATTCATGTAAAACTTGTAATGGATATGATGAGAGTGATTGTTTAACTTGTGATTTGGATTATAGATAATTTGTATTTTCAAAATGTGAATGTCCAACTGGATATTATGAAGTAGGTTAACTTTAATGTTCATGTAATATTTAAAATTATTATATAAGAATGTCATTTTACTTGTCAAAATTGTTATGATAAGAATTAAGATAATTGTATCACTTGTTCAGCTGATTTAAATAGAATTTTAATGGGAAATACATGTTAATGTAAGAGTGGTACATCAGATTATAATGGTACTTAAGCAATGTGTGATAGTAATAATAATATATATTAATAATATTAGAATGTTCATATCGTTGTGCAGATTGTACTTAAGTGGATGTTAATTAATGCATAAGTTGTCCAGAATTTTCATTTAGAGAATTAGGATCTAATAAATCTTGTTCATGTCCATCCAATTTAATTGATATTCCCACAAATCCAATATGTCAAAGTAATCATTTAATATTATTAATCAGTTTGTCACTTTACATGTTCTTCATGTTCTGGATTTAAATCAACATAATGTACATAATGTAGTGATTTATAATAAAGACAATTAAATAGTCTAGGAGAATGTGAATGTAAAAGTCATTATTATGAAATTGGAAGTGCAGAATGTCAAAGTTATTTCTATTATTATGATTTTTAGTTTGTAGTAAATTTTGTTTGGATTGCTATCAAACTGCTGATTCATGTACTTCTTGTTAACCTGATAGATATTTGGATAATGTTAGTACTTGTCTTTGTAAAACAAAACTATAAGGAATTAAGATAAGTACATTCTAATTCTCAACCTAAACATCTTGTTCTAATTGTCATTATTCATGTTTGACTTGTGATGGATTTTCATCTTCAAATTGTACTTCATGTTTAGATTCTGAAAATAGAATTTAGACTGGAAGTACTTGTGGATGTAAATCTAATTATTTTGATTTTGGTTCTACTTCATGTTAATGTATAAATTTTATAATTAACATTTAATAGAATGTAGTTACAAATGTGAAACTTGTTTTTAAAGAGAAGATTATTGTTTAAGTTGTTCCCCTTCTAGTTTAAGATAACATAATAATTTATTGAAATTATGTAATTGTCCAAATGGCTATTATGATGATGGAATAAATTCAATATGTTAAAGTATTTAATATTATAATAAATAAATAGAATGTCATTACTCATGTTTAAAATGTATGGGTATATCAACTAATTGTGAATTATGTTCTGATATATCTAAAAGAATATTGGATGTCAATTTATTAACTTGTAATTGTATCTAAGGATATTATGATGATGGAGTTGAAATTTGTAAATAATGTCATTATTCTTGTTTGTCCTGTAATGGTTAAGGATCTAATTCATGTAATTCATGTCTTACAGTAAGTACTACATTTAGAGTATTTTATAATAAAACTTGTAATTGTTTATCTGGATACTATGATGATGGATCATCTATTAATTGTAAGAAATGTTAGAATTAATGTTTAACATGTCAAACTTATTCATATCAATGTTTACTTTGTCCAATTACAAGACATTTAATTGGATAGAGTTGTGTTTGTGATGAAGGATATTATGATATTGGTACATAAAAGTGTAATGAATGTAATTCTAATTGTTTGAGTTGTTAAACAACATCTATTAATTGTACTTCATGTGATTCTACTAAATAAAGAGTTTTGAATATTTAAACAAAAACATGTGTTTGTTAAAATGGCACTATAGAAATAAATGGTATTTGTTAAGAATGTAATGCTTCATGTAAAACTTGTTAAAATTCAATTTCATAATGTACATCATGTTAATCTATGAGACTATTAATAAATAATGAATGTATTTGTATAGATGGTACTTATGAATCCAGTATTGATAATAAATGTCATTTTTGTTATAAGACTTGTTTAACATGTGTTTAACAAGATACTACATGTTTAACTTGTTCTGATGCAGATTTTAGAATTATGAAACCAGGAAATA